TGGGTTTAGGTTTCATCCGACCGACGAGGAGCTTGTGCTTTATTACTTGAAGAGGAAGATCTGTAAGAGAAGGGTAAAACTTAATATTATTCGGGAGGTTGATGTTTACAAGTGGGATCCTGAGGAGTTGCCTGGTATGCCATCCTTTTTTTGAAGTTTTTTATCGGCGTTGACCTGGGTTGTGTTTTTGCTGATTGTTTTTGGTTTTCTATTGTGTTTAGTTTAGATTTGATTGGAGGATTTGGGATTGATTATAGGTCTTACGGAGTTGATCATGGTTGATTAGTTTGTGTTTCAGAATTTTTTATTTGGGTGTTATATGGATTTTGGTTTGATAAGTTTTTTGATGATGTGGAATGGTTTATTGCTGTGAAATTGATTTGATGGGATGAACTTTCTTTGAGAATCACTCATAATTGTAAAAGTAAGTGTTGTTTTATTTGGTTTTGGTCCAAGTCGATCTTTTTTTTTTTTTTTTTGGGCTCCCTGTGTGTTTGTTTGGCTCCTTGAGCTTTGGATTTGATGTTTTTTTTTCTTTCTTTTGTGGAATTGAGTTGGATGTTGTATACAGTATTGACAGATTGATTGATTCATTTTGATTGCCAAAGCTTTAGGATTAAAATTTTCAGTGATTGTGTTTGTTCTTCATTTTTTGTACGGCGACAATTCAATTGATAGTTTTGGCTGTGAATTATTGTTTATGTTAGGAACGAATCAAACAAGAATAGAAAAGAGAGAGAGACAAAAACACAAGTACGTAGTTCGGCAAGTGTGCCTACTCTACGGCTGCACTAGGGGTACTTATTAGTTTTTTCAATCGGCATCTACAAATACAAGAGATAATATCCATATTTATAGTGTCGACAACTAGTGCTATTAAAAAGCCCTAGCGGGCCTACACACTTGGCCAAATACACAGTGCCCCAATATACTGTGGACCTTTTGAGGGCTCTGCTCTCGAGCCCTCACCCCCTTGACCCTTGCTCGCTAACCGGCTAGCGAGACCGCATGCTAGCTCTGTATAGCGCACTAAGCTACGGGCCATATCCACATCAATCTCCAAAACTTAACATTTTGTTTATTTTTTCAAGAGGCGTGACTGTGTGACTCAGTTTGCAAGATTGAATTTTCTGTTACTAACAATTCAAAAAATGATTTTGCAGGGCAATCGATATTGAAGAATGGAGATAGGCAATGGTTCTTCTTCAGTCCAAGGGACAGGAAATATCCTAATGGAGCAAGGTCAAATAGGGCGACCAGACAGGGGTATTGGAAGGCAACAGGGAAGGATCGCATTGTTGTGTGCAATTCTCGAAATGTTGGACTGAAGAAGACCCTAGTTTTCTACAGAGGCCGTGCACCCAGTGGTGAACGAACTGACTGGGTGATGCATGAGTATACTTTGGATGAAGAAGAACTCAAGAGATGCCCAAATGTGCAGGTATGCAGTGTAGTGGTTTTGTTTTGTATCTGTTCACATATTGTGTATTTGGTTCTGATTAAATCCTTTTCTTTTGTGGATCAGGATTATTATGCGCTTTACAAGGTTTTCAAAAAAAGTGGACCTGGTCCTAAGAATGGTGAACAGTATGGAGCACCATTCAAGGAAGAAGACTGGGCTGATGATGAATATCCATGTGCCAATGGCTTGGTTACTCCAGATATTCCTCTTAAGCAGCATAATGAAGCGACGCTTGTTGATAATGTCAAAGTGTCTGCTCAACTCGAGCCACAGCTGGATGATTTTGAGGAGATATTAAAACAAATTGCTGAAGCACCTGCACTTAACCAGCCACAGAACAATGATTTTACTCATTTACTGCCCCAGGTTTGTGTTATCGTAATTTCTCCAATTGATTTTGTTCATTGCTTGATACCATTGATTTATGAGATACTATTGGTTGGTTGTGATTTAGCAAAGTAAAACTAGAGTTACATTGTTTATGTGGTTTCTTTGCTTCTGTTTGATCTTTACTTTTTCAGGATTCACTTGTATTAATCTATTTCAACATTACAGGTCACTGGTGAAGAAGAGGCGCAAAGTACTTTGGTTGATCCATCTTGCAAGGAAGTTGTTTCTGAGCTAGTTGGAGAGTCAACCTTAAAAGGTCAGCAGCACTATAAACACACCAGCTTCAACTTTAACCAGTCAGCTACCTCAACATTCCAATTGCATGAGGCATCTGAGATCACATCTGCACCAAACTATGAACAGGCACCGATGTCTAACTATGAACAGGCACCGCTGTCAAAGTATGAGCAGGCACCCCAATATAATTATGAACAGGCACCGCAGTCTAACAATGAACAGGCATCATGGTCTAACTATGAACAGGCACCCCAGTCAAATGAAGAGGATTTCCTGGAAATTGATGATCTTGTCGATCCAGAGCCTTCTTTTTTCACAACTGAGCAACCTGTGGGAAACTTGCAGTTTGGTGATTTTGATGGATTGAGTGAGTTTGAATTGTACCATGATGCAGGCATGTTCTTTCGTGACATAGGGCCTGTTGGTCAGGATGCAGTTTCACATTCATATATGAATTCCTATGGAAGTGATATGGTTAACCAAGCTGGCTACCAGTTGCAGACCAATTCAATAACAAACCCTGTGGATTATCAATTGCAGCCAAATTTGGTGGCCAACCAGGTGGATTATGAGCTGCATCCACAATTTTTTGAAGCAGAGCAGATGAACAATGAGCTATGGGTGCATGATCAGAGAAGTAATACGTTAGCTACTTCAGAATCACATCATGAGAACCCTTTCCAACCAACGCCAGGTATATAACTTGTTTGACTTTCAGTGTTACTGCATTTATTCTGTCTTACATCTGGTGTACTAAGCTACTGTATTAGTTTGGATAAAGTCGCTGTTGTCTTAGCCAACCCGTGCAGAGCTCTTGATGAGACGGGTAGCCAGTGTGGCAGAAAAGCCAATCTGAATATGGGACTTTGAGCCGGGTTCAAGAGCTCTAGTAAAAGTATTTCCTTTGTATATTATTTGTAAAAACCATTGGAATGTAGTGTACTCCTAACGGTTGGCCATTTTGGTCATGTACAGGTGTTGTGTGTGAATCTAGCAATAATTCTAGTGGAGCCAATGGAAATCAAGGTGGCAAAGAGGGTGATGATGCTAATGGTTGGTTTTCTTCTGCCTTGTGGGGTTTCGTGGAGTCCATCCCTACTACTCCTGCATCGGCTTCAGAGAATCCTTTGGTCAATAAGGCTTTTGAGCGAATGTCAAGCTTCAGCAGGATCAGAATGAATGTCAAAAACATTAATGTTGATGCAGGTAATGCTGCTGCAAGTGTGAGGAGTGCTGGTGGAAATAAGGGATTTATTTTATTGTCAATTATTGTAGTCTTGTGTGCCATCTTATGGGTATTTGTAGGAAGTGGTAGAGTGATGGGGAGATCAATCTCCTCGTGATCTATGTAAATGAGAAGTTTTGCTGTTAAATATTGTGAGACTCTCCTGGAATATTAATGAATAGGCATATTAATTATAATAGTTCAAGTTTTTACCACTTCATTGTGCCCTTTTTTTTTCCCTACAATAGTGATTAGGAGTGGTAAAATATCGTTCTACTTCTTGGGCCTTGTAATATAGTAAGAGGTGCATGATTCTTAGGAGGCCTGAACTGTTGAATATCAGCAATGCTTCCCTCGGTTTTTTGTGGCCAAGTCCATTGCTTTTCTCGGAGGTTAAATCCATCACTACCTTTTTATATTTTTTTTGTTCTATTTTCGAGTAAACTGAGTTTCCCCCTCTTCTCCCTTTTACGCCCCACCCTCTCCCTTCAAAAGAGAAAAAAACTCAGGAGTGTCTTCGCAGGGGAGCGACGAGGAGCGGGCTGCCGCATCTGCTAACGGGTTATTGCTGATATGAAATGTAGGAAAAGCCGACGCTATATTTATTTATAGTTATATATTCAATATTTGGGTGATTGGATCATTCTAAACAATGTATCCATGAACATTTTGCATTGCTGATAAGTCAACAACCTTTTCTAATGTGAGAATATAGAAATAAGCATATAATTTACCTTTTTAATAGATTTAACTGTCAATATAATGTTCTGTCTCCGTTTTTTTTTGTTCCTTCTTCAAAGCTGTAGTCAAATAAAGATCTTAAAATCATTTCCATCCCAATAAAGAAAATTCTCAAAACCACAGAGGAGTTTCTCTTAAATTGTGTAGAACTTCAATTTAATAGAATATATAATTCCCCTCCTTGATCCTGCAAATTCAAGCATACTATGGTTGAAGCTGATAAGTTTATTTGTTTTTGATACTTTAGTATTGTTACCCTGAAAAAATTCTCGATACTTATTATTCTAGTTCCCCGATCCTTCTTCAAGAAAAGCATTGTAATTATTGGTAAAAGTGAATTTTCTTGTATCTTTCTTTTTTTTTGGTCATTTGTATTTTGTAGTATTAGTCTGAAAATATGAGTGCCTGACATCCAACGAGTCAAACTCGAGACTTTGTAGATTGGGAACTGAATGAAACAAGACATTTCTCCTTAGTGTGAATTGAATCTTAAGAAATGTTTCCAAACTGGGCAAAAAAAATAAACGCAAAACCGCAGGAGAGACGGACGAACAAGTCCTCTTAATTGTTATTTTATTTGGACAAGAACAACAGAATCTCAAAAACACAACACCAACTCTATCTCTCTCCGATTTCTCCAACAGAACAGAAGTCATTACACTCTCTCTGTCTCTGTCTCTCTGTACGCAGAAGACAAAGTAATTGAGATCACTCTCTTTCTTTCTTTAAACTGTCTGACACTGCCGAAAACCAAAAACAACAACATTCGAATTCTCGACCATATAAACAGCAACCAAATAAATCATTAGATTCATTTGATTACGGGGATTCTATACGACGCCGTTTTAGAAGAAGAATAAGAGAAGAGAGAGTGAGCGGTTCGTGGGGAAGGAAGAAGATGGAGCAGTGCTTCAGCTTCTTCATATTCTCTTGTTAAAATAACTCATGGCATCCTCTTCTCAGCATCGCTGCGTTTTTGGTATCTCCTTTTCTCTTCTCTCTCCCTCTCTCTATCTATCTATCCAATCGTGTGTTGGATTTGATTGCTGAGGAAAACCAGCAATTCTTAATCTTGCAGCATCCAGTTGAATTTGACTGATTTCACTGATTTAAAGTTTATTTCTTCTTTTGGTGGCAACTAATAAACTGGAATTTGTGAATTTTTTTTTCTCGTGGCAGTTGGGAATATACCGTATGATGCAACTGAGGAACAGCTTATTGAAATCTGCAGAGAGGTTGGACCTGTTGTGTCGTTCAGGTTTGTATTGTTACTATTTTTTTATTGGGAGTTGAGATATTGAAGCTTTTGAAACCCTAGAATTTGGTAATAATTGAATATCCAATTCGAACGAAAAAGTTTTAATCTTTAACTCGGTACTACTTTGTATTGTATTTAACGTATTGGATTTTGCATGTGCATCAATTTTGCTGTGAAAGGAGTTGTTGATCAATTTTCTTTGGAAAGGTTAGCTAAAGTTGCCGGGTAGAGACATTAGTTATGATGGAATTAATCTGTCCTACCTCCTAAGAGTTATTTGCAGTTAACCTCAAATTCATTCCTCTTTTTGATCTATAAAATCAAAGACAGCAAATATGTAACCATCCAGATGGGAAACCCCCAACACCCCCTTCCAGTCTTTTTAAGAGATGGGAATGGAATGATTGCCAACCATGTCCGGGAAGGACTTGGTGCCTGGAAATGGGAGTGCTTTTGCTTCTGTCTTATCTGAAGAAAGCACTCAAGTGCAGATACGTAGCGTGTTTATTTCCTTTACAAGGCTGCAGCCAAAACCAAACTTCTTCTGCACTAGAATGTTACTCAGAAAATGGCCATGGGCTGAATTAGCTATCTTTGAAGAAAATGCCCACATACCTTTAATTTCTTGAACTGTTGCATTGTGGGTTAAACCTTAAGAAATGATAATGAGCTCTTAGATATAAGACCATCTATTGGCTACTTTGACAGTATAATCAAACAAAGGTAACAATTTGAGAGCGGAAAGGGGAGCAACCAGGAAACGGCTGTAGGTCGCACGTCACAATAATAATTTAGCATTATCTGTTGAGAGTCAGTCAGTTCTATGGTAGTTACATTAGGTCTATCGCATGCTTCTCTTTTGATAGTCTTATTGAAGACCTATCTGCTAGACCACAACATAGCCATACCTTTATATATAATTCAATGAATTATCTGTTTATCTTCTAAGATAGATTGTTCACCTTTTAGTTTTCCTTGCTGCTCAAAATCAGATTTCTATGCCCTGTTTTTTCCCCCCATAGCAGTAACTTGTTTGTGCTAAATTATTATTATTTCCTTTTGTTTCAGATTAGTCATCGATCGCGAAACTGGGAAACCCAAAGGTTATGGATTCTGTGAATATAAGGATGAAGAGACAGCGCTAAGTGCTCGTCGTAATCTTCAGGGTTATGCGATCAATGGCCGGCAGTTACGGGTTGATTTTGCTGAAAATGACAAAAATGCTGACAGAAACCGAGAACAGGTGGATTAAAGTTTTACTGCCTAACTAGACAGCTTATTTATTTCTTTTTTCCGCTCAAAGTGATGTCATTGGCACATTCTTACACGACTAGTCTAAAGTTTTACTGTCTAACTATGCAGCTTATTTATTTCTTTTTTCCGCTCGAAGTGATGTCATTGGCACATTCTTACACGACTAGTCTAATGTTAATGGTCTAATAGTATTTTCCTGTTTACGTTGACATCATTTGGATGGGTCCATCCATCGTGCTACTGGGGTGACAATTGTATCTTACAGTATACCTGGATTACTGTCTTCTTTTATGCTATTCCATTGCATTGTTTTTGAGATTTGAGTTGCAGTTGTGCAAATGCCAGTTTATTTATTATTTTTTCCCTGGAGGTGAAATCATTAATGATCGCTTCTACTTCTCTTGCAGGGTCGTGGGGGTCCTGGACTGGCTGCAAATAATGGTTAGTCTTTTTGGTTCTCATAACTTTATGAGTACATTTATCTTCTCATGCCAATGAATCATGAGACAATTTTTTCTTTTATGCTTGCTCAGATCCCTATAAACAAGCAGGGGGGCCAGCAATCCTTGGGGAACCCGCTCAGCATCAGCCAATTGGTCTCCATATAGCTATTACTGCTTCGACAGTCATGGCAGGAGCTTTAGGCGGTGCTCAGACTGTCATGCATTCAAATCAAAATGGTTTACATAGTCAGTCAGCGCTAGCAAGTGATCCCCTGACTCTTCATCTGGCCAAAATGTCTAGAAATCAACTGAACGAAATCATGTCTGCGCTAAAGGTTTGCATTTGAATAAAGCTCATACTATTGTCTTGGTCAGTGATAATTATCTAAATCCTTTTTGCTAACAGGCAATGGCCACAGAAAACAGGGAAGCAGCTCACCAGCTATTACTGGCTAAACCACAGCTGTCTAAAGCTCTTTTTCAGGTACTCTATCTGTTGTGTGGTGTTTTTTCATGAACATAGAGGTTCTATTATTGACTTTATTTCTTGTTGATACAATCTGCCCTAATACTTACCACTTAATTATACACTCTAGAGAGTATGCACAACTTAGTCTGACAAGTTATTTAACAATTTTTACAGGCACAGATAATGCTCGGCATGGTGACTCCACAAGTGGTTTGTTTCAGCACCTCAGACTCAAAGTACAATTTATGGTTTGTTGCATTCATTTTTCCTAAAGAACACTTTATACTGTGCAGTTGCAGCAGCCAAACATGCGACAATCAACAGGTCAACCTGCGCCACCTTCATTACAAGAGTCTCAGCAGGGTCAGCGACCAGCAATTCCAAATCTTCCTGGGCTACCACCTACTGCACAGAGGGTGCACTTGGGCCCAGGTCAATTTTCTGCTGGCCCTCAAAAGCCTATGGTTCACAACCAATTTTCTTCAACCCCACAACCTTCTGTTCAGACTCAAACGCAGATTCCACAACATGTCAACAGCCACGTTCCTCACCATGCCACATTGTTAGGGCAGTCTGCGCCACTTCCTCTAGCACTCCCATCTGTTAGACCTCAAATTCAGATGCCAAACTCTGCACCTCTGAACCAACAAATGCAACCTTCATTGCTACAACATTCAGGACAGGTTGGAAATACAAATATTAGGCACAACCCTCAGGTGGTTCTTCCCAATAAAGCCATGCAATCTTCTCTTTTATCTCAACCTCCTGCAACAGACTCCTCTCAGGTTCAGGTACCTAACCCATCACCTCTTATGATTCAATATAGTAAAACAGAGATGAATGCTTTGTAGGAAGTAGCTTTGCTTTTCCATTTCATTAGATTTGCTTTTATTTGATGAAAATTAGCCCCATTTGCATCTCAACATGGAAGTCTCCCATAGATTAAATATTAGGAGAGGGAAAAGGGAAAAAGAAAGGTGCACATACGTTGGTTAAATTGAATGCCTAGAAATGTTTCATGCTCTTTCTCCTCCTCTTTTAGCTCAGAACTTTCTTGTATCTGGAAATACACTTAACTTTGGAGGTAAATGATTTCTATTGAACAAACAGCATTGTATTGAGATGAACCTTCTTATATATTTTCAATGCATACCTATGCCATCCTGTTTAATTTTCATTCCATAAACTTTCCCTACTTTACGTGTAAAATTTTTTTTAGCAAAGTTTGGCTAGAATCAGTCTACACATTTGTATGAGTGAGTGTGCTTATGCATACACCTTCTTTGCATGTTGGTTGGTGTTATTTCTATTGTTTAACTGACATGCATTATGCTAGCAGTCTGGCCTCCCAGTATCATCGGGCATTTCAGATGCAGCAAATGCTGATAGATCTGCTCGCAGAAGTAATGCATATTTGAACATGCAAACAAGCACGGCTCATGATTCTAAAGAACCAATTAATCACCCTTCAAAGTTGTTAAAATTAGATGATGGAAGGAGCTTGTCTGCATCAATGGGAGGTTCTAATTTGTCTAGTGCCACTGGATCTGGACATTCCCAAGCATCTATAGTCAGTTCAGTTCGTCCAAATCCACTTCCCAGGCCAGAAGAGTTGCAGCATTCTGGGAAACAAGCTTCTCAGGTGTGTTCTCTTTAATGATCTAAATATATCATGATCGTCTATTTTAACTTGGCAGTTTGCATCAACTAGTCCAGAGTCCCAAATGGTCAAAATCACCCCTTTCTTGTCATGATGCTAAATGTATATATTCTGAGGTTTCAATGAAATACTTATCTTGGTTCTACATTGACTCTAGGGAATATAGCGGTCACTTGAACTGTTTAAAGTTGGCTGGAAATTCTCACATGCATATCAGTTGCAATCATTTAAATTAATTTATCAAATATCAATGATTTATCAAATGTTAATATGGAAGAAGTTATCAAATATTGACATCTAACAAATAGCAAGCGCTTGTTATAAAAATTCTGCTGCAAAATGGAACAGTAATCTTGATGACAGTGCATCTTTTTTATGCATTCTGCAGTCTATATTTAATACAGTTGACTGGAAATGATCTTTAGCTGGTTTTTATGATGTACACTCAAAACACTTAATGATTTTAGACTAAGTTCTTGTTGTGAGCTCATTTTATTATCCCTGCTCCATTGCAGCTTCCATCAGACGTAGAGTCTGCCTTACTGCAGCAAGTGCTGAGCCTTACACCAGAGCAGTTGAGTTCATTGCCACCAGATCAGCAACAGCAAGTTCTTCAGCTCCAACAAGCACTTCGGTGAGATCAGATGCAGCCATCATAGCAGAGGCCGAATCACACAGGAGCCAGTTTCCATAGCACTTAATATTTATCAATTAATTCAGGCTCTATCCTTAACAGTTAGAAGGAAAAGGCCTGCTTTTGATTCAGAAATCTCTCAATGCTTGTAAAATTATTTGTTTGTCATAAGGTCCAGTTTCGGATCCGAAATGTTAGCATTGTAGCGATGTAACGATGATTAGTTTGTGCTTAGCATTACCAAAGAATCAGTGGGAAGAAAAGGAAAAGAAATTTTGTGTAACGTGTTATTTTTTCTCCTGGAGTTCGAATAATATTTTACCTATGCTTGGGCTTTTGCCTTTTAACTTTCGCCTTTGTTTCATTTCCAAACGTGACCAAAGCTGACTGTTTTGATTAATTTGAGTACTTTCTTAAGATCTTTCTGTTTTATGATTGGTTTTAATTATTATCTGAAATAATCCTCCGTTTAAGGGGACTCACAACCCTCGTGGCAATCTCCTTGAACAAATAACCTTGCATTAGCTGCCGGTAAATGCACCCTGTAGGCTTCAGCCCACTGGACTCGAAGCCCATGTCCCTGGTTCAACAGCCCACATTTACAGTGAGGATCTCATTCTCCATTCCCCTATCAAAAATAAATAAACAAAGAGAGAAAAAGGGGGAAATCTACCGGGAGAGTGGAGACTTGTAGTTACTTATGAATGCAGATGCAGTGTGATTGCTTTTTAGGGAAAATGCATCAATTCAACAACCGTGCTCATGCGTATTTTTCCCTCAAATTAGTCCTTTGCCTACCTTTGTCCTTCACATAATTCACATGGAACCCATTCTCTTCTCTTATTTCGGATCATCAGCGATCATATGTCAGATCTCCAAAGGTCAACCAACATATACTTTTCCTCCTTTTCTCTGACATATTTCGTTAACTCTTTTAGGAGTGATTGTGCAGTACAAAATAACGATAATTCTGTAGTAATAAAGAACTTTTAACAACTAATAGATTTGACGATGAGCATCTTTGACATAACCAGTAAAAGAAGAAAAAAACATAATCTACCCCGAAACATTCTTCATTGAAAAAAAGTTAGGATATAGGAGTGATTCAATGAGCCGGATGCCACCCTAACCTAATTCTCATTTTAGAGACTAATGCTCATTTTAGTTCAAATAGTTTTTGAAAAAGTTAGTTTAGTCCTTACATTTAATATTTTTTACAAATAAATCCTCAATTAAAGTTTTCATATATTTTAAACTAAAATATTTTAATGCCTATAATGATTTTTTTTTCAATTAAATCTTTGCATGTAAATTTAGTGTAAGAGCCACGTATAAAGTATAGAGCCATGTTCAGAAGTCCATATAAGCTAATGCAACAGTTACTCAATTTTTTTATCCACTAGTTTCCTAGCATGTCCGTTTATTATTCAAAAAATTTATAATATATATTTTTAATTTATAATAGATTATTTATAATTGTTTATAAATTAATAAATTTGAATGCTTATTAAATAAACATGTTCGATTTTAATCCCTATGCTTATTAGATAACCATGTTTGTTCTCTAATCATATAACTTCACACTAATTAACTTCAAGATGAAGTTACTACTTCTAATGCATCCCTCTTAAAAATCCTTGTAGGCTTTGATGGGATTTCTACTCTTTGGAAAAAGCGAGTAGAGAATTGAAGTATTCCGGTGCTGATGTTACTGTTTCTCTTTCAAATACGTATGTGCTGCATTTACAAGGTGAATGACTCGTTTTCTTTCATAAGTCAGCTTGGCCCTGTTTATAGCTTGTGGTTGTAGTCCAAGTTGCATCTGTTTATTCCAGGGAAAGCAAAGTTCCAAACAGTCATGCTCTCTCTCGTGTTTGTGTTGCAATTACCTCCTAATTTATTCCACGTGTTGAGAGAATAGACACTGGATTCCTATCCTTGGTACAGTGCGGGGCACCACAACTAACTGCAGGATATACATGTTCTCTTTTGACCATGCAACAAAAATATATTGAACGTCAGATAATATGGGTGTCTTCCCTTCAATGTCTTGGAGATTTGATGTGAATATCACTGGGCAAGAGTTTTGGGACGAAGGCATTCAAGAGTTTAGCGCGCGCGCGCATATTTTCATTTCCCTTCTATTAAATCTACCATTCGATTGAGGTTGGGTAAATGTTGACAAAAAATTGGGCTGTTTACAGAACTCGCTGATGATTTGAAAAGGATGTTTCTGATCTCACGTGGTCACGCCAACTATAATAGCAATTGAGGTTCTATTTGAGCTCGAAATCATTAAGGCTAAACAAAGGAAATAAGAAATGTGATTTTCCGATAATGTTTTTCTAATCATGAACCTGAACTTTGGCAGGTGCTTGAACAAATTGGGAAGTATTTAACAGGCAAAAAGAAGATGTCCAACTGACATTTTTCCTGAACTTATCAGAACTTTCTTGCTTCTAACTTGTCCAGTATTTTATTACAGAGGTGTCGGCGATATTCTCTTGTAAGACAGCAAGAACTAAATACTACGAGCAGTTATCGGGGTAGTTGCATTGCACGTGCAGTTCAAAAAATCTAAGCTTAGTTTTTTTTTATTTTTATTTTTTTCATCAACACGGCATAGCCGCTCAATAACCAGTAATTTGACATCTAAATTCCACCTCCAATAAGGAAGTGGAAGAAGTGGAAGAACGCACAGATTTTTCCTTATGCTTGCTAGCAGGCTTGGTGAGCAAAAGGATCGAGTTTTTCCAATTAATAAATAATACACGCACATGCCAGGAAACTATTGGATAAAAAAAAAAAAGGAATTAGTGTTGTATTGGCCTATATGGACTTCTGAACATGGGTATATACTTGGCTCTCACACTAAATTTACATGCAAATATTTAATTGAAAAAAAATCAACACAGGGATTAAAATGTTTTAGTTTAAAGTATATGAAAACTTTAATTGAGGATTTATTTGTAAGAAAATATGAAACGTAAGGACTAAACGCACAGATTTTTCAATGGTCAGAATTAAGAAATATTATTTGTCATACTTAGATGTCAAATGAACATCAACGTCAAGCTTTTACCACCAGACTTGACAATAAAACGAAACGAACTAGTGATTTCCCAAGAATCTTTTGAACAGGAACGCCATTTTTCCCTTAAAACGGAGGGCTTTATCTATTTCGAAATCTCACTTTGTCTACAATATGGAACTAGATTTGACTTTCTAATTCACTGTACTTTTTTCATTTCTTTTAATAAAAAGAATGTAACAACGCAAAATTTTTACCCTATTTTCAGGTAATTTGTGTACGTATCTTGAATCAATCTCACCAGAATCCAATGGGCACAAAGTTTTCAGGAAAATATCAGCCATCTCTTTCGGTATTTTTTTTCCTGTGCATGTAGCTGTACAGATAACTCCTTATGCTTGCTCTGAATTAAATTGAAATCAAAGAAACACTCTCCTGATGGTCCTAGCAGTGGCACGGGAAATCAACCTTCCAGCCAGATCAGCTGGCAAGAGAAGTAACTGCTGTTGCAATTCTGGTGGGAGCTGCCACGTGTGTTTAACAAGTTTAGTCAGAAAAACCAGGAATACACAAAACGGAACAAGGATTACATAGTATAAAACTATAACCATTTGAGCTAACGTTCTTTATACTGGTTTCTTTTTCTTTTTTCCGGGTTGGTGAGTGTATTTTAAGGATATTGAAGTTCTTTTATCAAAAGAAAAATTAGGGAAAAAAAAATCCAGATTCCACAAGACTGTTATTATGATCTTATCTTCCATTAAGTCCTTCCTTCTAACTTACAATATAACACATATAACTTTGGACTTCAAAAAAAGAGTCCCTGTTCTTTAACAAGGCCTCATCTATGATAGAGACGGGGCGAATTGTTTTTCAGGTCTAAAAATTTACTCTCGATACTGTGATTAAAGCATAACTCAATTCCAAGCATGATAATTTGCAGGTCTACAAATGTGGATATATGTGTCTGTGTCTTTGTGCATGCGCATTGTATCTATAATCAATGTATATTCAGAGCTTACCTCAGGGATAACAGAAACAATGGGCAGAATCTCTTGAATTGATGGAAATTGATAGAAGATAAGTGATGCTTCCTCTGGGTACGTGTTTTGATTCTTGTTTGGGGTGGTCCTTCTAACTTCCTACAAAGATAGTAACATGTTAACAGTACAAGGCTGACTAGAGTATAAGCCAAACTGGATATGTTGAAGATACTGCCTTGTAGAAGATACTATCAAACTGCTTTCCCACCAATCGTGATCTTCAACTATTGATACACTTTCGTCAGAAAAAAAAATTGTTGATACATTAAACCTTTTTTTTTTAGCATAAGTTCCATTTATCTTTTTCTAAAGCTAATCTACTCCAACATGGCAAAATCACCAACTTTAAACACATCTAAAAAGCCACAATGTCATCAGTTGGATTAAATCAAGTTTCATCTTGATTCTTGGTGGGTAATTGGACTTAACAAAACCACATCCACAAGAATAGCTTAGGCACATTTGTTACTTTCCCTTCCACAGAAAATTAGTGTACCCAACTCTGTCTAGGAAAATGAGCAGAAGATCTTACCATAGGGGAGTCTGCATTCCTTTGGAAACCTGAAATGAGTAACATAAGGCGGCGCAAGGTCCTCAAGTTCATCATGTCTTCGTTAGTCATTGAAGAGGAAGAAGAGGAAGCAGCAAAAGGAATGCTTGCGTTAGCCACAGAAGTTACAGAATCAAGAGTTGCTAGCCCAAATGCATCCAAACCCTGCACACATTGAAAAGAGAAAAAAAAAAAAAAGGCAATTTAAAATCTAGAAGAGCAAAGAGAACAATAGAACATAGCATTACAATTGCTGATAGTTTTGATAACTACAAATAGTTGCTGGATAGTCACTAAATATAGACCTGGCATGAACAGAACCAGAACACTTGCCTTGGCAATTTCTTGAAGGAGTATTTCCCTCACAAAGGCACCCTGCCAATACATCCAATCAAAGATTCAACTAACACTAATGATAACATCACAAAAAATGAAGCAAAATTAAACACACTGGGAGAGAGAGAGAGAGAGAGAGAGAGAGAGAGAGACCTTCTCGGTTAATGTGAAGGAAAGGATTTGCTTGATGGCCTCTTTGGAATCCTTGTCCTCTAATTGGCTTTGAACCAAGGCCTTCTCTGTTTTGGCACGAAGGGACTGCCAGAATTTGTTTAAGATTACGAGTACATTAATTTCATAAAAATAAAATAGCAGAGAAGAGAGAGAGAGAGAGAGAGGAAACGAAAAGGTTTATTGTGATGTTTAGCTGGATATGCTCATTTACTATCACCAAAGAAAGATTAAGTCAATTGTAACAGGACGCTAAGGTTCAAAAGCAAGATTGCCAAAAGAAGGGAACTAGCAGCAACCAAAAAATAGTTCTGAGTTTCAAAGAACTATTATAAAAGTAGGGAAACCAAGGTAAGACAAATAGCAAGTATCATAATCTGAAACCATAATAATGTCATTGCCTCATCGGAACAGAGAAAGATGACAACATTTTTCAACTAAAAATACCAGTGGCCATTTATTTGGTAACTATAATCAAGCTGAATACAACTCCAGTGGGAGGGAATGAAGTTAAGTACAAATCAGCTTACATCACATCAGCTATCGGTCGATTTGGATTAGACTCCCCATACATCATCGCCTTTTTGTTTAAAATCGTCAAACCACTAGAGATTTTAATTTGGACACTCCATTTCCAATTTGTATCATAACTGTAATTGGTTAAAAAATGGCTGGAGTCCCATTGCAAAAAGTCTTAACTATTCAAGGGGTTCAAATCTAAACTTCTTAAACTTTGTGAGGTATATTTCAAATCAATTCAGAGAAGGTTCCTGCTATCTTATCGCTGAGGTTGAGAAAAAAATGGAAAATCTCACCTCTGAAAGCAGCGACTCTAGACGATCTATTCTGAAAACACCTTCCTGAAAAGAGAATGGTCAGAAGCAGAATCTAATATGCTTCAGTATTAAGTAAATACACCAACAGCTTGAGAATGGAAACAAATGAAACATTAAACACAGGATAAAACTTGCAAATCCAAAAACATGAAATACTTATTGCAGATACCTCATAAAGAAGAGCTTGCAAAGATGACCTCAACTGCGGTGAGCTATCAGTCAGTACTTTTCTAGCAATCCAAGGGTATGTACTACCCAAAACTTTGTAATTTGGATCAAAACCAATAGCAATGCCTTCCAAAACAGCAAGACTACGGGCCAGAAAAAGGAGCACAGGTTTTAAGTAGGCAACGTAGGTATTAAAGTAATAAAAAGAGACATACCAACAATCTTGAACAGTGGAAAATAATGCACAGTGAAATATGTCAGTTAAATCAGCAAAGAAAAGAACGACCACCTCCGGATGACAAGAGAAAAATATGAAGGAATTCGAAATTTGAACTTGTACCTGCAAATAAATGAAAATGATAAATTGAAACAAAAAGAGCACTTTAAGAATAATATAAATTATCAATATGGCTAACATGCTGATCGATTTTATGCTTTAGGTTCAATCACTGTATTATTGTTGAGATCTTCGAAACAAAATTTGAAGAGAATTATTAATTCAATTCAGATATAGGTAAGTGAAATAAACAATTATTAGAGGCATGCAGGATTGCACAAACTCGTAGAAATCTCAGACATCCAATTGATATGCAGGGAAGAATATGTGAAAAGTTGTAACATGGTGGCAGCATGTACAAATGCTACCATTTTGCAGTGACAACTCTTAGCATCATGCAGCCTTATGGTGTATGGTTTTTCTTCCTTTCTTTATTTTGACAGATTAAGCATTTGAATTTGGCTTCTGTAAAGTAACCAACTTCCTGAGTACATTTCTTCACCAATTCCCTACCAAAGTATAACATGGTCCCTTCACTATTTAATATGCGTGAAGCATATATCTTGCAAACTAAAGTTGGTCCCAAGATCCTTACATGGTAGTTCCCAAATCTCCCAAAAGGTCTCCAAAACTTATATTGCGGACTCCTTTAGCAACAGCATTTTGGAAGACACCTACAGAAAAACATTATAGATGATGTGAGAACCAGTTAACAAGTATCCTTAAAAATATAAGTTTTGGAGACATAATAATAGGAACTACTAGCAACCCCAGGCTTATGCAGATATAATAAAAGGAACCTGTTAAAGCCTTTGTAACCTCCTCCTTATCCGCAGTTGGCGGAAGAAGCCTGCAAGTAAAAGTAATTTCAGCCTTATAAATACCAAACAACAATGAGAATGATTACTTTAGCTATTGGCAGAAGAGAGAGTGTAAAATACCCAAGTGTCACAAAATCCTTGGACAGTGCATCATAATCACGGTTTACAAGATGGAGACAAGCTTCAATAAATCCATCACGGAACTCTTGTTTAAATTCACCCATCATACCAAAATCTGGTTGCAAGAGTTACTAAAAGTCAATTCATGGTATTCAAACTCTGCAGGCAAAATGATTTGGGTATAGAAATCTGAACAAAATCCAACAAACAATAGATAAAAAGCTGACCAAGAAGTAACGTTAAAAATCATCACTACATAGTTCAAAATTTCGCAGAATGTATCCAACATGAGGTTCAGATCGAAGGTTTTTATGGAACTTTATGCTTGACCTATAAGAGAAAAGGGCTAAACTCGCATACCATGGCATTTTAACTTTAAAAGAGTACCTATATAAGCTAATTTCCCATCGTATGTTCGAAGAAGGTTTCCAGGATGTGGATCAGCATGATAGAATCCATACTCCAGAAGTTGGTTGAACGAGCAGTAAACTCCTACCTAGTCAGCACAGGAAAGTCATTCATCTCAGCCACTAAACCAAACAATAAATGTCATACAGATGAATTATTCAAGAAACAAAGGCTGCTCTCAGTTTCTTAAATGACCTCAACCAAGTAAAGATCCTTCACTTCAGACAACTTTTTCCCCTACAAAAAGCACAAAAGAAAGAAGAAACATAAGACAAATTTTTTTGCATGTGTAAAGATATATACAGGTAATAAAGCATCTTCAAAAATAACGATTTTTACCAGTAACTTGATATTTCAGAGGAGCATATAATAGGAATGAAACCCATGATTGCAACAACTATCCGGTAAAAAAATTTCAGTTCATTCCATTATAGGAATAAGGATTAAAACAGTAGGTTAAAGTTAGTTCCAATATGATCTTATCTCATGATCACAGTGATGCATCTGAAACACAACACTAGATAGTCATTAGGTGGGCCCTTCTTCCTGGTGTTTGGCATGAGATTCATAATGATCTATAAATGACAGCAATGAACATTTTAAGTACCTCAACCCATCCCATTACAAGGACCCTACGAGTTGTGTTCTCCACATACATATCTGGAACCAAGACATCTTGTATACCACCATACAGCTTTCTGTTTAAGCATATAGCATATAGTTATTGGTGAATAACTAGATAAGAAGGAGCATTTTAGAGCAACAGATAACAAAAATACAGAAAACATACATACACAGACATATGCAATAAGTATGTCAGAATGCTCTGACTAGGCATGATTTATTGAGACTTGATTTCACGAGACAACAACACTAGCGTTTACATTCTAAAGTTATAACTATCATTTCATCAAACTGTCAGCTTGTCAAGTGAACCATCATATAGAAAGAGCATATAAAGTTAAAAAAAAATAATTAGTTCTGCTTGTAGAGCTTCATGGCTTAAGGAATCAATGCACAAAGAGTGAAAACTGTGCAACTGATTCAGCAAAAATGCGCAAGTATATTCATTTTTTGCTATGAAAAAACATCCATAGCAGTATCTACTTTGACAAAAAAAAGTGGCTGCAGAAGACACCAAAAAAACTGCAATTAAAAATCTTGAAGAAGACATTCTGGTTAAATCATTGCAAGTTAAATAGTTCCAAGAACCAACATGATAAGACGACCAATTTAAATGTCCTACAAAAGCACCTAGAGAGCGAAGAGAGTGGGGCAGGTACAAAAAACTGACAAGATCGTCAACAATGTTAAATGTTTCAAATGTGGCTTAACACCTAAATACCTATTGATATGGCATTCGGATGATAAACACAGATAAATGGGGGCAGATAACAACAAATTTAGGAAGCCTGATCCATTTTTAGATATTCCAGTCACAACCTGAACAATAGTTACATACCCATCCAAAAGGAAATCTGCTCTGGACATTAAATGTTACATATCACCAAAATTTTCTTTAAGCTATTTAAAACAATCTAGAAGTGGCAGTTCTCAATAGCATCAAATCACAAGGGCAACAACAAAAGAGAGATTCATGATAGCTCCAGATTTATTGGTTATTGTTCTCTTACCTAAACCTGAGTCCATTATTTGCTTCTTTAATATAGTCCATCTCCTGCATTCAATGTGATTTACCTGTATTCAATATGAATCTCTAAGAATATTCCTCAAACAAGTACAATTAAGCTATACAAAATGCAAGTTTGGCTAACCAAAAGAAATGTACAAGTTTCTCAATAATCGAATGGCCTAGCCAAGGAGATCAAGACGTAATATGTGCTCGGGAACAGAAATGCTTCATAACTATGCATAAAGAGATCAAAACATACCCGAAAAAGGCTCGATGCCCACTCATCAGTAACTGCCTGCAAATCAAACTCACATTTCTTAGTCACTGCCAAATGAATTCATAAGAAGACCAATATTTCAACAGGCCAGGTCATATTGAATGCAAAATCGTTTAGCATGACAAAAGGAGGACCTTAAGATCAGAATTTAATCTTCCTGCTTTCTTTACCACTCCTGCAATAAAACGCAATATCAGTATGTCTAGGGAAATAGCAGCTTGAACTCCTGGCCTCTGAACTTTAACAGCAACAACTTGTCCGTTACTGCGAAGCCTTGCTTGGTACACCTATTTGTTTGTGCAATACAATGACAGAGAGAAAGAGACAGAGAAATATTAGTGAACATTTTCAGTAAACTATAAATTAGAAAAAAAATTAAACAACTCCTACACCGTACAACCAAAGCACGGACCTGTCCAAGAGATGCCGCAGCTATAGGCTCCGGTGAAATCTCAGAGAAAAGCATGTCTATTGGTAATCCGAGTTCCTGTTCTATTGTATTTAAAGCAACTTCTGTCGAAAATGGAGCTATTCTATCTTGCAACAGGGATAGTTCATCCAGATATGATGGTGGTATCAAATCCTACAACAAAAATTATGCTAATTCAAATTCTTGCCTATTGTTACTTTTCTTCTTCTTTTTTTCCAACTGCATTAAAAAAAAAAAAACAATTATAATTTATTATGATTTAAAAACAACTTACAGGTCTTGACGAAACAGCCTGAGCAATTTTTATGTAAGCCTGAAAACAGAAATAACAAACACAACTGATTTTTAAAAAAAGAATCTTAATAAATTTTAATTAGACAAAAAGAAAATCGCAGAAACTACACCGGTCCAAGTTCAAGCAATATCTTCCGAAGCTCAGCAGCTCTAATCTGCAAACCAGGAAAAGCAAAATTAAAAAATAAAAAATAAAAAATTAAGCATACAATAGAATAAAATTAGCACAAAAATAAGTAGCATTTGTTTTTAAACCTTGAACATTTGATCAGATTTCTCTGTAATACTATCAATGTATCGAGCCGCAAACCACCTGCCGAAAGTAGAACCAATTTGAAACAATCTGCGGAGCAAAATCAACGGTTTTCTCTTATAAATTGCTCCAATCTTTTTAATATCGTAATCATTTAAAGAATCCGCTTCACTGCTACTAAGCTTGAATAAGTAACCGGACTTCTCTGTAAACGCGTCCACATCGTTGTTGTTAACAACTCGGAGAATTTGAGTAAAGGATTTTTGCGATTTGTGCTTTTTCGATATTAAATTGGAGCTGAAATTGGAATTAAAAAGAAAGGAATTAAAAGATGGTGAAGAATAGAGTAACATTTTCTTTCTTTTCTTTTTGCAGGTTCTGGTTGTAGCTGAAGAGCGCGAGTGTTGCTTTAGTGGGTCAAGGGAGGATGAGTACGGAAAAGTAACGTCTCTTTTGTAATCCATTCAGGGGTTTATACCATATTTATTTATTTTCTGGCTACGAGAGTGCCAAATGGGATGCTTTTATCCGAGGTCATGATTTTATCGTGGTTTGTTAAATAATGTGTTTTATCGTCGTGGCTGCTTAAGCGCTCTCCTCCACGCATGTTATAACTTATCTAAGGGTTTCTGTTTCATGATGGAAAAAAATATAAACGGATCACTGTTCACACCCGAAAGCAATTCCTGTGATAGAGGCTGGCATGATTTTGAGCTGAGAAAAGAAAAAAACAGCAAAGGTAGTAGTTTTAAAACGTTTCTATAAGGTATTATTTTTAAAAATACATTTGGATTGCTTTTTTTGTAAAAGTAGTTTTAAATATTTTTGATGTGCTGATACTAAAAATATCAAAAAGCACCCACTCCATGAAATTGCATTACCACACGCTACGCTAAGCCTTTCTATGTTATATGATATATATTACTTATCGTGTGTGTAACACAATTTATTTTTAATCAAATGTTTTTGATACTTGATGATTTTTAAATGTTTTTTTTGTTTCCCTTGATCCATTTTACCTCTTCTCAAAAGTAAGGAATCTACCAAAAATTACATTTTCATTACTTGAAATTGGAGTTGAATTCTGGTTGACAAATTGAAAAACAAAACTCATTCAATTGTTACGAGAATCAACATAAATATACTACAAGAAAAAATTGTGAAATTGACCAAGCTAGCGAATTGTATAGAGAATGCAATGACGGCTGTTGTTGTTGCGTCAGACTCGATCGTGTAATCAAATCATGAATTGATGGAATCATTTTATAATTTCTTGAACACTTGCCATTGCAAATTATAATTTTCAAATTCCAAAAGTCGGTTTTAAGCATCTTTTCTCCTCTATACAGAGATCATCGAGGGTCCTCGAATTCCAAATCAGATAAGGATTCTTTCCATTCATTATGTGTCACATACAAATTTTTACTATGTGGGATAAAATTTTTAAAAATTGAACATTTCTTCTCTCGTTAACTTCCATCTTCTGATCAAAAAATAAAAGAAACCCTTCATCTCTTGTCTCTCTCTCTCTCCGATAATTTACCGCCCAACTCCTCCTTCCTCTGTCATCTCCCTCTCTCTATGGATGGCTCTATCTCCACCAATCTCTTTAGTCGTCACCCCGACGACAAAGTTCCTAATGCATATTGTAGCATTGGTAGTCCCCTCGTCGAAATCACCATTAACGAGCTTGTGCACTGTTACAGAACTATCAATTTGCGAGAGTTGCTGTATAGCTAGTTTTGTGACTTTGCCACGACAAGAAATGGGTAAAGTGGTTTTTCTATATAGCTTTTTTTTTTTCGTTTTGTGATTTCTGCTTAATGAATTAGATTATGAATAATTTCTGTTTCGAATTTTGGTATTTGGAGATTTTGCCTTAGATATTGTTTTTTTTTCTCGTGGGTTTGGATTAAATGGGTTAACTAAAATGTGAACTTTGGAAATTTCTACAATTCTTTGCATTTTGGCTATGATGCGATTTCTATTTGAATGGGGAGTACTCGCGAGTTCCATTTTATGCAATGTTGCACCATTATAAAATTCTTTTGTTTATTGACAACTTCCCTTGAATATGATTTCATCTTAATCTCTTGATTTCTCTGATTCTTAGTGGCAACTTGACTGTCCATTGCTTTCTACTTTAGTTTTTGGTAGAAATGGTTGTCTACTTACTTGATTTGCAGTAAATAGAGAAAATAGTTTCATATTGGTCATTGTTGGCATTTTCTTATTGCAATGCAAGATAAAGTTTACTAATTAAGCTTTTTTTGATAGTTGTTCACAGTAATGTTTTTCTTCATAGATGTGACTTTACTCTTAAGTGTTCTGAAGCAAAGTAATTATTTTCTGTTGAATAATTTCATTTGCAGAAGAATTTCATAGAAAAGATGCATCAAACTGATGTTATTTTATATAAAATTATTGAAGTCATTAAATCTTTGTTTTGGCTAATTGGTTTGGCTATAAATTAGTTAATATTTCAGTTTAAAATGAAGAACTAGGGCTATTGATTTTCTTCTCGCCTATTACATCATGGCATGGGTTATCAGTATACTGCAACGATGAAGGTAGAGACATGTTGGTGTTAATCTCTAATTTTTCCATGATTGTTTTTATTGTCAACAAGATTGTCTTGTATGTAATTTCCAATGAATTTCAAAATGTTGATACTCTTTCTATTATTGTCATTACAAAAGTTTTATTAAAGTTTATTTGTACTCTGATTCATCAAATCAGGAAATAGTAGAACTTGCAGCAGCTGAGGTTGTAATAATGTTAGAGCCAAGGCGACGTTATGGCTTGCACATTACATTAGCACTTGAAGCAGAAGAAACTCCCGATCAAACAGTTACATCTCTCCACCACTGAATGAGGTCATGTACCGGAGAAATAAAACCAAAAATCACAAAAAAAAAGGAAGTATCATCTTTTCAAGGTCTAAATTTCTACACATTGGCATATTTCAGATTATAATTTTCTTTTAATTGAGTTTTTTTTTCCTTTTGGGTGAGGTTTATTTCAGCAGTAATTGAAGCCCGAGAAGTAAAATGGCCACATTTGAGGTGTCTTAACATCTTTAGATTGCCTTGTACAATTAGGGATTTTATAATTGAATTGTTTGAGTTGTTTTCAATCAAATTTGATCTAACACAAATACATGTCCAGATCTAATGCTATGTTATTTTGAGAGATATTTACAAGCACACAAAGTCTAATTTTCATTTGCTTGACACATTTAATTTTCACTTGCTTTGTTTTGTTAGTAATGTAGATAATTTTTTTCCCCTTCATTATAAAAGCAAGATTTTAAGCATGTACTTCAATTTTCAGGTTGAACATTTCCTGGGGATAAATCATAAGAAGGAGCAAGGGAACTCCAGCGTACCAAAGAAGCCTAAAACTTAAAGTTTTGTAGAATCTCTATCTCAAATACGTGCCGACATAAAAGGATTAGTGTGGACGCAAATGGTTAATCTGCTGACCCAATGGGGATACATTTATTGACAATCATTTGTATCTGCTCTAGATTGTGTACATAGGAATGATATAAAAGAGGGTTTTTTTTCAAATTTTGTTCAGCAGAATTTTAGCATTGAGGCAGAACATGATAGATTCATAGTTTCTTAATTATTTAAAGTTTCATTTTCAATGATATTCTATTTTTTGTTATAAAATTGATACTCTCATATTGTTGGCACCAAAATTTTAAATGAATATATATTGCTACACCCATATACTACTACTACTTATCCAACCTTCAATCTATGATTTGCAAAATAAAGATATATAATTTAATTTTTAAAAGGGAAAAACCCTAAACTTAAATAAACTTAATATGTCATTAACAAGTTCATAATAAATAATAATAGGACGTCCTCTCTAACATACAAAAAAGGTCTCAATGTGCCATAAATGAGGCTAAATAAACAACGAAAATGGTGACTCTGAATGTCTTTTCCATTCATCACTACAAAAGTGTCTCAATCTGCAATAATTACTTATACCATTTTCTTCATATCAATCATCCACATTTGAAGTTGTGTTTATAAGTTGAGCATTTAAAGATGAACTCTGCAAACAAATATGCACATTCATGCGTTGTTGAACTTGTAAAAAAATTTTATTAGTAAAGCACAACTATAATAACTTACTTGACTCAAATGCACTATAGGCTCAACACCTTGTAACATTGTAGTAAATGGCATGTTTGAACCTCCCATATTCCAATACTAGTAAAAATAATAGTTTTAATTAGCCTAAAAATAAAATAAAAAATGAATGCAATACAATAAAAATTTAAAGTTTATGTATACCTGGAAGGGGCACCAACTTGACTTGACATATGCAGATGTTGGTGGTATGGAATTTGGATCGAAGTTGCAAGATGATATTAAAAATTATGAATGTTATGTGTGCTCATACTTGGAAAGGATCCCGGCTAGACAAGAATATATAATAAATTATAAATATCATAAAAACTTCATGTAAGAAATATGGCAATGGATTAAAAGAGTACCTCATCTTGATCATTTATCTTTTACCTTGTAGGAACTTTGCATTGAGAATTTTTACCTCTCTTTTTCTCTACAATCGAAAAGGATAATAATCTAGATGTATTATTATTTACATCTATAATGAAAATGAAACTATAAGTTAGAAGGTATTCATACTAAAAGTGACAAATGACATTTTTTATTTTAGAAACTCTGTGATTGTTGCTTTTGCTTTTGTCTTTGCCTTTTTCTTGAATTTTTCTAAGTATCCTTTGAATCTTGCATTAGAGACGCCTTTGGTCTTTGCACGAGGGGGTTCAAGATAGGATTAACATCAAGTGTCTCTTCTACATTTTGCCCATCATCCGCTTCATTTTCCATTTCTTGACCATCTAAAGAAATGCTCAATTTGGCCAATTCATTCTCAATATCTTTATCAATCTTCTTTAGTCCATCTTGAACAATCTCTCTTGTTTTTACGTTTCCTTGACTCTTCAAAATGATATTGTAAGCATTCCGTATCATGTTATTTTGGTAAACCATCTCATAATCATTATTATTACTATCCACACTAGCATTATGCGTCCCTTATTCCAACCATCTATTTCTTACATTTTTACACCATCTACTTAACACATATTTATTTGGAATTTCATCAAAGTTCTTAATGATTAAGATCTTCAATGCATGATGACATAGCAAACCCATAGACTCAAATTTTTTACAAGAACAACTTATCTCTATAGTGGACATATCTAACTTTAAATGATGAATCCTTGAGTTATCCATTCCTCCAACCTCAAATTCATAGACACCACTATCGGAAGATAGTTATAACCAAAATTTCCCATGACATTTTTGAACTCCTCCTTAAACAATTTGAAAAGTTTATGAGTATAAACATTTGCTGCATGGTTTAAAATCCCACTACCTTTAATTGCTAGAGGAGACCTACTTTGCTTACAACGAAAATCCTCTTCACCCTCGAATAACGTCATCCTTTGACAATTTCCTCAAATGATTTAATAAATTCCTTGAGAGAAGTAGTTTTGTTTACCACATCTCCCAAAACATTATTAGTGCTTTCACTCTACTACGATGATAGAAATCCAGACTGAAAAATAATCATTAGACAAAGTGGTGCTCCAATTTTTGTATTTCTCATATAATTGGTTCAACCACTTGTGCTCTCTAAGATCAAAGGCATCTAACATTTTCTCTCAATTTTCTTCGAACTCGGTTTAAGATTCACAACCTTTCAAGCACTTATGAAACAACTTTTGAAAATCAAGATTTGAATTTAGACCACCAAGATGGTTTGGAGCATTCTTAGTTACAATGTGCCACAAATAAAGCCAATGACAAGTGTTAGGAAAAATAATTTTAATCGCATTAGCCATTGCTTGGTCTTGATCGGTAAAAATGACAAGTGGTGATTTTCTCCTATAAAATCCAAGAATGACTTAAATAACCAAGTAAAATAAGATCCGGTTTCATCCAATAAAAATACACATCCAAACATGACATTTTGCCAATGATAATTAACACTAACAAATGGAGCACACACCAAGTCATATTTGTTTGTGCGATACGTTGTGTCAAAAACAACAACATCACCAAAAGAAATCATAATCAATGAATGACTTCCCATCCCCCAAAAGAAATTTGTCATTCTATTTTCTTGATCCACTCGCACATCATAAGAAAACATCGAGTCTTCACTATGTTTCTTCTTAAAAAGATAAATTAAGCTTTGTGCATCACCATGCTCAATCAACCTTATTTTTTCTTTACCAATAGAGTTATGACAATCTCTCTTAGTAAACCCAAGATACTCACTACCTTCAACTTCTCTCGCCATATAAGCAAAAGCATCCCTCGTTCTTATGTCGGCATTAACCATTATGCAAATAACATTAGCCTTTGGAGTTGTTAATGCTCTATTTGATCTCAATAGGTGAAGGTGAAGCTAGTTCATGATTATGTATTGAGACAAAGTGTGTGATAACCCACAAACCATCTTTAATTGTTAATCCGATCATTGCTCCATAATCACTTTATGTTTCAAATCTATTACGCCGATTTGTTGAGAGGGGGTTCGTCTCTCAACTTTACTAGCTTTGGAACATCAAAACTCCCTTTGAAGAATTGTATGAGACTTTCCACTACTATATCTTAACTTAGAACGTCTAACACCGAAACCCGTTCTAATAGCATACTCGTTATAAAAATTATACGCCTCTTCTTTGTTCTTGAATACTTTTCCCATCAAATTATCGCACTCATTGTGACTTCGGTTGACATAAAGAGCATTCTCTTCTATGATCACATCGTCAATATTAACTTCGAGCATATACCTACATAAGAAAAACAAACAAGAAAGTAAACACAAGTTGTAAATTAAATAATTCTGAACATAACCAATTAAAATTATATTTATGAACTTTACCTTGAGTTTCGTGGTAAGATATATTTGTAAACTTTACCTTGAGTGTACAACGTTGTAAGAATCTTCCATTTTCAATTTGTAACCCTTTTTCTTGTCTCTTGCTGCTGTCAATGCTCACAAAAAATAAAATACTCAAAGCAATTGTCAATTGTCAGATTTTTTTTTGAAACCGGATTTAATATTTCTTGTCTCCTACTGTCAAAATTCGAAAGAATAAAGTAAATGCAAAGTGACACCAGGGCTAAAAACGATCAATTCCATGTCTAATGAAGTAAAAGAATATGAAAATCTAATCAGATTTCAAATCGTGGCTTGACGTCGATGAAAGTATAAGAATATAATGAGTACCATATTTAAACTTCTCATTATGCTTGGATAAAGAAATAGGGTAATTAGAAAGTAAACAAAAAATCCATTATAAATTAGTGGCAGTACCTAATTCATGCTCTGAAATGAAAGCAAAACAAACGAGCGTAGATTTTCAAAATTTATTCATGAGGGATGGGAACCAAACAATCATGAATTTCTTCTTGACAGGAACATGGGATGGAGCTAACGAGAGAGGAGAGAGGAGGGAGGGAAAACGCAGAAGAAAAAGCGCTAAAAGTGAATAGAATAATAATAGCTCCTGTGCCAAAAATTTTAAAATTAAAGGAGATAAAATTTTTATCCCATATGATAAAAATTTACATATAACACATATAACACATAATGAATGGAAGGATTCTTATCTAACGTGGAATTCCATACCCCTGGATAATTTCTCCTCCTCTATAATACGTTACATTTTTGTAATTGTCAAAAAGTCAAACGAAGCATATCTAGGAAGATATTTATATGCTCATTACAAAGATCACGTGCTTCATCACTGCATTATTGTAGAGACAAGTTGTAGTAATACAAGACAGCGCAGGCAGTCCTTTCTTCACTATCCATATAAAACACATGCTAACAAAGAGAAGCCACTCACATACATGCACACACATGATTACACGTACGGACATAAAAGTAACAGCAAGCTACCTAAGCCACGTCTATGGCTTTGACATTCTTTTGGCTCTCCTGGGTTTCGTTCTTGGGCACAACCACAGTCAACACCCCATTCTGGAGGTTGCACTTGATTTCGTCCAATTTGACATTCTCCGGGAGCCTGAACCGCCTACGAAAGCTGCCGCGTCGGCGCTCTACATGGTGCCATTTGTCACCCTTGTCCTCGTGCTCCTTCACCTCTCCCCACGTATCTGCAGTATGTTGCCATCTTCCAACTGCACCTTGACCTCCTCTTTCTTCACCCCTGCGATCAAATACATTAAAATACCCATGTAGCTTAGATAGTACGGTCCTTGCTAGCTCACATCCAGGTGAAACTAGGGCACAAATCCCTACTGCACAACCTATGCTAGCAGCTTCTTTTTCTTTCATGTGCTAGCTCCAAAATTTTTTAGTATTGATCAAAAGGATACCTTAACATGCTAAAATAAAAGGAGCCACAGTAATTCGACAAAACTGACGTATCAAGAACTTATCTCATACCAAAGCTCGATGTATGTGAAAAAAAAAAAAAAATTTATGATTTGCTTTCGAAAATGAAACTGCTTTGACATCAACAATTTTATTTTATTTTTTTTTTTAAAGAAAGAACCAATATTTGGACATAAATTAGACTCGAGCTGAACAGTGAACTTACACGACAATATTAAAGAAGGTCACGATTAACAAGGTAATTAAGGTATAATAAAATACCAGGTATATCAGCACGAAAGATATGAGCTTCGTCAGTCTCGCGCCAATCAGCATTAGCCAGAGCTAAGGCCGTGGTGTCGTCGCGGTCACCGCCACGATCACCACGATCCAAACCTAATCCAGCGCCAAAGGGGTCCCACAATTCGGAGGTTAACCAATCACGGTCCCCTCCACGGCCCCAACCGAACCATGGTACCAGCGACATTGTTGCTCCTCGTTATATTTTGTACTCTCTACTATCGAAATTTAAGTACGATTTTTTATATTTGGATGATAGACTCTCTTTCCAAGGGAAAGAAAGATTCTAGATTAGACCTTTGACACGTTTGCTTGTGCGAGACACGTGGAAAAAGTTCTGTGAACATGTTTGCATGGTCGTGCCACATAGTCAATGCCGTTGCCACGTACGTCATCAACAGAGCCTCCATAGACTTGCAATGATACTGCCCAAAGAAAGATTCTAGGCTAGTGCATAATTTTCAACTCAGCAAACCCAACCAATTAATAAACCCTTCCACATAAAACAAAAATTATTATTATCAAAGCTTTTAATTAATTAAAATATTATTTTTCCGTTTTTAGTGTATTTAATTAAAATCTAGGCTAGTGCATGATTTTCAACCCAGCAAACCCAAACAATTAATAAACCCTTCCGCATAAAACAAAAATTACTTTTATCAAAGCTTTTAATTAATTAAAATATTATTTTTCTGCTTTTAGTGTATTTAATTAAAATCTCATGTTTTGCTATAAATATGAAATTTTATTAATTTTCATATTGTTATAGGATTAGTTAGACTTTCTAACATGCAATATTTTTTAAAAAATAAAAATAAAAACACTTTATCTAAAATTCTAGTTGTGAAGTTTTAGATTTTTTTTTATTATTTTTTTGCATTTCAATTAAAAAAATTGTTTACTAAAAAAAATTAAATTTAAAGAATAAATTAAACATTTTAAATGCATTCATAAACAAATAAGATGTAATAAAAAACGTAAAAATAAATATGAGATATTAGATTTTATATAAAGAAAAATGAATATCTGCATATCTTTATCGAGAAATTGGATTTTGGACAATACTCAGTTGTGCTACTCTTGTTGATTCTTATTGGAGATCTTGTTATGATATTGGGGTTGCCTGGCGAGTGTTCGACGAAATGTGTGAGAAAATTATGTTTTTCAAGACTGCTGATTTTTAGATATACTAGAGTTAGAGAGACTGAGAATGCTATTTCTTTCTTTTTTTTTTTTTTTTTTGATGAAATGCATAAGCGGGCTGTTCTTTCTTGGAATGTTATAATTTCAGGTTGTGCAGAAAATGAGTTGTTTAAGAGGACTGTTACAATTTTTAAAAGATGATCGGTCTTTGAATTTTGACAGATCCAGCGGCCCTTCTTGCATGGACTTGACCTTGCTTTGATGATGGTTAATCCCTTTCAAGCATCCCATTCCCCCAACCCTGAAAATCCTCGCTCAAAACAAACGAATGGCTACATATGATTTTCACTTCCAGCTAGATCCTTATAGCTACCACGTGTATAGTGTCCTCTAACAATCTCGCACTGCTATAGTCTCTTCTATTAATCTCGAACTAATTTAGATAAAAAAAAAAGAACAACTTGCAGAACCAATAATTCAGTTTGGAATGATTGGGTGTGTTGAGATAGCCCGGAAAGTGTCCCGGGCTATAACTTTCTCCCAACACTCTGCCGTCGCGAGCCGCTCCTAGGAAAAAGCCTTGGCCTTTGCAAAAGCCAACAACTTCCCACCAAATGCCAAGGTTTACGGCTCCTATGAGTCCCTCCTTGACGACCCAGAAATCGACGCCGTCGTTATTCCTTTGCCCACCAGCCTTCATGTTAAATGGGCCTATTTGGCTGCTGATAAGAAGAAGCACATCCTGTTAGAGAAGCCTGTAGCGCTGAACGTTGGTGAGTTTGACAAGATTTTGGAGGCCTGCGAGGTTAATTGAGTGCAGATAGGATGGGACCCTGTGGATGCGTAATGCAAGAACCCACAAGATGAAGGAGTTCTTGACTGATAAGGAGCGTTTTGGCGAACTCAAAAAATGGTTAATTTGTTTTCGTTTTCGTTCTCTAGACTACATATGGTTTTCTTTAGTGTTTTTCTTGCAAATTCCTTTCCAACAGCTGCCATGGTTTATTGTTACAGTATTATTACCAGCTTTGGACCCGCGCTTCGCTGTGGGCTTTATATAGTTAGATGAACGATTCACGACGTTGTTCACAAATGTGATTATAAAATAAGATGATATTTACAAATAAATTTAAAATCAATCAATTGATAAGCGAAAAATTAATCAGGACCTATTTATTTTAGTCATTGGATTAATGTTGTGTGATGTAGTCTGTGAAAAAGCTTTTTATTTATTTATAAAATATAAAAAGGTTTCTGCCGTAAATAAAAAAGATTATAGCGTTTATAATTGAAAATATTTTTTTCTTATAACTGACAAATCCATTGAAAAATGCTTCATCGTGCGCAATACTACACAATGGGCAAAACTAAATAATTTTATTTTAGTTTAATAAGCTATATTATGAGTTCAATTAACTAAAATATATTAAATTAAATGTAAAAATTAATTCATCTAATTTCATACTATTTGATTTAAATTTTGTATTTTATTTATTCTTTTAAATATTTTTTATTGTTAAAAAAATAGAAAATTTACTATTTTTTTTAAAAAAAAACCTCTAAATATTTTTTTAATATGACTGCATCACAAATATAGCAAAAATCAATAAGAAAACTTGAATAAAAATTAACTAACAATTCTTTTTATAACTTTTTAAAAATATATGCATTTTATTTACATATATTTTTATTTAGAAAATAATGAATAACAGTAGTATGAAAAGATGTATTTAAATTATTAGATAGATATTCTTAAACACTAATTTAACTATTTTTATTTGGAAAAAATTATTATAAAATATATTTATATATAAAATTAATAGCAAATGATTAGTATTATCCAAAATTATTATCATAACTCTCAGAGCAAACACGATTCTTAATTAACTTTTATTTAAAAAAGTATTCTTAAATTTGTTAGTGCATCAACTAAGATTAAAGTTTGTTCACATGAAATTTTAAAACACAATCCCAAATGTCGAAAAGTGCATTTTAAAAAATAGATTGTTCAATAATATAAATCTTTTATAAATAATTATTGTGTTTATTATTCAAATAAAATAAATAAATAGTAACAAAATTGCTCTTACACGACAAAGACCGTGGCACAATCCCTCCCATGGGCTCTCCAACACAAGTCTCTGAAATGCCAAACTTTAGAGCAATGATCATGTTGCATGGGCAATTACTGGCACACTGCAGTTGGCAAAGTCTTCTTCCTTTGCGGCAAAACTGCAGGAGATACTTCCATCATCCTGTTCCTTACAACTCTTGAGCCCCTTGCAGCCAGAGGCTAGCAATCACTAAATCATAGGTGTGCATAGGGGTCAATTCCCTATCAAAAGGGATCTGGATAGAATTCATATATAGAGTGTCCACGTACAACTTCTGCGCTATTTGTATACAAAAGAACAAAAAAAAAAAAAAAAAAGTCTTTATTGACTTATTTTCCTCTCCTTATGGGGAAAGAAAGCTTTCTAGATCACTAAATTTATAACATCAAACAGACAACTTTCTGCAGTCCACAACATGAAATTGCTCAATTTGATAATAGGGAATGCAGATTTTCAGGGGATATTGACTTAATTTCTCTATTTATAGAAGCCAGCGATCACATATATAGTGTCTCCATGCATTTGATACAGTATTCCGATTACCTAAAAAAGGAAGTTAGCTTATTTCAAAATATTTCTTTGTTAATTAATAAAATCCACTACAACTTACAGTCTGGTATACAAAAATAGGCAGAAGAAGCTGCTTCTGCAGGGGCAAAAAATCAAGCATCACAATTTAATGCCAAAATATATCTCTAGGCATGCATCTTAATCCATCAAGAATAATATGTGGCTAGATATATCTAGAAGCCATTAATAAATAAATCATGGAGTCTATTAACAGGCATGAAAAAAAACCTTTTCATTAATTTAGTACAATGACCAAGGATCTTTCTTTACCAGTCAACTGTAGCAAGTTCCAGTTTAGGACGATCTTAGTTTCTTTGAGTTGGTTGTTTTCCTTGCTGAGTCTGAAACGGTGGACAAACTGTTCTTCTTAAACTTCTGAACCATAGTGTAGACCTGCATCAAAGAAGACACTGTCAGGGAAAATCAATTTTATAAAGCAAAAAAGAGCACCTTGTAAAACAATGGTTGAATGAGGAATGTATCGTCAATGCTTGGCTTGTAACCTTTTTTCAACAGCTAGCCTTGGTATGGACCAACTTGAGAGCATACCTTCGGTGATATTTAACTTTTTCAATCAGAAGGTTTGAAATTTGCAACCATTATTCTAATCTAACAGGAACTTATATGAGGGGAAAATCATCCCTAAAACTCTGTAATTTGTAGGGATTTTGCGTATCAACTAAGAAAGACCAATGGATGTTGTTTTGCCATGAATACCAATCAGTACATTGGCTTCCCAAATATCACAAAGTCGTTACAGCGATCTGAAACTTAACATCCCAATCAGAAATGAAGTGCATGAGGATTTCATGGATTAATCCAATCACCAAATTAGCCATCTAAATTATATAAAGGATGAAAAAATAATTTTTTTTCTTTTTCCAATCCAAGCCTACAACACATGTAAGTAGGGTCGCAGAGTTGTTGCTTATCAATAAGACTGACTAACCACTTCACTATCCAGTGTCCCCTCTCCTAAGGGAACAATGATTAAATAGAAGCCCAAAGCCAAGAACATCAGGAATCTAAACTGTGATGCCAATATTTGCAAAGAATCGAAAAACTCACCACGAAATACAGTGTCAAATTGATTGATACTGAATGAAGAAGCAAAAAATCCATAAAATCATGATGAAATGCAAGTTATCTATCAAATTGATTGATACTGAACAAATCTTTTTTGCCCTTTCAGCAATTCTTGGAGCCAAAGCAATATCATTCACTTCGTTTCTAATCAAGCCCGAAACATAATTAAATTGAATTTCGTCAGGATTCTTTGGAAAAAACCCTAAAATTGCATTCATTTATAACAAAAAGCCCTAAAATTACATCCATTTCGCAAGTGAGAAAGAGAGAGTAGTCGACCTGTTCTTCGAAGTGGCTAACTCGAGAGAGCATGGCTTCCATGAATTAGGACTCAATGTTGAGCGACTCGTGGCATTTCTTTTTTCCCTGCCTCTGTGCCTTGCATCTCTTCTTCCATTCTCGACAACAGAGAGAGAGAAAAATCAATCGAAAGACAAATTTGTGGGTGGTGGGGATTCGGGTTACAGGTTCGGGTGAGGGAGATGGCAATGGCGGCTTGACAGCAGCGGACGGTGGTGGAAGGGTAGCTGTCGGCGGCTGAGGGGACTGCTGTTGAGAGGTGTGGAGATCGATGGTGGGTGAGGAGTTTTGGCAGAGAGGTAGTCTTTGGCTGGGAACTTTCGACAGAAGAAGAAAGGCACAGAGGAAAAGATTAGAGCTGAGATTTGAACAGTGAAAGGAATAGTTTTTTTTGAGTTCGTGTCCACAGTAATTATAGTCACAGTGAAACAGTCTTTGGAACAGTAAACTATCATTTTACTTTAGTTATTTTTGTTAATTATTATATTTTTTGCCTTTATTTTTTCATTTGTCCGCCAGTTGCTCTCTTCCCGGTTGCTCTTTTCACCTGATCACCTCTAGAGTTGCTAGATCTCGATTTTCATGCAAAGCTGCAAACCATACCGAGAGCTCAAAGTGGTGCTTTATAAGGCTTTAATTTTGGCGCTGGCTTCTGTACTTTCGTTTATACAAGTGAATGGATTTGTTTATTTTCAATTTTCAGATAAAAATTTTACCTTTGTTTTCAAATTATGATTCCTGGTGATTTTAGAAGGACGGCAAGACTTATATCAAATTTCCAGAAAAAAAAATCCTAGGTTTGTATTTAAATTGTAATTTTGTACTTTTGGAATGAAGGCGAGCCATATTTGTAGTTGTCGGACGAAAATCCTACGTTTATGTTTAAACTGCGATTTCACTTTTTTCTAACGATAGTAAGCTTTATTTTCGACTTTTGGTCCTATGAAGTTGATACTAAACTTTCAGATTAAATGAAAATTCAAGTTTTTATTAGTGATTTTTTTTATTTGACAAAATGTTATTTCTCTTTATATGCTATAATCAACTAACTTTACTTTCTTTTATGTATAAAGAAATTAATGCATATCCATTATGGACAAGATCTAGTTTTATTTTTTCTGTCAATGATTCTAATAGGGTCTTATGCTCTTTGTTTATTTGTTTTTATCATGACGGTGTTCTTGATTTTATTTTTCTTGATAAAATTCATACAATTTTATGAATCATTGTTGTTAATTTGTTCCCATAAATCAAATATAGATAAATGGTCTAAATTTCATTTGAATTTTAAGTTAGTTGATAATTATTTTCTCAATTTTAAATTTTAAATTAGCTCTTTCTAACTATTTTTTCATTTGAAATTGAGTTTTTTAGGTTTCATCCATTTTAATGATAAAAGTACATATCATTTGTATATGGTTGACTTTGTAACTTATCGAATATATAAAAATATCAAATTTTATGGATTTTTTATTTTTTTCTCAAAACTTGTTTCTTTTTTATTCTAAAATACTTTTTAATTGCTTAGTTTTGAACATTTAGGAGGAAAGAAATAAGTTTTGAAAGACAAGAAAAACATTTATAAGTTTTGATATTTTTTATTATTGAGAAATTACACTTACTTATCATAAGTGATGAAATCTTAATAGACTAACTCAATTTCAAATAAAAAATAAGTTTTTGGAAGGTCTAATTCGAAATTAAAAATTGAAAAATGAATTTTTCAACTGATTTAAAGTTTAGGAAAAATTTATAACCTTTACCCATCAAATATAAATACTACTTGCTACAGCTAGTTTAAATTTTTCTTTTTTTTGAAATTTGTGATATTTTAATTTGATGAATCGTGATTATATATATGTATATACTTTCTCATGCATAAAGAAATTAAAATATTCAAAAAATTACTACTTATTTTATACGTCTACTTCAATAAAAAAAAATATGTATACATACATATAAAAAATACAGCTACATCCATAAAAAAAAATAATAAAAATATTTTCAATTAAATTTATTTATTTATTTTATATATATCTGTTTATGAAATAAATATTGATAATTACTCGTTTGCCGTCAAAATTCTCGTCCCTCTTCGTCAACTAACCCAAAGCAAAACAATCCTTCCAAAAGAGCTGCTTCAATAAAAAAATCACCACCCACTCCTCCCTCACCTTCTCTTCAAAAAACACATATGGCCGAAAAGCCAATCCGATTTGGAATAATCGGGTGCGCAGATATTGCCCGAAAAGTGTCTCGCGCAATTACTTTAGCACCAGACGCTGAACTTTATGCTGTCGCTAGCCGCTCCTTGGAAAAAGCCTCCGCTTTTGCCAAGGCCAACAACTTTCCACCGAGCGCCAAGATTTATGGCTCTTATGAGTCCCTACTCGACGACCCAGAGATCGATGCCGTCTATGTCCCTTTGCCAACCAGCCTTCACGTGAAATGGGCATGCTTGGTTGCTCAGAAGAAGAAGCATATCTTGTTGGAGAAGCCTGTTGGGCTTAATGTTGCGGAGTTTGATAAAATTGTTGAGGCTTGTGAGGCTAATGGAGTGCAAATTATGGATGGAACCATGTGGATACATAATCCTAGAACTCACGAGATGAAGAAGTTCTTGAACGATAAGGAGCGGTTTGGAGAGCTCAAAAATGTAAGATTTTAATCTTTTATTATTATAATTTTTACTGTTATTGTATGCGTGATTTTGATTTTCTTTTTTTCTTTTTTCTTTTTTCTTACTGTGGAAATTATGGGCATGCTGCTATTTAAAGCTGAGTTATTTGGATAGAATTACTTAGCGTACGTTCTAGGCAGAATTTCCAATGTTTTCATTTAGGCTGATTTCATTTTTGGATTTGAATGAGGGGGAGTTAATTTTTTGCCAAAAATTGGGTTTTATTTGCTTTCTTAGTTTCCGTGATGTATCGATTTGTTATCGATTGGACAAAAGAATTTCTTTGTTTATAATTCTAGACACGGAAGTTGAAGTAACTGTAAAAAGACTCATTGACACTTTTTGCCAACGAAACTTATCGTTTAATAAAAAAGATGCTGGCCCAGTTGCTTGAGTTTGTCCTCATGCCTCTGCTTCATGACATTCTAATCTTGGTTTGCATTAGTTAGAATGATAGGGTGATGCCACTGTGAAGTTGATTGGTGAAATAATGCGAGGTATAATAAAGCTGCCATATGTTTTTCTCATAGGAGTGAGGTTTTTATGCTATAGCTTATCTATGTTCCAACAAAACTTTGAATTTTGAAATCTGATCGACGGTCAATTTATTTTATATCTTTGGGACGAAGCGGTTTTTTGTCCTGTAAAATTGGTTTTAAACTTGCATTTGTAACGTAGTAGATATATTCTTTTTTGAAGTGAATTGACTGCTGGCACCTCATCCTTTGCTAACCTGTGAATTTAGCACTTTTCTGATCTTCATTTTTGGCTAGGGTTGCATTAATTTGAACCCAATGCTATTTGCCCATTGCTTTTGCTAGGAAACCATGGAGTGTATGATGATATTCAATTTTGTAATAATTGTTTTACAGTAGTATTCCACTGAAACCAAAATGGATCATCCAACATATCTTGGCTGGCGTGGAAACTTCACATTCTTGTTTCATTTTGAAACCAAATGCACCCCAAATGTTCTGTCACTGACACCATCTTTGCCCCCTTTTCTATTGATGCTTGTTGGAATGCTTTGAGTGGGATGGTCAGCAGGGGTTGGGCATAGGCCTCATGAAAAGTTTACAATTGGGTGTTGAAAACACTTCCATGCCCCACTGGGAATTTGTGGATGGCACCATCACCGAATAGTTTTTCCTCTAAAGGGAATTCTAAATTTAGGGATTTTATAAGATAGTTGTTTTTTTTTTTTTTTTTGCAGGTGTGGCTGAATCTGTTCAATCTGCGTGTCTTCTACACAGGCAGATAGCTAACCATTCAATCATTAAACAAGATAGGTCAATTTGAAGTGTTTATGCATTTTTGCATGTTAAAATGTGCACTCTCGCAATTATGTCTATGGGACACAAATTCTGAAGCAATTAGGACTGTTTCTATCCTTTCTACTGGTGCCATTGATTGAAAATGGGAAGTGTCTGATGATCATTATGATTTGAGATGCACACATCATTCCCATTGTGTTGTGATATGTATTTGGATATTGTTGGTAACTGTATTGGATAGCATACAGGGCCATCGAAATCTTTCTGCATGTCATATAGTTTGTTTGTATTCATTTTATTAAAGAACTGTGTCCTAAAATCCCATTTTTATGTGATATTGGATTTTGGTAGAACACCATGTTTGTGAGTCAGGTTTGGTTTGTTGAATCCAAAGATCTAAACCAAGCACAATATGGACTTTCTTTAAAGCCTGGAGAACCTAGAGCCTTTGGGCTTCCTTGATCTGATCTCTTAGGTAGTGTTTGCTGAGTTATCTTTTCATTGTAGCCAGTAGGAAAAAAATAGACAGCATATTAACTATGAAATCATTGTATAAGTGAGGTGTAGTACAAGACTGCTCTGAGAGGAAGGTAGTATGTTTGTGCTCTCGGCAAAGCCAGCAGCTAATCAATTTTCTACTTTCCACAAGTTTTTGCTGTCATAAAATTTCTTTGGGGTCCTGCAGATTCACAGCTGCTTTACATTTGCTGGCGATGAGGATTTTCTCAACAATGACATTCGTGTGAAGCCAGATCTTGATGCCCTCGGTGCTCTTGGTGATGCTGGGTGGTATGGCATCAGGTCAATTCTCTGGGCTGCTGACTATGAACTGCCAAAAACTGTAACAGCCTTACCTGGGCCTGTTTTAAATGAAGCAGGAGTTATTTTGTCTTGTGCTGCTTGTCTACACTGGGAAGACGGGAAAGTGGCAACTTTCCATTGCTCTTTTTAGCACATTTGACTATGGATATTACTGCTATTGGAACAGCGGGTACTTTGCATCTCAATGACTTCATAGTTCCTTTTGGAGAGAAGGAAGCCTCGTTCACAACATCTTCGAAATCCGAGTTCACTGACCTTGTGACAGCTTGGGTACCTGCGCCAAGCCGGCACACGGTTACCACAGATCTCCCCCAGGAAGCTTGCATGGTGACAGAATTTGCCCGCTTGGTTGGAAATATCAAGGCAAATGGTGCAAAACCCGATCCGAAGTGGCCAACTATCAGTAGGAAGACTCAACTTATACTAGATGCCGTCAAGACATCAATTTCCGAAGGATTAAAGCCTGTTGAGATTGTGTTTTAATTGAGACTCATCTTGCTGCTGCTGCTGCTGCTGCTTCCTTTCATGGAACTGGACCCTATCTATTCGTCAAATAACACAATTGCCATTTCGTCCATTTCTTTGCAAATGAGATCTGTGGCTTGGGAATGTCTGTTTCTGTGTTTCATGATTACTAGATTTTTATTGTGTATGTGTGACTTCAGAAACAATGTGTTCAAGCTTTGATTATGATTTCAAATAAATCCACGGAATTACTCTCCGTTCATACTCGTTCTCTTTCGAACCTTATTTGAAATCCACGGATTTCAAATAAATTCAGGATGTCTGCATGTTTATGTGAGCATTGGACTTTTTTAGTATTTTGTTTTCTTTACAGGAAATTTCTAGTGCTAAAGGGTTGAACTGCAAGGCGCCCTGCAATTCTGTTTCTCCCAAGACAGAATGACGACCTTCGAAGTATTTCTCATGTGTGCGTGCTTGCTCATGGCGCATGGGAGAAGACTGGATATCAACTTGCCCTTATGTTTGTCACAAAATAGCAGTGGCCCAGGTCCACAGCTCTTCCGAATCCGTCCTTGACGACCCAGCAGAGATGGATGTCGTCTATTTACCTTACCCGCAGGCCTCAATTGTCAAATGGGCCTGTTAGGCAGCTCAGAAGAAGCATGAGAAGGCTGTTGGGCTTGATGTTGGAAAGTTTGACAAGATTTTGGAAGCAGGTCGAAGGTTAATGAAGTGCGAATTGTGGATGGGAAGGGCTAACGTGGAAACATAATCCCTAATTCTTTTTTAGAATTTCGACTCTAAATGCGTAATACTTTTTTTGGAAGAAAAAATCTGAATGCAATTATAAGATTATGAGTTAAAATTCAACAAGTTTAGCATGCTTAACTATATATATATATATAATGGTACGAAAATTAAATTTGATAGTGTTAATTAATTTTCATTTAAAATAAAACGTATAAATATTATCAATAATATCGATCTTTCTTAGCATTAAAATTAGTAGTATAATTAATAGATTTAAGAAGTTAGTAATAATATTACCAAATTGATATGCATAGTTTAATGACTCTGCATTGCTCTCCGTCGGTAGAGATGTCATTAAAATACCGGTTACAATAGGAACCTATCCCATGTGCACAGCACTCCAACAAATCTGAATGAGCAATCAAATAAACCTACCAAATACAAAATAGCAATGGAAAACCTCTCAATTTTCATTTTGCCAGGAATCACACTCTTATCTTAAGATAGAGATGAATAAAATTGTGAAAGAAGAAGATAAAGATGAATAAAATTGTAAAATGAATAGAGATAAAATTGTGAAAGAAGAAGATAAAGATGAATAAAATTGTAAAATGAAGAGAGATATAAAATCGTGAAAGAAAAAGATAAATTTGTGGAATGAAGAGAGCGAGACAAAATCAGGCCTTACACAGGCCCTCCAGCTTGCTCTGCCACTTCGGAAGTGCGCGCATATCCCGCCTGGCTAATTTTGCATGACATGTCAAATCATAGAAGATCACGTGTTCCTTTTAATAGACGACATGGCAACATTTATGGCATGCATTCAAAGTTTTAAAGTGCCCTGACTCTTGACATTTGTTCATGCGCTCGCGCACCGTCCTTTGGTCTCCCCCATGCTGATGCTGATATTTCGCAGACAAGATGTAACTGTAACCATGTCTGGAACGAAATGCTGATAGGACAAGTGACAGGATCCTTAATCAGCCCGAACACAATGCATGATTTCCAGTTAGACGCTTCTAAGGGCCGGATGCAAAAGCTTAGTCCGACTGTAATAACGACCATTACAGTCAGAGGGGACTAATATACCTGGGCTCTCGCGTATCCCCCGATCCCATCCAAAAGCGTCACATGAAAGAATTATGTGGTTCATTTTTAATCTATCGTTCCGGTCGGGAAAAAACTAGATGGACGAACGAAAGTTGCTCGAACAATGCCTAGATAGACAGTCAGGAACGTTCCCAACCAACTGGCAATGAAGAGAGGGTTTTCACCGACCCTCCACCCACAAAAAGATGTGGATTCGAGAAAGGAACTCTTTAAGCTCAAATGAAAAATCAAATCAAAACAACGAGCGAGAGATTTTCACCCACCCTTCACCTATGAAAAAGATAATTAGGACATTCATTAAATAAAAACACACTATAAAAATTACACCTATTATGTTTATTCAATAATGATCCATCAATATAAAAAATAATTATTTTTTAATCAAAATTGAAGGTTTTTAACAATAAATGATTGAATGATTTTACCTCTTTTTTTCATATAACTTAACAGGTTTTATTGTTATATAAAGAACCATGAGGCTTAGAGTTAGGGATTCAAAACTTTTCTCTTGGTGTTACTACTGAGCATCTTCTTGATACCTGCACAATTGTTTTCTCATGCAATAATTATCCTCCGTACGTTAATTTAATTATAGGAGGATCCTCCACAAACACACGCGAAGATTTATTATGTACGTTTTTCAGTTGTCACAACCGCCATCAACCAGCAAGTACCACCGTTACTCCAACTGTAAAAAATCCAAATCATCTTTCAAGTTTTTTCAACCTCGTCACAACGCATTCAAGCTTTGATTGTGATTATAAAAAAAGAATAAAAAATCCACATAATTAAGTTGTCATGGTCCAGATCCATACCTCTAGAAACTCATCTTGTCTGGTTAAATACATATTCAGGCTGTCTGCTTGTGCATGTGATCATGTGAATTTTTTAGAATCGAGTTTTCTCTTAATGCAGTTTCTACTGTTAATTTCACTTATCACATAATATCCATAGTAATTTTATCTGTATCTTCCAGACGACCAAGCACTCATGAAAAAAAAGGAAAAAAATATTTATATAGCTCAAAAGGAAAATTTAAAAATAAAAAAAGCACATTGGCGAGAATAATTCAAGATTAGAGAACTATATATCGATCCATCATGGACAGTGATCTTACCTCTTGTGGCTCTCAAAAAGAACCATCTGCGCGCGTGCATTAATAAACTAATTAATTATCAAATTACATGACTACTGTTTTTTTATTCAACATGTCATCCGATCAATTTTCCTACACTACAAGACTAATTACTTTTTAAACGTGATTAATAAATACTCACCACAACTTTAAATATTTTAAGAATAAAATTTTAAAAATATTGACTAAAAACATTGATATCTAAACTGATTTATAAATCAACAATTACTTAGCAACGAGCCAGCTGCCACCTTGTAATGGTTACATTACTAATATTGATTACTGTTATTCCATTCATGAGAGATCGTCATTAATTGAGAATTTCCGGGCTGTCCTTTCTCTCTCAATTTATTTCCTTTCATAAAAATTAAATTATACTACAATCGTTTCTGATAACCAGGCTAAAACTTCAGGTACCTGTTCCAGAATTAATTTAAAACATTGTTAATTTAAGATACTGACAGATACTATTAATTTCTTTGTCTAGTTACGAAAACAAATATACACTTGAAAAGCAGGAAGTAGCAATCACGATCAAATTAACTTATTGAACTATCAGAAACACCAAACATCGAGCGGCAGATATTGTAATGAATACATAACAATGTACCAAATTTTTACGCACAACCCTTCATAATTACTTATACAGTCATCAACACATTACCCTTTAATAACCTTTATTCTTAATTTAGCTACATGTCTCATATAATAGTTTCAGGACAGGTGCAAAACAAGAAAAACACATTAATAAAGCACTCAAAATTATACATTCAAGTACCCTTATCTCACACCCAAACCCTAGAAAAGTTGAACACCATTTCTTGGAATAGCCACAGCTGAGAGAGGCTTCTTCATTTCGCAAGAAAGTTTCAGCACTTCACTTAGGTCAACTGGGTTACGCATGTCCTGGACCCACTCAAAATGGTGCACCAACTTAGCCACCCAAAGGCTCACTGTCACAAGCCCTAGGTTCTTACCAGGACAAACCCTACGTCCAGCCCCAAATGGTGCAAGCCTGAGGTCACCTCCTCTTACATCCACGTCAGCGCCACCTTGGCTCTCCAAGAATCTTTCTGGCTTAAACACCAAGGCATCCTCCCATACTCTTGGGTCATGGGTTATGGCCCACATGTTAACCATCGCAGTTGTTTTGCTGGGGACCACCATGCCATTGCTGAGGTGGACGTTTGAGGTGGATAACCGAGCCCAAGAGAGGAGGGGCCCAGGAGGGTGTACTCTCAAGGTTTCCTTGATCACAGCCTGCAGGTACGGCAATTTAGCTACGTCAGCTTCCGTGACGCTCCTGTTTCCAACGATGCTCAGCTCATTCCTCAGCTTGGCTTGAATCTCAGGGTTCAAAACCAACTCTGCCATGATCCACTCAGTCAAGAGTGCTGTAGTATCGGTGCCGCGAAAGATCATCTCCTGCAAATAACGAATTAAACCCATAATAATAAGTACATCAATCATGCGTATGTAGTGCAAGAGAGCTTACAAACTAAAGAAAAATTAGTAAATACTAACCCATAAGACGGCAACCATATCATCCTCTTCCAATCTCTCTTCACCCTCCAAAGAAAGCAAAACATCGACGAAATCAGCATTATCGATGACATTTTTAGGCTTCGTCATTTTATGTTCTTCAATGATTTGCTTAACGAGTTTCTTCACTAGATGAACAAGAAGAAAGCATCGTTGTTTCATGCGAAAAGGGTCATAAAAGTAATTCAGCCACGGGAGATAATCAGACCAATTAAAAGCACCCAGGAGCTCAAACCCTTCTCTAACAAGCTCTTGCAATTCTTTAGCCTCCTCATTATATTGCATTAAGTCATATCTTTTGCCAAAAACGGTACCCATAATGTTATTAAGAGAAGCATTTTGTAGATGTTCACGCAAATAAACAACCCCATGGAGTGATTTTTCAGTATAAATGCCACTCAACATATTAGCACAATCAAGCTGGCGCAACGGTTCATGAGCCGCTATGCGCCTTGGTGCAAATAAATGAGTTGACGCAATTCTTCTAAGGAGGCGCCAATAAGCCCCGTTTGGGGCAAAACCGATGGCTCGGCTAAACATAAGGCTTTTAGCCGATAGCTTGATGGGACGGTCAGCGAAGTGAGGAGAGGTCAAGATTTCACGGGCAATTTGCGGGTCAGAGGTAACAATGGCAGGTGTGGAGCCTAAGCTAAAAGCCATGAGCTGAGTAGCGGCTTGGCTTGACGCCATGCAAGCAAGGGTGCGATGGGCTAAGCCGTGGCCTAAGCTGAATAAGCTTCCAAAAAGGGGTAGGCCTCGTGGACCGGGGATTGGGATGGTACCCATATGATTCCTGCCATTTTTCCAGGCTAGGCCACCAATTGAGACAGCCCAAGTTAGTAAGGTAATAACCAAGAATGAGATTAAGATAAAGAGCAAAATTAGAGGGTTTGACAAGTTTTGAGTCTGTAACGTTGCAGGGAGTGCAAACATCCACCAGCTTGAGTCAACATGATTTGGAAACATATCCATTGCAAGAACAACAGAGAGAGAGAGAGACAGAGAGAGAGAGAGAGAGGGTCTGTCTGTATGAGGGAGAAGCTATTGTGGAATGGATGGATAAAGGCCAACAGGGTTTGCTTTAAATAGGTGAGTTGTGCTGCTTGTATGGATGCGTGAAGTGAGAGCAACATTGCTTTCTAAGACTTAGATTATTAAAATTTTAGGATGCCTGCGTGTGAATACACGTGCATGCGATTTTATTTTTCCAAGTCTCATTGTTTGAAGGAAACTATTGGTCTTAGTAGTTTGAGTGGCGAGTTGCCCTATGTAGTTAGGTGCACGCTGTGAGGACAACTTAAGGCACCATATCAGTTTCCCATTTCATATCACAACATCTTCAATAATCTTAATGTGAGTGGTAGAACGTCAAGATTGCAGTGCCTTTTTCTTTGCTCTAAGAGTGCGACTGGGTACTTTAGCACTATTTAAAATTTGGGCATTGCTATTTGACGCGACGAACTGTGTGAATGCCTTTGTTCTAGCTGATCATCAAATTGTCATCGTGCAATTTAGTATCTTAAATATCGTCCTTTGAATAGATACTGTGATAGAAAGAACCGAGAAACAGCGCTGCCCAATAATTTATAATTTGGACTTATTATGGCAGCAGATGATTGGCGTAACCATCTTTCGAGTTAGATCTGAGACGTTGTCATCATCGGTGAAGGCTATCCGTTGTTGGAAATTAGTGAACAAATAAAGCAACAATTGAATGTTAATAAACCTTCCAGCAAGGCGGTTATTTACTTCTGCCGTACTCTCATCTGGAGAAGTAGAAATTTTTTAAGCAGGAACTTCGAACTTTTGATTGTACCCATTGCAGACAGACGACTGTTGGGTGCTGGAAAGTGAAAAAAAAAAAAAAAAAAATTTCTTTTATCCAGTAGGTGTGGGATTTTGGAATGGCACAAATTTCATAGTACTGTACTTAATTAACCTAGAATTAATTTAAATTATATTTTAAGATTTTATTTAACAATTTAAGCTTTTGAGTGAGATGATCTTTTAACATAATATTAGAATCAATGACGAACGTCCAACCAAATATCTACGGAGATCAAAATAAATATTTATAAATTTATAATGGTTTATACAAACTTATCTATATTATAAATAACACATCAATATATATTTTAAAATAATCTCAAAACACAATCACTCAAAATAGAAATTTTTGTTCTTTCGGATCATAAGAATCATTTATAAGCAAACATATACTAAAATTTTTGACAATTTTTTTTCAAGATAAACTAATAAAGAATCGAAAAGAAAGTTATCTTTCATTTTATTACGAAATTTAATCTTGACTATGCTTATAGTCGAAAATGACCGCTCCGTGATAGCGAGTAGAAACTAAACAATAAGAATAAGTGTTATCACTCTATATACAAGTGGATAACTTTCAAGTTTTTTTATCTTCATCAACCATTAATACAAAATCGGATATAGCGGACAATGTTTTGAAATCAAAAAAATTTCTTAAATGATCAAAATGCTCGGATTACATATTTAATTGCAGCATTTCATGATCGATAAAATTTTAACGATAAAATTTCTGCATCAACTTACAAATGACATCAATCCTAAATGATATGCACATCTCTCTAGGATACTTTTTATGGGCTAAATGATATTTTATATGCTTTTTGATGCATGAATAGTAATTTTTATGCAAAATAAATATTTTGAGTATTTTAAATGTGCATGACAAATATTCTGTTTGTATAGAATATTTGCTTGAGGGTGTTAGATTATTTTGTGCCATTTGGTGAATTTTCTGAAGTTAAGTGAATATTTTCGATGCATGAATAGTTTTTTTTTATGCAAATTAATTATTTTGAGTATTTTAAATTTTTTTGAAAATTATCCAATGGATATTAAAAAAATCATTAAGGAGGTGTAAGAATATTTTATAAACTTAGGTGAATTTTTCTATGCATAGAGAATATTTTCTATAGAAATAAGTGTATTTTTACATTAATTTAAGCCCTTAAAATAATTATTTTGTGTAAAAATACACTCATTTATTAGTAGGTTAATTAAAATTCTAATTGAAGCATTCTAAAAAAATAATAATAATAATTAAAACAAGAATTAGAATGATGTCATATTGAAAGTAGAATTGTGATAAAATAAAATAAAATGATAAAAGAATGTAGCATGGCATGGGATGTTTCATGAGGGAAAAAAATAAAAAAGTTGGATGGAGGGAAAGGGGGCATGGCTCCTGTAGGGTCTTACCTGGGTCTGCTTCTAATTAGAATCTTAATGATCAAATGATAATAAATTCAAATCTCTTCATTTTTATTTCTCTGTTTATGCATCCATAATAAAAACTTAAAGTTTGTGACCATGAAGAATGTAGTTTATCGATAAAGGATTTATTTTAATTTAACCAAAATCAATATTTAATTTTCATTATTTATAAATAATTAATCATGATTATTTTTTAACGATTCCGAACTTAAGCTGATTTGATTTAATAGATAGTTTAGTGATTGATAAAAAATTAAACGTATTCTAGAATTGATTTAGGCTGAAAATGATAAATTTAGTTTCGATTTATGTAAAAATTAATCCAAAAAAAAATATATATATATATATATATATATATATATATATATATATAAAAGCTTGTTGGATCAATTTTTTATGGTCGTTTCCTTAAGGAAAAAGAAAATGGAGGAGTCTTTTCAATCCTGCGAGGACAATAAACTAGATAGAGTAGAGACTTTAGGGAACCTGAAATTTCATAGGAATTCACTAGTGTTTTATGTCCTCCCGTTAATTGGATGGAGACTTGAAAGGGACATAACAGGTTTCTTTAAGTAAAAATACGTGATTATAAAACTGGCCACGAGTTTTCGGAAATCTCCAGGGGGGACTACATAGAAATTTAGGCAACCAAACTTCGAAAAGTTTCTAACTTAATTTAATAAGCTCTAAAGTCTTTTATTTTTTTTAAAAAAAGTTTAATGTAAATATATATATATATATATATATATATATATATATATATATATATATATATCATCCCCCCCCCCCTGTCATTCTTTATTCTTCAATGACTCATCCTTGTCTTATTTTATTTTCAAATATATCCTATTAGTCTAGTCTTTGGCAATAATCCTTCAGGATTTCAAAAGTTCTTCCATGATCTTTCTTTCCAGAGATTTGAATGCAGTAGCAAGGGGCCCTTTACTTATGATGCTGTAAAGACAACATAAAGGACGCCGCAATAGCTTTCGAATTTCACCAATGTATGTGCTTATTCAATATCTTAAAGTTATACACCCTTATAAAATCGAATATTTGTCATGTGAAAAAGCTAGAACACAATCAACTTGACCTTAATTTTCATTAGTCCAAGAAAGCACGGTATTCTTAGCACCATTGAATTTGAAGATAAAAAACTAATTAATAGTGGTAATGATAACAATAGCACCACTAAACTAACTAGGTTTTAGGGCGTTGTTTTAGCTTATAATTCGCGAAGGTCATTATTGATAGTTGAAGTCAGTCAGTCAGCCATAAGTATTCATTAATTAATTGTTACAATCCTGAAGGTAATCACGCAAAGATTTGCCCAACACTTCCACAACATAGAGTAGTTAATAAAATTCTTTAGTCTCACCGACTTTGATTCAAATTTGACTCCGTATATTATTGTAATTACCAATAGTTGATTGACGTGAAAAAAGAAAACTGCAAAAAAATCACTTTAAAAAACAAATAATACTACTCTTGTTTCATCAACCGGATGAGAGTGATTAGACGTATATGCAAAACGGCAGATAAGGATAAGCTCGGAAAGTCGGAATAAACCTGCCTCCAATTAGCACTGCTAATTTCTTTCTTCATATTCAGGTTTTTTTTATTAGTATTATTTTTATTTGATCAAGAATCGTAATTTGAGATTCTGGCCCCCACAAGGAGGCTGATTGGGTGCTGAGACGTTGAAATAACATTCTTCTAGGAGGGAGGTTATTGCTTCCTTCATTGCTTAAAAAATTCCAGAGATAAACAATATTCTATATCACATTCTATAAGAGATTACAATAAAAGTTTTATGGATAGCTTTCCATTACCAAATGCTTAAAATATAAGCAGCTTCATTTCAGTGAGAATTCACTGTGCTTAGCCTAGGAAAACTAAAACAAAGGAGGTTTGCCAAATAGTTCGGTTCTCCGATTCTATCGAATAATTTGAGAAACAAAGTTCGATCGGAGGAAGGTGAGGTTTGGAAGATTAATATCAATACAATCTAAAGGCTAATAACCATATTTTATTTGGATTATTCCTTATTCTTATTTTGTTTTTTTTTTTTTTTGCTTTACGGGGAGAATAATCTCAAAAGCAAGCTATCCATTCGATTTTTACTCTCTTTTCTCGTCTTTCTTTTATCTAATATTTATCAATTACTAAGGAAATTCGAAAGAAAAAAATTATAATCCCTGCTTTGAAGAGAGTCCCCTTGAACAAGTTATTATTTATTTATGAAACTAAAGTATAATTTCACATTAAACTCTCTAGCATACGTAACATTTGTAGACACTAAATGACGACGCAGAAAGCAAAGATCTCAAAGTTTTCTGTCATATGACTCATATTGTTATCGATACACCGGTGGACAACTATGTATGAAGGAAGGTACAAGCTGATTTTAAAGGGACACGTGCTCGGTTTTTCATCATGTACTATAATGCGCAAGGAAAAAGGACAAATTTCTGACTCTCCCGACACGAACAGAAAGTAATTAATTGAATTTCTCAGTATAGGTGAAGGCGCTTTCTTCCGTATATCCAAAAAAAGGGAAGAAGCAGCAAATGGTACTACTCGTTTTCTTTGAAGTTCTGGAGCCATTATTGCGGTACAGGTATCTGCACATGAATATCGGAAGTTGATCAACCACGTTTGAATTTTATAAACTCATCCTAAACCAGCTAATTAAGAAACTACTACTTGAAATCGGCGTGGTTTATGCTCAAACATGAAGGAGTGAATAACTAAAATAGCTATGGTTCGTAGTCGGCAACTTCTAGAGTTAGCTAGCGAGGTCTTAGCTAGAGCGGCTAGGTAGCTACCAGCTAGCTAGGTTGACTGACAGAAATAAAGCAAGAAAGAGATAGGTGTAAAAAATCTACATAGTCCTGAGATATGAAACTTGAGAATCACGCAAAACAAACATAGGGCCATGGGGGTGTACACGTGAGTGTAGGAGGAGAGCCTCGTGAATGCCAATCTTTGGAATTGAAGATCGATATTGCAGCACAAGCTCACGCGTAAAATGGCCCATAATATCATATCCAACACAACACGCCACCACCTCGCTTCCCGCCTTCACGCACGCACTGTAGAAAAACAGAAAGGGCCCTTCCTTTTCCATTCCTTGGAGTTTGGAGCCGAGGATCCTGCATTCGAGGACGCATAAGCCTGATTTTGAGATTCGAATCACACAAACTGTACCAAAATTATTACTTATGATTCACTTACTATATTATTTGCAAACCCTATATTTGTTGCATTAATGTCGAAGTGTACGTTCGGAGTTATAATATATAGGCAGAATGAAATGGATCAAGAATACACAGTTACGGGACAAATCCAAGGAATTCGCTTTGCTGGATGAGTAAAGGGTTAATTCACTGATCATGCATGGTTGCATAGAGCTTGAAATTGGCGGAATTATAAACAAATACTGTTGGAACTTAGCAGGGATCGTACTCCCGCTCTGAACAACTTCAGTATCTGATGTGTAAGAATAAGCGATTTTCGTCTGTTTGATTTAAATAACTTCACTGTTTAATCCCTTACCCCCTTGTACGCTCAAATTTAATTTGAAATTTGCATTTGGATCCTTTTTTAAGGGAAAAAAAATTAGAGTTCGAAACTTAAATCTCAAATGTATTCTCTAGGCGTACGTATTATTTATTCTTTTATGTATCTTGTCACATCTTCACCATATTCTCATATATCCAGAACTTGTATATCAAAATTGATTTTATCTTATTTATATTTTTGTTATATCATTCCCTGTCCAATATTCAATAGGTGATAGCTAAGTTTAATTTACAGGATCCTTTTCAGCATCTACTGTTCAAATATTAAGGAAGGCAAATAAAGAATATTTCGCACAAATGCATCGTTCTAGATGTGAATAATATAAAAATTCATCAAGAAATCTTGTACTGCAAATGGACTAGAAGATACTCTTACAATTAAAAAAAAAACAATAATATTCGTACATATGTTTCGGGCCAAGGATCCCCGGTAGTCAATATATTATTGGATTATTTTGATAAAAAATAATATTAATTTTGGTCTTAATAATCATTATTATACCGTTTTAAATACAAAATTGTTTCACAACTGAAAAAAAAAAAAAGGTTAAAATAGCTATTTCCACGATGGTTAAATTTTTTTTTATAATGGTTAGAAATGGGAAAAAAACCTGTTTTTTTTATAATGATCAGAAACGTTATCTTTCATAACTTATAGATATGATTTAGTTTTCTTATCATTTAGATATAACAATAACTTTACATACTCTTAGTTACTATAGAGGAAAAAAATATAAGCAGCATTGCTTATTTTGCTTAGCGAAGAAAAATAATTCTTGATTAGTCTATTAATTACAAAGCCATATGTTTTTATTAATTATATATTCAAATATGAGTTTGTTGTATCTTTAAAATGTCAAATAACATATTCTGTATCTTTTATATTAGATAAATTTTATAAACAATGCTTAGTGTGTCAATAAAATAACTTAATTGTGTCTTGAGACTATTATCTAATAATTATGATAAAACTATTTTGATAGTTTAATTATATATCTTTATACTATGAAATATAGTGTCGTGATTTTAATCCTAATTTTCTTAGCGATAAAGGTAAAAAATTATAATTCTTTATAAAGCTTAATTTACAATAAGTTTATTTATTTATTATGTAATTTTTTTATTGTCATTTAATTATATATATTTTTTATGTGCTAGGTATATTGTTTATGTGCTAGGAACAACAGATGCACATATATATAAACATATTTTTTTATTGAAATATCAGTACACTTTGAACCACAAAAAGTAGGATACTCGTCTTCTATTATATAACAACCAAATCATATTTATTAGAACTCAAATTTCTTTCCCTAAAAAAAAATACTAGACATACTTGTTTATATAACCGACTGTTTAATGGTCAGGCTATCCTTCAATGTTCTCTCGTGTGTCATGACTGAATCAATGTCATGAAAAAATGTACTTTAAAAAAAAATTATCTAATTAGGCAATTAGAACTAGTGGTGCAAGATCACTTGAATCATCCTCAGCACTGGTCTAGGATCCTATCAACTAGCATTCTTATGTTGCCGTTGGTGGGTTGCCGCTATGTTTCCTTTTGAGGGAGCAAACTAATTGATTCTATATGTAGCAAAATAACATTAAACAAGCACGGACGATTAGCATATCTGCATATAGATTTCGGGTTCAGCCTTTCAAATTTGTCGGTGCGAAACTCTGGTTGGAAGAGCTGCGTGCGACCGATCAAAACTACAGAAAAAAAAAAAAAAAAGAACTGAACTTCATTTTAATAGGAGAAGAAGTCAATGTCTTATAGTAACACAAGATACACGTCGTACATATGTTGATTTATTAATAGGTTTACCGCCACCGGCCAATCTAATATTCATTCTTAGCATGCACTTTCTGAAACCTAGAGGGGAGGCTAACTGGTCTCGTAGACGTCGAAGGCTTCAAGGAATTGAAAGTCCCAATCTTAGAGTTTAATAGACTTTAATAAAATAGAGAAAGAAAAATATAATACACTTGATTGATAATTACATAAATGTGAGCAAAGATAAAATATGGCGAATCATTTCATCTTTTTATAATCATGCAAGATTGGGAGATATATTAATTAATATGCAATAGTTTAAAAAAATGAATTGAATTTGGTTGGTGATTCAGTTAGAACAAACAGCGGGCTTGTGATGTTTCCGAAAGTACACTGGATCTACGACCCAACTACCTGTGGATTAGTTTTCAGCCTTTTTACTATCTGGGCCTCGTTTTCCATCCTAACAAGTCTTATTGTTGACTAATTATGAAATGATAAAAACGTAAAAAACCTCTACGACAGATAATATCTCTGCACGGTCTGCATTGATTGGAGCGATGCTTTGTGAACTTGAAGAGAACGAGGCCCAATTGATGTTAATATTTCAAACTTTGAAAGAATGCCAGGCCCGTAATATCCATACATATAAACAAAGTGTGTTCTCGTGGGTCCAAAAATAGCATGGTGCAATTACATGCACAAATTTAAAATAACAAAACTAGTCGCAGCTTCCAAAGTGGAAATTAATGCGGACAGACTTCGGAAGATTCAAATAAAATTCTGCTAAATTTGGGATATTCAGCTATATAACCATTATTGTATGTGAATTTTGACATTATTTGATATTGTTATCTAGTAAGGTTTAGTTATAAATTTGGAAGAAAAATTCCAGCATAGGAAGCTGTTGTCTTGGGCACGGGATATGCAGTAAAAAGACCGTCTTTCCATTGCGTAATCCAGCCATTGAACAACAAAATAATCCCGACCCCCTTCAAATTTGAGGTCTCGTACAATCTGATCATTATTGCAGTGTTTCTCTTTTAAATGTTTTATGCTCTTCAAGATCAGGATTGGAATTTGAAAAGATCAAAGGGAGATGATTTAGTAGTTATGTCAATGTTGAAAAGAAAAAGAATAATATTTTTGTTATCATCGTATACAATCACAACTTAAAATTATTCATTTTGGAAAAAAATTAAAATTACCACATTTGCTATTATCCTCCAAATTATAGGGTAAATTATAAATTAGTCCCTCTAGTTTTAATAAATAAATTAATCAGTCTCTCTCGTTTTAAAAACTATTATGTGTAGCCCTTTGATTATTGTTAATCGTGCTAAATTTAATCTTATTTTTATTTAACAAAATGTCTTTTTTTCAAGAATCTTTTCATATTTTTTTCTATTTCTTGAAAAAAAAATTGAAAAAGAGCAAAAAAACTAAGTTATAAGTAGATTTAAAATATAAGAACAAATTAATAATTAATTTTTAAAATGAGAGAGACTAATTAATTCATTTTTCAAAACAATAAAGACTAATTTAGGAAGTAATTTATAATTTACTCCTAAATTATATGTATGGCTATAATTGAGAATGAACCATTTATCATAAAACTTATATTTTTGAATAAAATTCAAATTTAATTATAAAATTTAATATAATATTAAAACTTTATGGACCAATAGTTAAAAATTCAAATCATCACTTTTTTTTTTATAAGTAAAATTAAATAATCGGATACAATGTGATAATGAAAATGTACAAATTACAAATTTAAAGAGTTTTGACGTTAAAAAAAATATTAAAGAATAATATAAAATTATATTAAAACTCGTTTAATTATTTTAAAATTTTGAATTGAAATAATTATTCGTGAATTGATTGGACACAAGTCATATGAATATAAAGCATTGGGAAGTGTGATCGCCGATGAGAACATGCATCCATACAAACGGAAATTTTATTGCAAAGGCCGGTACTGGGGCCAAGGATATCAGAATTAACCTAAGACCGATGCACACCAACAACATTTCCCAGTTGATTTTGCTATACAACAGAATAGCAGACGCATACAGTACTCTTGCGAATTAAACTATAGTAAATAATAATGCCAACAAATAAAAAGTAAACATTTAACACGGTGGCATATGGACAGGTGGTGGCAGCATTTGGGCTTTTCTGCCCTTACCATTCCTGACTATGAACGTCATCTCCATACCCCATGACAAATGACGCTCTAGATGGCAGTGCATGAACCATACTCCTGTTACAAATACAATGGACATAATTTTAGATCTGTCCCATAATCCAGGTAATTAAGAAAAATAGCACTCTTAACATTATATTCTACTGGTTATTATAATATATGTAAAAAAGTTTAAAAATAATTACCAGGATTCTTGGCATTGAATCTTATGGCCGCCCAGCCATTTTTGGGAACGGCAATTGTATTTTGAAGAGGAGGGTCAACAAGATTGTATCTCAAAGGGTCTTTATGCTTGTCAAAGTTGCCAAATCCCCAACCAACTACATAGAAGCTTGTTCCATGTAAGTGCATGGGATGATCAGTGCCAGCAAGCACATTTGTCCCTTGAAAAACAATCTCTACCGTCGAGTTATGCTCAAGCACTTTCACTTCTGTACGTTTATCTGGTGTCTCATAAATCTGTGGGATGTTATCAGAAGTGAAATTAAAGAACAGGGGTGGCTTATTAGGGAATCGATCACCGTAAACACCATTAATGTGGTTATAATAAGCTCTTAGTATATCCATACGTATAGGCGACTGAAAGCTTATGTTATTCACACTAGCAGCAAGTCTTTGCAGAGGCCCCCCACAAGAAGTGTTCGGACACGTAAATCTGTTAACAGAAACAGTGAAAAGTAACGGAGTGTTTATGTGTTTAGGGACATGGACTGGATGGTTTTTATTATTTAAGCTTCTAAGACGGCCAGTGAAATTAACCGATGCACTTGTGTCATTAAAACAAGGAAGGTATGGCAATGAAGGAGTAGAGGAGGGAGTGTAGTTGCCATTGTACTGGACGACGGCTGTGGTTGTTGTGTTGTCAAACCGCACACCATTGGCGCTAGAGTAAACTCTTGCAGCCATGTAATAGTGGTCCGGTCGTTGGTTTGCTTCTAATAAAACATCAATGGTTTGTCCAGGTGATATTGCTACATAGTCAACTTTCAATGGTTTGGTGTAGCTGGCATCTGTGCCAACCACTGTGAGTTGATGATTGGCGATAGAGAAAAAGAGAATGTCTTGAAGGGCAGCGTTAATTAGGCGAAGAAGGTAAGTCTTGCCATGGTCCACCTTCAGCTTGAAAGTATCTGCAATTAGAAAGAAAGACAAGGTTTCGATTTAATAGCTTAAATAACATACAAAGATGCAATATGGATAAGATGCAATGCAACCATTTGTTCGGCTAGGGCCGGAACTAATGGATGGGCTTGAGGAAATTTTTATCTGATGCCCCTGTTTTAAATATCCGATACCCCTGTTTTTAATTAAATAATTATATATTTTTTTGAACAAACATATATTATTAAGTTTTTTATGTTTTTATATTTGATTACGACTTGGTATTTGTGTTTTTTTTAATCAATTTTTCTAATCTTACCTACGGACAAAATTAAAAAAACATTTAGAAAGGATAATTTAGAATTTTTTTTTCAAAAATAAATTCAACTTTAATTAAAAGACTAATTTTTATTTTTCAAAATTAAAGGTATTAGCTTACAAAATCATTAAAAACATAAAAACTACTCCATAGGCTTCCAAATTATTTTAGGAAAAATAATTACGCGGTGCTTTTGGATTTTTTATGGGCCTCGCTTTTAATTTGAGTAGAGAGAGACAGAGATGAATTGATAAATATACTTTGAAACATAATTATTTAGTTAATTTGGATATTAAAGACAATGGATTAAAAAAGAGAGAGAGAGAGAAGCTAAACAATGCTCTAGTGGCATCGTACCTGGTTTTGAACAAGGATGAAGGTCACCGGGTTGACCATTGATAGTATAAGCATCAGAGATATTTGGGTCTGCTCCTGAGGCAAGAAATTCATTGTAAATATCAACTATGTCGCTCTTCCACCACTCTCCTGCATTTCAGGAAACGATGATTAATGCATTAAACTCTTAATCCACGACTTTAAAAGCTGACTTTTAAAAAGAAAGAAAGAAATAGATGCTAGCTAGCATACCTAAAATAATCGGCACCTCTGCATGAGGCTTAGGGAAAGGATAGTGAGTTCCATTTCTGGGACGTATGACAATAGCACCATAAACAGTGACTCTAGTCCAGTCACTGTGAGCATGCCACCACAACGTTCCTTCTTCTTCAGAAAATAGGACCTTTTGCCTGAATTGTCCTCCTGGTTGAATTGGACACTGTGTGATATATGCAGGACCATCTGACCATGGATATCTTGGCATTTTCACTCCATGCCTACAATTAATTAATAGGGTAATTAACATCGCTATCAGTACCACATAGTGATTAATTACATTAACCACGCCCGAATTTCCACACAGGAGATCAGATATATACGTACCAGTGAATGGTGAGGTTATGGGGGCTCTTGTTAATAACTTCGACGATGATGGTTTCTCCCCTAGTAACATACAGTGTTGGGCCGGGTAATTGTCCATTTACGGTCGTAATGTTCTTTGTGCTGCAGAGTCTCGTGTATGGAACATCTTCTACCTGCGATGAATGTGTTAGATATGCAAAATTACAAACCATGCATGACATTATAAAATAAACATCAAATCTCCTAATTATTATGCATAGCAATTATAGCAAAGGATCAAAATGAAGGAGTTAGAATAAATAGAACCAATTTCAGGTTCTTAAGCTGGCCCATTGCGAGGCATCATTTGCCCTTTGGCCCATTAAGTGCCATTATCTAAGTTTGGAAAAGCAGCGAATAAAAAGAAAAGCGCTGAGAAAAAGAAAGTGGCCGTGCAGCGATGATCATTAATTCTTGAGTGTTGAAGTCAATATCCTACTTCCTAAGTAAACCAGAAGAAATCAATACCCTTAACAGTTCTCTTTGAAGTGTATCAATAAGCTATTCCAAATGAATTGTGGTACTAAATAGAGCATTTTATTTTTTTGTTTTTTTATCGAAAAAAGAAAGCTAAACTCATGTTACAGATAGAGATGATGGCATGAGAAAAAGAAAAAAAGGAAAATCTTATTCAGCACGTAGCACATACCACAAAAGTATGATGAACTATAGCTTGGCAATAGAGGAAACCACCAAATAATAGGAAGCTCAAAATATGAAAGACTAGAACTCTCATGATTGAGGGCATTTCTTAGCAACAAATATATTCTACTTGTCTCCCTTTTGATGATCAAACGAGCTCTCTTATAGCGGTATTTATATGGGCAATGACTAATGAGAGGCACGAAGACAATTTAGGATGAGAATTTCATCATTAGTTCGTATTTGTCAGCATCCAATTAAAAGCAAGTGAGCGCCTAACGACTTTTCAAAACGAAACTTCTTTTTGACCTCTTTGAAAAGAAGAAAAGGCAGATATAGAATTTCGAAACATTACACTTTTCTATGGCCCAGCTTGGGTTGCAAATCGTAGTCTTAAATCGACAAAACTATAGGATTCGAATTGGAATTGGACCTGAAAGCATTTTGGCATAATACAAGACCAAGGCATTTTGTATATACCTTTGGAAAATTCTCCAGGCATCTGCCTTACCATACCTTTTCCAAAATTATTTCTCTTTTTAAGTGGTAGTTGTTAGGACAATAGTACTTGTTAAATGATGATATAGTGACTAATGAAATATCTACAAAACAAGTCTTTCTTGTTTGAATAGACGACTCTTTCATGATTAAGGAAAGAGACAAAATAAGAAAAGAGAAGATTAATTGAAAAAAAAAATTCATGTATAAACAAGAAAATGAACATACACACACACACACACACGTGTGTGTGTGTGTGTGTGTGTAATTCTGTCAATTTATAATTTAAAAGTGATTTCATTAACTTATATCGAATATGACACAAGAGAAAGAGAACATTTGTGTACTCGAATTAACCATAACAAAAACTTGTAAAACTCTTGAATTATACAAATGTCATCAACATATATCACATTGAAGCAACTATCATATTATTAAAACAAAATATAAGATACTTGTACGGATATGATTAAATAATTACAAATATGCTACATTATTAAAAGATTAATAACGAAACATAAATCAATAAGAGATTCAAAACTCTTAGCCTTAAGTCTCTTGGCCAATACACTTGTCAAGCTCGCATGAAAAAAAAGAGAGTATAATTGTTTATTCTTTTATTATCAATGATCTCTAATACTAGTTGGGAGATGAGCATTTTTTACATCAACATATTATTGTTTGAGCAAGTATGATAACGTTATTACTAGTGTGGATTAAATAAAAGTAGTCTTGGGAATATATTTTGATTAGTTAGATATATTAGTTGTCTTTTTCTATTGATGGGATAGTGACCGTTCAAATTCTTTTTTCAAAATATTCTCTTTAATAGTGTAGACACGTCCGTCAATCTATAACTTGAAAGTGACCAATCAATTTTTTTTACATAATATTTTCTTGAATAATATAGACACGTCTATTAATCTATAACTTGAAAGTGATTTCATTCACTTATATCAGAATATAGCATGAGAGAAAGAAAACATTTGTGTTCTCAAGTCAATCATAGTAAAAACCTATAAAACTCTTAGATTATACAAATGTCATCAACATATATCACATTGAAGCAATTATCATGTTATTAAAACAAAATATAAGATACTTATACGAATATGACTAAATAATTGCAAGTATGCTATCTCATTAAAAGATCAATAACAAAACACAAATCTATAAAGCTTTATTAAGGAAAGAGAAGGTTAGTTGAAAAATGATGTAATGCATGTATAAAGAAGAAAATGAACAACAATAACAAATGAAGAGATTCAAAACTCTTAACCTTAAGTCTCTTGACTAATAAATTTGTCAAGCAAGCATGAAAAAAAAATTATTTATTCTTTTGTTGTCAACGACCTCTAATACTAGTTGGGAGATAAGCGTTTTTTATGTTAACATGTTAGTGTTAAACAAATATGATAGCGTCATTACTAGTATGGATTAAACAAGAGTAGTCGTGAGAATATATTTTGATTTATTAGATATATTAGTTGTCATTTTCTATCGAAAGGATTGTGACCAACCAAGTTCTTTTTGCATAATATTTTCTTTAATAATGTAGACATGTTCGTTAATCTATAATTTTGTTAATTTATAACTTGAAAATGATTTCACTAACTTATATCAAAATATAGCATGAGAAGAAAAAAAACTTTTGTGCTCTTGAATCAATCATGATAAAAACTTACAAAATTCTTGGATTATACAAATGTCATCGGTGTATATCATATTGAAACAACTATCATATTATTAAAACAAAATATAAGGTATGGATTAGATAAAAGTGGTATTGGGAATATATTTTGATTGGTTATATATATTCGTTGTCATTTTCTATTGAAGGGATTGTGACCAACCAAATTCTTTTTACATATTATTTTCTTTAATAATGTAGACATGCTCGTGAATCTATAACTTTTTCAATTTATAACTTGAAAATGATTTATTAGCTATATTAATTGTCATTTTCTATTGAAAAAACTATCATATTATTACTAGTATGGATTAGATAAGAGTCGTCTTGGGAATATATTTTGATTTATTAGATATATTAGTTGTCATTTTCTATTAAAGGGATTGTGAGCAACCAAATTCTTTTTACATAATATTTTCTTTAATAATGTAGACATGTCTATTAATCTATAACTTTGTCAATTTATAATTTAAAAATGATTTCACTAACTTATATCGGAATATAGCATGAGAGGAAGAAAAAAAACATTTGTGTTCTTGAATCAACCATAATAAAAATTTATAAAATTTTTAGATTATACAAATGTCATTAGCGTATATCACATTGAAACAATTATCATATTATTCAAAAAAAAAAAGATATTTATATGAACATAACTAAATAATTACAAATACGCTACGTTAGTAAAAGAATAACGATGAAACAGAAATCAATAAAGCTTTAACATATGCATAATTTTTTTCAATAAGTCTAAGAAACATACCGGTACGATTACAAATTTAACCAATACATTATGGTTACAAACTTATTGGATGATTGAATTCATTTGTTTATTTTTTGGTGAAATTTTTTATTGGATGCTTGGTTCAGTTTAGGAGCCGACACTTGACGAAACTGGATGTGATTATGCGGCTTTCGACTCTCGATACCTACAAACATGTCCCAAGGAAATCAAACTGATGACACTGTAGGATATAATGTAACACGTGTTTAAAGGCTTCTTATTGATTTGATGGTCTGTATGTGCCGCCCTTGGACTTCTCCAAATGAGATTCGAGTTCCCTTCCTTCCTCTCTAATCGAACGGGATGGATTTTCTTGTGCATCGACATTTGTCGTGATCATCTAGCAAACAAGTTCTTAATAAGATCAATGATTTATGGTGCAAGCTGAGGCTGACGGCATCTGTTGTTTTATGGTAATCGAATCCTATGGACGATGATAATTATATCCGTAATAAAAAAACTACTTGGTAAATTACATGTGTGGTAGTCCAAGTTTCTAATTTAGATCAATTTAACCCTCTACTAAAGTTTTGGCACTCCAACCCTTATACTTCCAATTTTTTCATCACTGTGCAGTAATTGTGGCCAAATTACATGGCTAGCATGTGTTTTCATATGGATACATGCAATCGAACGAAAGAATTTTACTTTGAACAACTATGAATTGAAAGTGTAAAGGTTGATGTGTACAATTTTTTTTTAAGAAAATGATTAAAATCATCAAATTCAAAAACTCAAAAGATCATGTGAAAACTTACTAGGCACGTATTTATGTTACTTTGGACTTAAGGTGAGCACTATTTAATCTAAATGAAAAAACCAAAGCAAAACTTTAATTTTGATTTGATTTTTAACTCAAGCACTAAATATAAAAACGAACCAATTTTTTCGGTCTTCGATTCAGTTCGTTTTTTGAATTTTTGGTTTGATTTCAAAAATCTGTTTTTTTTTGTGATTATTTTAAAAGTTTTAAAATAACGAAACAAATAAAAAATCAATACCTTAATATTATTATAGATATGTGATGGATTAAATGTGTTTTTTGATTTATTTATATTGTTTAAAATATTTAAGAAATTTCAAACAAAATTCGATTTAAATTGAAAAAACAATCAAAATTTTTAGTTTATGGAAAAATTCATTAGGTCTTAAAGTTTATATTATGGGTAGTTCAACCTTTATTGCATAATAACTAAATAAATTAAAATTATTGTGATTAGAATATGATTTATTAAAGAAAACAATCAAATACATGATCATTATACTATATCTACTTATATTGTAATAATTAATTACTTCTATAAACTCCTTTTTTTTTTTTTTGGTTCAACTGTTGGTTTGTATAAAAAGTTTTCTTCTAGTTTTCGCTGTAAGAACTCACTGACTCAAGATTTTATTAATCTGTAGAATCTTTCAAGATCTGTTTAAAATTCTTATTAATGAACTGCATTATAACATTTGTGGATAGGTTTCATAATAGATCTGATCCTGAAGATATGGAATATTAATACATTGTACTCGGGATAGAAGCTATCCACCACCCAATCATCCAATTTCCTCGTACATCAAACATCCCTATTGTAGACAATAATTTGATGGTTTGGTAATTACGTGATTGCTCTCCATCATTGTGTCGGTCCACATGAAATTGCATCATATTATATTCGGAGTTGGATTTTCAAAAGATTCCTTGACAAACACACTGGTTTTTCAAGACTTTTACACAATTTGGCTTGAGAGGCAATGAACTTGGGTTTATGACGTCAATGCTGGTGTCCAATTTGGTTTTGATGTGCAGATTTAAACCGAACGTCGAGAAAAACATGGCTGTGAAAATCCACATCAACTTCCCGTACAGGGCACGTAATAAACTAAAAATTAAAGTTGGACAAGGTACGTTTCTTTTATTTGTCAAAAATTAAATGATTAAGTCCTATCGTAGATGAAGAACAGCCTGCGAGTCCGAATAGAGCAGTGCTAATTCTAACGATTCTTTGTTACCCAACAGAAGTCCAAACAAGGTAGAGACCGTGTGAGTGACGTGTCTAAGTGCTTTTTCCTTAGTGGGCCCATAGAATCGGCGACTTAAACAATCTGCGAAATTACTAAAAGCCTTCCTTCAGATGGTTTTTTCCTTTGCAGTCTAATCACGTTGATGCTTTGTCTTCGCAGAAGATTAATCTGACTGCAATATGAAGATAAGGGTTGGTTTGAGTAGCTTTTGCGTGGGATACAAAAACTATCAATTTCGAACACATATTAAGAATTGAGCTAAACCATAGCTAATACAAATTAAGAATTGACATATAAATTTTTGGTATTTGCTACTAGCTGGTGTTGATTGTTTACACCAGTCAATTCTTTTAATTTTTGAGAAAAATAAAATCCTTAAGATGGCAACCTGAAGAGAAATTTTAAAATGCCATAAAACCAACCCAATCACGGGCTATATTTTAATCAGGCTGGCTTTTGGGATGAAAAAGCCTAACAAAAAATTTAGAATCGGTCCAAAATATTATGGCCCATTGGGTATCATTTGTAGGTTTTGCTTTTTGTTTCTTTTTTCAAATTTTTACAATAAAAATCCAACATCTTAGAAGGTTTGTATTGTTTTTAAGGTGACAAAATCTTTATTGGGAACATTTATATATGACTCTACAAAAATAAATTCTGATTTTTATTATCTGCCATGCGCAATTCGAATGATGAGTGCGCTTTTGTTCTCTACTTCTTCTTTGTCTTTCCAATGGAATATGCAAATATTTTCTTTAAATTTTCTTACAGATTTAAAAATGTACAAGAATGACAAAGAAAATCGACATGTGAGATAAACTTCAAGACAAAATGGCATGATTTCGGTGATTTATCAAATAAATATTAGCTAATAAGATTTTGTATCATATAATCAAGGAAGATAAGAGAACCTCACAAGTGGGCTAAGTTGATCCGAGTTCCAAGAATCCGTGCAGCCTTCCCAATAGGCGTAATCCAATAGGATAGAACAATTGGAGAAGGTTTAAAGCGGAAAAAAAATCCATGGTTTTACCAAACTATAGAGATGGCAACTTATAATTCTTGTAATATAAATTATGTTTTGGATTTCTTTTAGTATATTAAATTTTTGTTGAAATGATTTTTGGCATGATATTAAAGTTAATGTAATAAATTTAAATCTCACAGCTCATTGTCACATATTAAGTTTTATTGAGCTGCTGAAAATCATTGTTAAATAATTAGGAATCACTGCATCTTGCATAATGCAATAGTTTATTAGCCGTTACATCTGACTAATGCTGTAATAGATTAATGCAATAATTTTTATATACAATAAAAATACATAAATTTTTGTTAATTACATCACGGTCTCAAAATGCAATGGTTATTTTATTACTTTAAACAACAATTTTGGATATCATATAGTATCAGTTTAAGTTAAAACTCATGCAACGATTCTCATCATATATGCTATGGTTTAAAAGTTACCTTATGCAACAATTTTTATCAAATAAGCCAACAGTTTACTTAATATTATGCAACAATTTTTAAATCATTTGCAACAGTATTTTTATTGTATTAAACAACGCTTAGTTTGTTTTAATGCAGCAATTTTTTCATATGTAAACTAGCCCTTTTCATCTGTAATGTAACGGTTTTATAAAAACAACGATTTGTGAAATTTGAATGCAATAATTTTTCACGATAAGGCAATGATTTATGAAGCACTTAATACAATAGCATGCAGTATTATTGTAATAGATTTTTGTCCAATTAAAACATAATTGCAACAGATTTTTGGCCAATTGCAACAATTTCCTTAAAGACAATTCCAAATGTTAATCAATTATAAGAAAAGTAATTATCCAAGTAGTTTCTTAACATAATTCCAAACATTAATTAATCTATTATAAGAAAAGTAATAATTCAAATATCTAAAAAAAACATTAAAAAGCACAACAAATTAAAAGACCAATATTTGGAATAAAAGTTCAAAGTTCCTACTACGCAAATTCAGTAGACTAAAGTTCAAAATTCAAGCATAACAAGAAGACTAAAATGTCAATCCTGTAGTTGCCCTCCAAATTCCAGTAGTCAACAACACTAGGCAACCTGCAATTTTAGGAAAAAGAAGTTAGCACTGAAGTTAGCAACATCCAATAGTAAGTTGTTTCCTGTTAGTAAAGAAGCACCAAAAAAGATGAGAAGTGCAGAGTTTCCAGTCTAGTAAGGTCTGTTTAACATTGTGAATACCCCTGCTATCGGCTTTTGCTGCTCAAATCCAAATATTTTCAGTTGGCTTTCACTGCTCAAATCAAACAGAGGCAGACCACATAAATAATTGACAATGAATATTTATATATTCTGTATACCTACAGAAGAATGAAATAATTTGTGTATTAAGTCATTTACTCCCTTCCCATCCACGTGCCATCTTGAGCCGACTTCTGTGTAAAGAACCAGTTTCCTCAGCACTAAGTCTCCATCACTTACATGAGAATCCACCCAATTGGAAAGATGATTTGTTTTTTCTTCAAAATCAGCACGTGGAGTCCTACAAATTGCATATGATGTGAAGAGAAATAAGAATATATCTATCATGATTTCATAAAATTAAACAATTAAATGATTTGTTTACTCTGGCCTTCAATCAACTGGGTATCACAGATCAATTTAACATCTAGGCTGTTATAGGTAGCAACTTTTAGACAGTATGGAGCCAATCAGCCAAACTTGTATGAACTGCACTATTGTCTCTATACAAAATAACTTACATTCTACAAATGTTTGACACTGATTTTTTATTTCAATCTTAATGTAGGTCTTCGCATCAGCATAGGTTTTGGGTCCTACCACCGCATTATAATAGATGAGTACAGTGAAACATTCTTATGTGTATCTCACCATTATTACTGGACTCTAATCTGTAAGCTCGAAATGAATTACTAACTAGCTATCAGGATATGTATGAACTGACGCAAAATCAATGTTGTTTATTGCTGAATCTGGTTTGAAGTCTGATCCAAGTGACGCTGCCCAAATCCCAGGATTCACGTCTGACTTGTTAGTTGTATTCAGGCCATAAAACCCCTCAAGTCCAACAGTCACTAGATGTCTTTTTTCCAAGCTTTTGATATATGCAGCCATCTTAGCAATCCATGCCTTAAGCCAGAGAAAAAGCACTAAAATGATCTCAATCACATCTGATTCAAAAGTAAACCAGAAAATTTGCTTAACCAATAACAGAACAAACACATATCTTTTTTATATTATAAAACAACAGACATGAACAAACCACCCCACAATAACAAAGACCTACACATGAACAAACCACCCCGCAATAACAGAGACCTACACAAAATGATATTTGGCTCAAAATGCTTCCATCAAACAACACCTTCACCTCTCTCTCCAGATTTTAGCCTAATCCTTTAGTTTATTTTTGAAATTCAATGCCAAAATATACCGCAGAACAAAAATTCAATGGTTCACCTGAAGACTGGAGCAGAAGAACTGGGTGTCTCTTCTAGATATGTCTGACGAGCACATCTCATGAGAAGCTTCGTTTGTCTGCAGGCCATTATGTTTTCTTGAAGCTTGGATTTTTCTCTGATGAAACAGATGACAACAGATCAGCACATAACATTATGAGAATTTGTCACTTGTTCCTTAATAGGGTTACAGTACTCATTAAGGAACGCACAAGAAGTCAAATTACGCAACTCTGCATACTAATATTTGAAAATACACAGGATTTTATACTTTGTGAACAAAACAATAGAGGTAGAAACCATTTCAAGACATATGTATATTTTACACAGTTTAGAAAAGTAGAGCAAAATGTCCATTTTTGTGGTATTCACCAGACAATGTTCTTGCAGGTTTATTAGCTAATTCTAGCTGAAACTAAAACATCATAAAGAGAAATCATGATTTATAAGCCAGTTAACAGCATCTTGTAAAAATATTTCTTCTACTTTGTCTTATAAATTTCTTGAATGGATTATGTTGCAAAGGCTATACACCATTATACTGAATCACTGTAAAAATAAAATGTCTAGACAAAAAATAGAATGAACATCACAAACAGGATATGAATTACTTATCCAGCCAACAAAAGCCAATTATGTTGTTTGCAGGTATTACACATAACATTTGTTACTATTTTTAATGAATTTCAGTTGTCCCAAACTATAGCAGAAAGTAAAACATAGTACATACAGGGATCAAATGCGATCCTTGATTCCCTGAAGGCGGTTATCATCATTCACAGAAGCTGGACAACAAAAAGTTGGAAGACTACTAAATAACAACAGTAAAAAGATATCATTCAAGGAGTAGAATTTTATTGTTTTAAGCAGCTAGTAAGAAATATAATGACCGTAAGAGGTAATAATCATCACCAGTTTTCCAAGGAATATGCCTTTCCTCTCTGGAATCTTTTGATGATTCTTGTACCTTCTTAATATAAGCGTTGTAGTAATCTTTGATAACTGGGTTTGAAAAGAATGAGTCATCTGATGAAGAGACATTAATTCCAGCTTCTTTTGCCCACATTAAATACTGATTTTTTCCACCAAATGCAATCAGATTATTCACTAGACTAAGAATTAACCTTATATGATTCCTCCTTGCTTCAACTATCACATAGTATAATCCCTGTAGACAAATACCTCCATTAAACACAAACAGGAACCAAAACTGCTTGGAGATTCTTCCTTTTCATTTCATTTGAAAAGCCCATCAGCCTTTAATAAGGCCCTTCATTAGTCTTAACCTCTCCTTCAAGATTTGACAGTCAATTGAAAGCAAAAATCTATAATTTTACAACCTAAAATATCAAAAGCAACTTTCTTTTTTACAGGAAAAAAAAGTTTCGAACTTACCTTGAAGACCCTCTCATTGAAGACACCTGGAGAGACCTGGAAAGTATCAAGACCATAACCACCACTGAAAGCCCAAGTCCTGCAAACAGTCAACCCCATTTGAGCTCCTCTCTTAAGCTAACAAAGTACGGATTTTGAAGGTGGAGAAGATTCAGCTAATAAAAATTAAAAAAAAGGGAAATACTCAGCATAATCATCATGATTGAACAATTCAATCTGTCCATGTTAATTAACCAATACCCAGACCCAGGGGGAGAAATTTTAAAAAAAATTACATACAATACCCAGACTTGGGGAGAGAAATTGAAAAAAAAAAATTGCATACCTGAGATGAAATCAAAAAAAAAAAAAAAAAAACAAGGAAGATGGAACTTTTGCCCTAACAGAATTTGCCCAATCCTTCACCGAAAAACCAATAAGAACTTTTCCCCTAATTCATAGTTCTCTAGACTTGAATCTAGATCAAGGGTTAACAAAACCAAATGATAAAGGGTTCAATTTCCTAAGCAAATGTAGAACATCAATGACTGACTAGTTGATCAAAGAAGTTTTTTGTGTTAGGTGGAAAATCACCGAAGCAATTTAAACTATCTTATACATGACAACACGGAAGTGCAACAATTGCAATATGTACTCACCACAGGATGAGAATAAAGGGTGGCAAGCGCACGAGATTGGGTGCGACCATCACCTTCCAATTTAGGAAGAGGGAGTGAGTTACTTTCCTGCATTTAAAATGTTTGTAACTCATGACACCCTGAGGCTTGCCACTTGACTTAACATATGTTAAAAGAAGTCGCAAATCTTATTTTCCTTGCCCTGAATTAGTAAATAAAGGGGCAAACCTTAAGCAGCACTAGCTTCCGGAGAATCCCATTGACCATGTTGCCAGCATAGGCCTGAGGGAAACTTTTGCCAGCCTTGTCGGAATGAATGGGCTGGAGAGGAGGTGGTGGTAGCGGCGACAGGAGAGGGAAAAGGGGAAAATTAGGGGAAAAGAAAATGGTTGGCAGATTTTAGGAATTTAGGATTAACGACATATGCAATTTCATCGCTAATCCATCGTTAATAGACATAAATATTCATTCCTCAATTAAATTTTAAACAAGCGTCCAAATTTTTGAACTTTTCTAAAATTTAAAAAATTAGCAATAGAATAAATAATTTAACGATAGATTATATCCATCATTGATTCAAAATCACAATTTAAGGATGAAAATAGTATTCTGTCATTAAATTTTCTCGTTAATCTGTTGTAATTTTGACATTGAAATTAGTTGAGCGATGGAAAAAATTTCGTCACTAAATCTTCACCAAATCTTCACCGTAAATCTATTGCAAGGTTCGTTATAAATTGTTGTATTTTTAATTTTATATTTGTTCGATCGCTATTCAATAGCTAATTAGTAGTGAAATACAATTCGTTAGTTAATTACCCATTTTCTTTCTCGTAGTGTGAATATTAATAAGAGTACAAATCTTGTTAGCCCAACTTTACTACCGTTCCTCGCAAACCAACCAACACCTTGCACTAAACAATTCCATATATACCAATCGATTATTATTAATTCGAATTTCAGTTCTCATACCTTTTCTTTGAATTAAAATAAAATAATTAAATACAATATAATGGTGGATCTGTGTAAATTTTAAAATAAATATATTAAAGAATAAATTAAAATCATTCATAATGTTTCACCAAAAACGAGTTAATATGGTTTTTTGATATTCCAATAGATCCATTACTAGCTGTCAGCGAACAAGGCGATAGAGACCATTATGGAGAATACTTGCATTAAAGAACTTTAACCCATAGAGCCTTATCAGTGATTAAAAGTTCTTAACCCAATTTCATCATAAAAGCCTTATTCAGTCTTAATGCTATGCAAACCAAGACCACCATAAACCTTTAGCTAGCAAACCAAATTCTAACCGCCAAATGAGTTCTGCAATGATTCTCCAGCAAACCCTTAAGAAATTTCATCTCATACCATCTCTTTCGATAAGCAAAAAAATAAAAAAAAAGAAAGAAAGAAAGGGATTTTATGTATTTAATACAAAAAAGTGTTTGTATAAATTTCACACAGTCTTGAATCTTCATTGCTTCAATTTTACGAAATCGGTTAGGATTGGTAGGCTTAGTAAGTTTTTATTCTGCTCGGCTTGCATTTCTTTTACCGGACCACATACACTCCCTTTGTTTTTAAGAAAAAAATGTTACTCTTTCAATAAAACCCATCTTTCCAAAGCTTTTAATTTTGGCATGTTAACTTAAAGCTGATCCAAAAATTTTAATTTCTTCTCATCCAAAAAAGAATGAAGTTTCGCAGATTCAAAACAACATTAAAGGGAATTGTATAAGCATGAAACCGTAAAAAATAATATTTTTTAATAAAGAGACTAATATGAGTGGAAGCCCCAATAACATTAGTTGTATTTATTAAAAAGTTTGTAGCACAATAATAATAGTCTTTTACAAGAAGTCATAATTCTGCTAAAAGACTTGTATGTATGAGTTAAAAAAACATCATTTATTATTATCAAAACTCACACAATCAATCCTCATAGCAGAACTAATCATTAGGATTTGAACTCGTAACCTCTTATTACAAGAGATCATTACTACTGAACTATAAACTCTTTGATTATGTTGAGTGATTATTCTTATTTTTCTGCTTTATTCGTTTTGCTTGATTCATTTCCTAACGATATTTGACATCAAGTGTGTATATATATATATATATATATGTATTCGAACTAAAATAAATTTAACTGTTCTTCATTTCTTGAGCCTTTAATTAACAAGGCGGCATGTCCTGTGGAGGAGGTAATAAACGTGCTTCGATCCCATCTTGAACGATGAAAACGGTCTCCATGCCCCAAACTAGATGACGCTCAAAATGACAGTGCATGAACCAAACTCCTGTAACATAAAATTGAAAATCATGAAAAAATAAATCTAGTACGTAGCAGTAGCTAGTAAAAATTAATTACCTGGATTGGCTGCCTCGAATCTGATGGTGGTCCAGCCATTTCCAGGCACAGTCACTGTGTTTCGAAATGGAGGATCAATGAGATTGTAATTTTGAGGGTCCTTGTCTTCGTCAAAATTCCCATATCCTCATCCAACAACATAGAAGCTATGGCCATGGAGATGAATAGGATGATCAATACCAGCTACCACATTTGTACCCTGGAAAATAATTTCCACCGCGGAATTAAAAGGCAATATTTTTACTTCTGTCCCTCTTTTTGACACTTCTAGTATCAACGGGAGATAGTCAGCTGTAAAATTAAATACCAATGGTGGAAAGCTTGGAAAATCAGTTCCATACACCCCATGGATTTGCTTGTAATAAGCTTCGAGTATATCAATTGATGGGTTCACAAAGGTTATATTGTTCATGCTAGCAGCAAAACGGGTTCCATTTGGACCCTCACATGAACGGTTTCCAGGGCACGGAAATGCGTTAATTGAAAGAGTGGAAACTATTTGAGTGGTAACATTTAAAGGAAAATGAACAGGATGGTCCTCATCAACTAAGCTCCTAAGGCTACCTAGAAAGATGTAGGCTGCATTTGCGTCATTATTGTAAGGGAGTTGGGGCATGGAAGGAACTGAAGACGGGGTGTAGTTTCCATTGTATTGAACTACAGCAGTGGCGGTGGAGTTATTAAAAGCAACGGAAGGGCTGCTAGTGAAAGCCCTAGCAGCCATGTAGTAGTGATTGGAATCTTGGTTGGCATGTAACACAGCATCAATGGTTTCTCCCGCAGCTATTGTTATGTAATCGCTTGTCAATGGCTTGGTGTAGCTGCCATCTATTCCAACAACTGTGAGGTTATGTTTTGCAATGGAGAAAAAGAGGATGTTGTTCATTGCAGCATTTACTATACGGAGTAGGTAACTATTGCCTTGATCCACATTTAGCTTCAATGTTTCTGCAATTACAAAGATGAATTAACTTCGATCATGGTCCACGGTACAAACTGTTAATTATCTGCTTCTCCTGTGTCACAAGCACAAGTTTGTAAAAACGAGATATATAACTGACTTTGAACAAGGGTAGAAGTCACCAGGCTGACCATTAATAGTAAAAGCATCAGAGACATTGGGGTCTCCTCCTGTTATAAGCGCTTCATGAAGAACATCCATCACATCTCTCTTCCACCATTCTCCTGCATTGCGAAGAACCAAAATAATGTAGTATAATGTAGAATTCTTTTTTCATCAAAAAAAAAAAAAAAAAAGGCGTCTATTAAACTAATTATCATTTTGAAGATATCAAAATGAAAATTCACAAATTAATGTCAAAAAAGGGTAGTGATATATATGTTGGTTAATTTTTCTGGCAAGACCTTCTCATACCCAAAATGATAGGCACCTCAACGTGAGGTTTGGAAAAAGGATAGCCTGTTCCATTAAACTTTGGATAGACAATGATAGGCCCATGGACTGTCGCTCGCGACCAATCACTATGAGCATGCCACCATAGGGTGCCTTCCTCTGTGGAAAATATGATCTTTTGCTTGAACTTCCCTCCAGGTTGGATTGGACATTGTGTAATATATACAGGGCCATCAGACCATGGATATCCAGTCAGTTTTACGCCGTGCCTGCAATTAGAAAGGAAGAAGACCATATATCACTCAAGCTTCCTTCACCTATATAAACGGTCATCTAAATATCGATCACTCTCTTTCTGAATGGAATTTATACCAGTGGATGGTGATGTTATATCTGCCCTTGTTATGGACCGTGACATAGATTGTGTCCCCATAGTGAACGTGTAAAGCTGGTCCTGGAAATTGTCCATTCACGGTCAAGATCTTCTTTCTGCTGCATAATCTTGAGTATGGACGTTCCATCACCTATATATATATATATATATATATATATAGACGTAAGTGGTTAAGACTAAGGACGTAGAGACGAGTAAAAATCTGCATTGGACTCTATTGATATGTCGGTAAATATAAGCATTCTAAATTCTCAGGTAATTCACGGACTAATCAGACAATAAATATGACACTAGGGCTTAAAAAATATACAAATTAGCCAACCATGATATAATTGCATCTAAACTACACTAATGGAACTCAAATTTTATTTCATGTTGGATGTGCATGCTTACCTTGAAATGATAATGAGTTGCTGCCGAGCAATGGAAGCTGAAAAACAGTAGAACCCATAATATTTTGAAGAGTAAGGTTTTCTTGCAGAACAACATTTTATTTTCTCCTAAAAGCAAGTTTACAACTTGCGTGTACTCTAAATGATTTCTAAACTTATTTATAGAGTTTACAACTTGCGTCCACTCCAAAAAACAAGTAGTATTAGAAGCCTTGAATATTCTAGACCTGTGGGCCTATCAGCAATGCATAAGTTAAACTTACAACAAGAAAAATTAATAAAAAGGAATATAAAATAATGAAAATTCATCTGGAAACCAAGACTATAACTAAGATATATTGTTAATCCTATTTAAGCGGTTTTCTTTTTCCTATGCCGAATTTTGAAAACTATAAGATAGATGTCTCACTCTAATGCTGCTTAATTTTTGCATTTCATGTAGCAATGATGATTTATATAGCAGACATGTAACTTTCTATAAATTGTTGACTCAATAATAATGAGTTTAAATAATTTTTTTACTAATATGTAGAGTTCAAATATTAGCTAGAGTAATACTTATTTGAAATGGTTAAATATTAAATATTATCTTTTTCGTCTTGAATAAGATTAGTTTTATTTTCAATATATATATATACCTTTTTTTTTTTTTTTATGAATTTATACAAAATAGTTTGGGCTTCACCTGCTGTTTTGTGCAACACAAGTCCCTACACTTCGATCCCATGGACGTTGTCATGCTGTCAATTTACGGCAATTTCAGTAACTTCAGGTAAACAATTTCCCCCCTCTTTTGAGAAAGAAAGATTGTTGCACGACTATAAATTTTTACCTGCTGTTTTAGTCCAGCATTTTACTTTTTTCATTTTTGAAAAAGTTACAAACTTCCTATTTTGTTATATATGACTTAAAAAGTTTTTTTTTTCGTCTTAAAAGAAAACGGCAAGATACAAATAAAAATATTAATAAATAAATAAAATACTACACTCGAACTGCAATGCAATATATATATATATATAGACTTGCATAAAGTTTTTTTTTTTTTTTTTGTTTTTTTTTGTCAAGGGCAGTTAGAAAGAAAATTTTAACCATCATAAAAAATTTAATTAATCAAAAAAAATTAAATCTTAAATATTATTTATAGACGTAATAGATATAATTAAAAATATAAAAGTTATTATATAAATACAAATTTAACTATCTACTCAATTATTAAACAACAACTAAATCTTGAGTGGGCTTGTATTATGTGGATTGATGTTTGTATTTCATCTCCATCACTTTCTTTCATTTTCACTCTATATCCCACTATATCATTCAAGAAAACGATCTATAAAAAAATCCATTAAAATGATTTATAAAAAAAAATCTACCTAAAAAAATTAAAATATAATTGAATTTGATAGTTGAACATTTTAAAAGCTCCCCTATAATATTAAATTTAATAATTGAGTTTATATTGCGTTTTAATGAGTATCCATAACTTTATATATTACATTTCCTTTGTTTAAAGTTATATAAATATAAAGCTAAACAATTTGAATATTGAAGGATAATAAAAGCCGCAACCCCATCGTTTGCCAATTGACAAGATTTTCCGGAGGCTACATCCTGATTTACCTACATCGATCCAACACTACCCTATTCAAATATTCCAAAGACTTTGTGGCATAGAATTTGTGTACTTTTTTAGAAGGTCGGTAAGATCAGTCGGTCAAAATGATCAAGAATAATAAAAGCCATTTGGAAATATTAGACTACGTACAGAGTTTCTTTTACTTGTCGCTCGATGGATGCTGTAGTCTATAGTCGCAAAGAAGAAAATTAGCTAAATTTGGGCCTGCCCAATTCTATAGATTATTCCATTTCCCCTATCGTTTTTGTTAAATTGAAAGTAATAAACTTGTATGACAATATCCAGCTAATTAGACCTATTGAAACATTTCTATAGTTAATTTTTCTACACGAGATTCATAATTCCAAGTCTTTCACGTAATGCATTAATTTAACATGCTTGTCGACAGGGAATTTTTATCTGTAAATAAGAAATGGAGTTCTTGTGTTCAACGATATTATAGAGGAGGAGGCCAGTAACGGCACTACAGAAACCAGCGTCGAAGTTGTAATGGGTGTAATAGTAGATAGAATCTTGGAAGCTATGCAACTTTGTGGTGGAGTTTAAAGATCAGGCTGATTCTACTGGATCAACATATAAGAATATCTCTCTCGCTTTGCAATTGAGGGCATTGTTGGTAATGGAACAGCCCGATTTTTAAATAACAAATACACAGTAATTAGTTGACGGAAAATACTCTTAATGCTGAACAAAAAAACTCGGTAATTACTTCCAGTAAAAAAAATTGGCTGATTTAGCTATCATTAATTTTACTTCTGAACCTACAAAAGAAGAGCATGACTTTGAGGTGAAACTTTAGGTTGACCCATTTTCTGCGATAACTTTTCCCAAACTTGACTGTTAACTCCAATGCGGGAACGACAACACATAGGAAGAATATTGCCCATAAATAGCAATGTCAATTCTACGGCTTGATCGATAGATTTAGTTCTCTATCCGACCATAATCTCCCTTCGTATGTTCAGGAATTATCCAAAAAGTGCATCCTCTTTTTCAGTTATAATGCGAAACTTTAGTTGAGAAATAACTACGAAAGAATCCCAATTAATTAGCTGTTTCTTTTTATACAAAAAAAAAAAAAAAGGTTTTACCTAGCTAGCAATATTCTACCATTTTGCACCTTATCGTCAGCTGTAGCTAGCTACTAATGTTAGCAAATAAATATGAAAGAATCCCAATAATTAATTAATTAGATGTATTCTTTTAAAATTAAAAAAAAAGTTTAACCCAATGGGCAATATTCTACCGTTTTGCATCCTTATCGTAGGGTGCTGGTAGCTCTTAATTCTAATGTTGGCAATTAATCATGCACTCACATAATTTCATTGACTACTGTTAAAGCACGCTTGCTTCATATTATAGCGGTAAACGATGCAAAGATTGGCTGCATCATGACATTAATCTGACTCATGCTATTGAAGATTTGACAAAGTTAGGAGTATCCCCCTAATAACCTGGTTTTATGAATATCCTTATTTAATTTATAGCGTAAAAAGAGTACACATACACAAATGATATGGTAGTCCATAACTATTTTTTAGTGTCTATATATATCTAACTCCAAAGATAACATTTGGAATGTACATTTCAACCATGCAGTAGATCAAGGAGCTCTGCTGGTGGGTAAATTGTCTCCATTAAGTCTTTAAGCACGTCCTATTTCTTTTATGCTGATATATGAAAGGCGGGAATGGAAAGTTTTCAATGAATATTTTGCTTATCTATGTATTGTTCTTGCCCGATTTTTTTTTTTTTTTTCTCGTTTTCCCTATATCTGCCTGATTCAAGTACTCTCTTTCAGTTAATTCGTTTAAGAGGCCGAAACTAGCAAAGAAAGAAAGTGACCTTTCACCAACCAATATTACCGATGCATAGTTTTTTTGAATCTCAAGAAAATAGGAATAAAGATATATTACAAGTTAGAGTACACATTGGCGAATGTTCAAGAATATAAAAACTTAAAATTTACGTAATAAGACATCATGTTAACCTCATCAAAGAATTTAAGTTTGAATCGTGCATGTTTTATAATTTCATTCACAAGCTAGTATGCTATTAGCTTCGATGATGATATAAGTGTCATGAGATCCATCATATGTATAACTTATGTCACTTATGTTAACATCGAAACTAATAATAAGATATTTGTGATTGAAAGCATCTATCGAAAATTTAAAATAACTTAGCTATCTTTTATTTTTTGTTCATACTAACAAGTTTTAAAAACACAATTAAAAGTGGTGCATGGCTGTATAAAAACGGTTTTTTTTTTTTTTTTTACGAAAGCAATATTTGGTTACTGTTCTAGGTAAAATTAACCTTGGATTAACTTTAGTATACTAAATTAATTTTATCTTTTAAATAAAATCAAAAGCAAGTTATTTATCCTGGAATAAAAAAAAATGAAAATTTTACTTTTTACGGTATGATTTGAAATCTAGAGTCTGGTGGCTCGAAAACTGAAGTAAAACCATATCAAGAACTATGAGGCATTCTGAGCTTATTCTAAGATTAGGACTCAAATCATGAAGGATTAAATACTTATAAAAAGTTTCTCAAAAATTAAAAAGAAATAAGTTTACAGTTCTGGACCTCTAAGGGTTGATTGGGCCCCAAAACCACTCTCGCGCCGCTATGGCTTAAACCGTTGTTTCTAAATCAATAGGAGTCTTATCCATTGTTGGGCTTCAAACTACTGTTTACCCATCAAACTTTACAGGCAGAGTCTTTAAGGAGCCTACAAAGCTTCACAAAAGTTGGGCTATAAGGCCTTCTCAAGAGTCTTGGGTCAAGACTTCTTTGCACACTGGGCTTCAAGACATCTCGAGCTATTATTATTGTCCAGCTCGAATCTATTGAAACTGCCAGGATGGATCTACTATCCAACTTTTGGTGATAATCTTTCTTTTTTTTTTCTTTTTTTCTCTCTCTCTCTCTCTCTCTCTCTTCAATTTCATTATTTCTACGTATCTCCCTTGTAATTTGTAATTTATGATAACAATAAATATTATTTTAATCCAAAATAATATCATATTTCTTGTAATGTAAATTGAATACACACACATAATATTTCTGGTATATAAATATGATCATCTATCATTATCGTATTGCATTAATTAACATCATTAAAAAAAATTATATTAAGTATAATTCTGTTTATTCAAATGATTAAGTATTTAACTCATAAATTTGAATTATATTTGAGCCAATTTTTTTTTAAATTACAAATTTGAATATATATATTTTTTAATATTTTCCTTTATGTCCTTAAATATTCTATAATGATGCATATTCACATTCAATACGAATCCAATATGAATACAAGGGCATTTTTAAAGTATTCTTCATCGACTTTCATTCACATTTAATTATTCATATTCCATCTATATAAAATAGCAAACCAATGGAGTAGTTTTCTTACTTTACACGGATGTCAAAAAATAAAAGATAGAAAAAACAGTCAAAATTTCCAAAAAAACATTGGGTCGACACAATGTTGAAATTCGAAAGTACCTTAACAGAGGGAACCATCAAATACAAAGTTACCATCCAGACACAAATCTAAGCACTGATTCAGGAAAAAGTCTTTCCCATTAAAGCAAGCTGTTAAACGAAATCTTTTTTTTTTTTAACTAAAATTTGGAATCACTGAGATACTAATTAAAATCATTTAGATTAATTTGTAGTTATCGTATCGAGATCACTGGCAAATTATAGGTTAATTTCTTCACTATTTAGATCACATGGTAGGGTTTTGGTACTAAGATTGAATTGAATTGAATCTACAGCCTTTATGTCTCACCTACCACGTACGACATGCCCTTGAGATTTATTAAAATGGAAATCTTACCTAACAGTTGCATTATGGTGTGGGATTTTTATAAACTGTCAATTTTTTCTTTCACGTTGATTAAAATATATTTCTTTAAATATTTTACTAATAGATGCTACCTAGCTAGGTTACGGTAAAGTAACTTCTTGTCATTCTAATCACCTGATGTAGAATTTTACCTTCAGGAATTTATCCATTTTATTTTTTATTTTTCCTTTGCAATTACTTAACTGTTGGAATATATTTGTCAGATACTACAATGACAGGGAGCACCTGCTAGACTGCTACCATGTTGAGATCATACCTCTCAAAAGCGTTTGTTTCTCTTACCTTCTTTTACTGGCCTGGTTGGTGTGCATTTATTATTATGCTAACTCAAGCCATGAGCCCTCTGTCACCTTGTCAATTTAGTTTGTTAGTGATGAGGTTCTTTAGATAACGTGGCTTTTTCATGATTATTGTCAGGGTGGTGATGTTTGTTGATTGATGTTGGTACGATGGATGTAATATATGTAAAATAAGTCTTTTTAGCTGAATAAAAGATACTCGGACCTTCAAATTAACATAAATAAAGAAATATTGATTTTAATTTTTTTAACTATTTATATAGTTAAAAAACTTACCAAGTTACATGAAAAGAGAATAAAACTGCTAATTTTGTTCCTACCAATAACCTTTTATACTATTTTAAATATAAATGATTTTTATATTAACATGTTATAGTTGAATAAATATAATCATGTTATACTATTGATGTGGATTAGACAAGTAGTCTTGAGAACATATTTTTATTTATTAAATGTAGTATATGTCTTTTCTGGTCGGTAAAGGTTGGTCTAGCTCTCCAAGTTATGACCGGATAGGATTTTCTAGCAGGTATCTCCTTTAATGGTGTTGATGCGCTCGCTCATCTTTAGTGTGATCATGGTTTCATACGTCTGACTTCTTTCCGATCGTACCGTAAGAGAACGAAAAAACTTGTGTTGGCACATCAATCATGATGGAGGCTCGTGGGATCCTTGAGTTGTACAAATACGTACCCATCCGAATATATAAGTTAATATTATTATTTTACGTTGGATCTTGTTAAAAAAAAAAAAAATTGAATTTTTCTTCAAACTGGATTGCAACTGAATTAATGGGCTTAAATGACATTATCTTTTGATGGGAATAGTTGTTCTGTTCTGGTAAAATCATCATTTAGATTGTAAATGTATATCTACAGAAAGTCCAAAACACAGCAGTGCGTACTGTTTATTTAGGGTTTTTTTCTTCTCCTCTTATTCATACTGATATGAAGTGGTTGATAATGAAATTGATTGAAATTAATTGCAGTTGGCATAGGAATTTTGATGGTTCTAGGTAGGTATTGTTATTGCACACAAATTATATATCCCAACTCATATCATTATCCGAAACATGCTAGATCATCAATCTTTATCACATGTATAAACCCGTTGCTGTCGTTTTACGTCATACTTCAAATAACCAATATCAAATTTTGTTAGACTCTGTACAGTGAGTGGAACTTACTGACTTAGAAGTAATCATTTGTTTAATTGTTTGCATGGTTTTTTCCCTGATTGTATATTTTCTTGGATTTTTTTTTTTTTTTTTTTGACAGGAGGAAGTAGGGTGAAACCTTGGACAGATTTGATGGCAATCTGTTCTAGATTCCAAGATTTTACATGTTCAAGTACTTCTTGTCAGTGATACCAAACATTCACAGTTCAGTGTTCATACATCAAGAAATAGGAAAGGAAGGACATAAATTTGATTATTTATTAGGAAAAAAAATTCCTAAAGTCTTGTTTCTCCTGACCTCTTGTTTCTTAGTAGTTGTATTCATAAAATGGTCTTCTGTTCATCGTAAACTGTAGCACAAATCTCTTCTAGTTGTTTTAAAAACATTTATATCACCCTCGTCATGATTTAACATGGTAATTATCAGGCCTATACTTATTCATGATATTGCATGTAGTTTGGCTTTGGTACGCATGTTTATATATCTTGGATCCCTTTGATAGCTTCATCCCTGCATGTTCAGATTTCTCTTAAATATTTAGTGGTGGTGAGTTAATTCCTACAGCTGGTCGTTGCAGTATTAATGCATATCTGTGTCTTTCTGCACTGCTTGCAGCTTTACATAAAGTCCATTCAATTCACATTTACTCTTGTGCTAACCTATTAGCATGCATCGCTTGCTGCCATTTCTTATACTGAGAGCTAAGCCATGGAGATCTTTGGCTTTTAATTTAAGAGAGTAATCTAAATTGGATTTTTGACAATTGAACCTTGTATTTTTCTGCAAGTTCAAACTGTCATGCAGCATATTTCTTATACTCAGTCAGAAGTCTATGCACTTCTAAACCAGTAGCACATTCTTGTGGGACAAGAATCAAAATGGAATTGAAATTAAACCATGAATCTTATTTAAAGCTAAATAAGAAAACATCAACTTAAGCATTCTAATGTCAACATAGTTTCTATCCTTGAATATAATAGGACAACAAAGATGATGATAAGATACTAGGCCACATAAGAACCTAATTAAATAGCACACACAGCACAAAACATATGCTAATTAATAGTGCTTTCCACAAACTGAACAGTGAACATAAGCAAAAGATGATTCCTCATCAGGCCCTAGGTTTGAGTTTGCCCTCATTGGCCAGCTTGAAGAGCCGTCCCTGAGTCCCTGCAGCCTTGTTGGAGGCAAGTGCGGTAATGAAATTCTCCCTGACTTGCCTGGTTGTGAAAGGGAACCTGTTGCTTACCATGGAGTTGAGCAAGGAAGCAGTGCCTTCTCGGTAGAGTGTCCCGTACCCGTCAGTACGTGTGTTTGAAAGTGCTTGCTGTAGGGACATACTCGTTCCAATTCCTGGCAAGCTAGTCACACCAAATGTGTTTCCCATTGTTCCCCACCAGCCCAAAACACCCCATATTAGTGCAGGGTGAGTTCTCCAGTAACTGTAAACAAACAAACATAGATTTCAGATGTTATAATTATAGGGTTAGTACTGCTCGAGGACAAATGTATATATTCAATCGATTTCATGGCTTATAAATTTATATATATATTAAATTTGAGTTATTAATCCAAACTTACTTGCATGAGAAGGGTGAATTTGGATCAGGAGTGAACGGAGGCATGGGGGTGAAAGGAGTTCCTGGAGTGATACTTGGGGGGGTTGGTGGGCTTCCACTGACTGGTGTTGGTGGGCTGCCTCCAGTGGTTGGAGGGGTGGGGTAGGATCCACCACCTCGCGGAGGGTTTGATGGAGTAGGCACACTTGGTGGGGTACCACAATTTCCACCTGAAGGAGTTGATGGTGTTGGATTGTAGCCTCCACCTCCACCTGGAGGAGTTGATGGTGTTGGATTGTAGCCTCCACCTCCACCTGGAGGACTTGATGGTGTTGAGTGAGATGGTGTTCGTGGAGTTCCATGGGAAGGGGGGTCCCGTGTGAACCTGTCAATTAGAATTTGAACCGTTATAGCAGCATAGATTGTGGAAGAAGAAAGAAGCAAAGTTGATTTACAGAGCTCTCTTTATCTTAATGCTATTGATGATATGAGCATTTTCTTCACACTATCACTTGCATCAACAGTAATTTTTTTTTTTTTACTATAATAGCCTAAACACCCGCAAAGACATAATTTACAAATTAGCAAGTTACAGCTTGTAAGGAAAAAAGTTAGTCGCTTGACTAAATGGGTTGTTTTATACTGAGCATGCACAAGTTCGAATATGCACTTGATTATACATAGTATGGTTAGATCATGCATGAAAGATGGGGTGCAAGTGTAGTTCAAAGTGCGAGTGTCTGTATGTGTTTGAGTGAGAGAGAGAGAGAGAGGGAGGGAGACCAGAAGGGGGACTTCTTGAATGTGGATCTGGAGGGTAGTAGTTCTTCTGATCTTCGAAGGTTGTGGCCAAGACAGGGAAGGCCAAGTTGTGAGAAAGCAAGCCGGCGACCAAAACCCACATCAACATTGAAGCCTGGTTGCTTTTCTGGATCTCCATATCTCTGTATGCTTGGAGAACAGTAGAAGTAAGATAGGAGACGACTGAGATTTGCATTCTTCAGTGAAGGAATAGGTGATTATATATAGTGATGACAGAGTGAAGTAAATATCAGCAGGTGAAAGAGTGAGTGGTTAGTTGGTGTGTTGCAGAAACATTAATACGTGCTATTAATGACTTGTATTGATGCGATGGTGCAAATCCACCCTCCTCAGTCCTCCCCAATCTATTTTCACCCACGATGTACTTCCAGTTTTAACTTACATAAACTCACTCGTAAAATGGATTGCTTGTGGGGATCTAACTTGATGCGTGAATTGTCACTGCCGTATTCATCAGGTTTTGCCCAGGTTACTATAGCATGAATTATTCCAGAAGCTGAAATTGTTAATATCAAAACTCGTTTGGTAAGGAAGTCGTAGAAACCAGATTATCCCTGATTGCGTGCCATAATGTTGAGATATATCCATATGAGTGAAATCCCTTTAGGGAGGTATATTAAGGAATGGACTCGTAATTCTCTTGTTTTTGGTTGAATATGGCGTTCATTTATGTAAGTAAGCTAGCCCTTGTTTACAAATCCATAGAGAAGCTTCCATACTTATCATCTGATAAAGATGATTCACTGGAAGGGGAGAGGGAAGAGTGAATCGATGGAGAAAACTAGAAAACAAAGGAACGGGGCATAATTCTAGGACCAAAATCTCTGAAAGGAGTCCTTGTTGGTTGCACCAATGTGACAACACTACATGAATATGGCATAGCTGTAAGGAGTTGTTTTAGTTTGGTTAAAACCAAATTTTAATTTTAATTGTGTATTGATAGTTAGTTATAATTATTCTTTAAGTCAATCTAGTAATTAATCAAAAATTAAATGTATTTTGAAAAATAATAAATTTAGATTCGCTTGATGTAAAATTAGTTTGATTAAGAAGCTCATTCGGTGATATTGTAAGATTAAGAAGCCTTCAATTAATAAGCTGTGATTAAACTACAGGAGTAGGCTCAAAAGTTCTCGCAGAGACATGTTCTTAAAATCCATAAAACAGCAGAAGTTAAACAGCTAACAGCCATTTACTGGTTAATCTCTATGGACAATGGAATAGGCTTCCATTGCATACTGAACCATTCGAAACCTCACAGTGTCGCCTGATTTCTTTATTTATCATTTACTGTAAGGCCAGCTGGTGCTGCAACAACCCCCGAGAGATCAATGTGACATTAATTTCAAGCTCAACAAATCCGATCCAACCCATGTCTCGACTTGCTTCATGTCAAGGGATTGAACTCTAATCTTGTGTCATCATCTCTATACTTTAAGCTCCTGTATTCAGGACTAGGTTGTTTTTTTCTTTCGTTTTTCAAGACTCCGTTCAGCTGGTCCCGTCTTTAACTTGAGCGAGACATGAGATGTTTTTCCACTCTGTCAAAATAAGAGGGAGAGAGGTAGGTACCTTCTATTCATTCTATCACCAGACAAGCTAACAAGTAATGAGCCCAAGAACTATAAGATCCTAGCTATCCCAATTTTGTGGGTGGTCCAATAGACCACAAAGATCTGAGCCCTGGTTGCATTATTTAATATCCAATTTCAGATAATTTAATGGTCTTGGCTGTAGACCAGACCGGTCCAATGAAAACAAGATCAAGATCTTGTTGGAGCATTTAGATCTTGTACTAGTTTTTGCAATGAAAAGAAAAATACTAAACGGTGTCTGTGACAGCACAGCTTGTTGCGCTATCGTTGTACTCGCTGCAACTTTAATATAAGCAGGCAAACGCATGATACAGAAACATGTTCTGATAAACCTTCAAAAAACCATGACACTTGGCATGCAGAGGGAGAAGGGACCCATAATTCTTGAAATTAGAAGTTGTAGCCTTAATGTTTGTCGCAGAGAAGTTGTTGAGGCAGAACAAGAACGTTAGGGGATGAGTAAATAAAGACAGCAAAACTGGCGTCATTTTAGGGCTCTGTTGCCTTGGAAGCTGTCTTTGACCAATACTTCCTCATCCTAAGAGAGATACAGAGAGATCTGTTTTCTTTTCTACTATTATATATTTTTAGCTTTTAATTTGAAAGTTGAAATGCGTTAAGATTTCTCAATCCAAAATAATTTCCATCACTCCTGTTGTACTTGTTTTTTTTCTTTTTTTTCCTCCTCTAAGATGGATGACTGACTGGCTGTTGCCTATTTAAGTCGAAATTTGTATGGAGTGTGGAAGACGGCTTGGCCATTTCTTTAGTACATTTTGAATTTCTGGTCCGCCAAGGATGGGAAAGACAGGTAACCACACGAACGCCAGTAAATGTGAAAGGCCAACTACCTCACTAGCTTTTAGCTGGTAGCTATCTCTTGAATATCAATCACACTGAGTCACTGACACACCTCCTTTCCGAGTTAAGTTAATTTTTGGGGGGCCCATGGTTTTATAGTGGCCCACGTGCTAATTCAACTGTTCTTTTTTCTAATGGGTTAGAATCTTTATACCCAGCCAGGAATAAAACTAACAACGTGTGTTTGGGACTTCACTTGCGTAGTTTATGGGGAAAAAAAAAATTGAAAAATGGTTGCCAAGACCGGGCTTTTCAATACAGCTGTCAAATCCGATCCAATGCTTAAGTCATGCAACCTCAGGTCATGCGTCGTTGAAATAAATAATATAATCAAATTAAATTCATCAATAAAATTGTTATTTTTATTATTTTTTAAAAAATTATTAATACATCATTTATTAATATTTTTTATATAATAATTATATGTGATTAGTAAAAAATATAGTGAAAAGTGTATAGGTAATTATCTAAATAAAAAATAAAAAAAACAATTTGATTGATGAATTTAACAATTATCTAAATCATAAGTCAATTTTATTTATTTTTAATTTAATCCGTTTCAATTTATTCATCTAAGTCATGCAACCTCCGGTCATGCATCATTAGAATAAATAATATAATAATATTAAATTCATCAACAAAATAGTTATTTTTATTATATTTAAAAAAAATTATTAATACATCATTCATTAATATTTGTTATCTAATAATTTTATGTAATTAGTAAAAGATGCAGTGGAAGGTATATTGGTAACTATCTAAAAAAATAGGAATAACAATTTGATTGGTGAATTTAATAATACCCTAAATCATAAATCAATTTTATTTATTTTTAATTTAATCAAGTTTTGCTTTGTTCATCTAAGTAAATCATATTTTGAATAAGTATGTCTAAGTTCAATTGGATAGATGATTTATAGAGTTAGATTACGCAAAATCAACCTAATCTAGATCTTGGATCAGTGAGTTTGAGATCAACCTATTAGATTAAATAAGAATTTGACAACTATGCTTATGAAGAATTGGCAAATTTCTTCAATTAATAAAAACACAACAATGAAGATCCTTTTTTTTTTTTTTTCCTGTAAGATAGTGTAAATCATTAAAGCTGTAGAGACATTGCTATGGACAAAGTTATTCATGTGCATATAGATAAATTCTACCTCTATAAATAAAAGTTCGTGTAAGAAGGATCAATCGAATTTGCCTATGCGATGAATTCCTTTCCATTGTAATTTTTAAATGTTGCGCATTTGAGTGAGATTTTTTTAAAAAAAAGTTTTTAAAAATAGATATTAATAATTTCAAATTTTATTTTGATTTCTAGTCACTATTACAAACAATTTTGGAATTGAAAAGTCATTTTCAATTTATTTATTTCATTCTTGATAGTATTGATATCCATACGACATATCAGTGACACATAAATATCAGTTAGATGAAGGATTTAAAAAACTCTTGAAAACAAATGTTTTGATTGACAAAATTGTCATGAATTTATGAGTCACCATCTTAGCCAGTAAGTGCCTGTCTGGTAACATGGGGTTTTTAGCTTTCTTCTCCCTTTCTCTCTCTCTCTCTCTCTCTCTCTCTCTCTCTCTCTTTGGCTTCCAATGTTTTTTTTTTTTTCTAAAAACTGTTGCAAAAGGTATTTAGAAGTCAAAAGTCGAAAGTTAAAAAATATTAACAGCACATGTCACCAAATATTTTTTTACAATTATAATAGCCACAGCTGCAACCACAGTTTGCAGAAAAAACCCATTTAAAAGCCACAGCTTCTCAAAACAGATATTACAAGATAGAAACATAGATGACAAGAGCAATAACTTTTGCTCCGTACCTTAGCAACGGTGAATTACAAGATTCTGCCGGTGCAGCATATCCATACTTTTCACACCGTTGGAATGGCAGAATTCCAGGGTTGATACTCCCTCCCTAACCAGCTAGCAGCCACAATAGGAGATACGGATATATTCCAGTCTCTCTCTTCCAGACTTCCCAACAAAGAAATTAACCTCTATATACTATTGGACTTGCCAGATTTTTAGGGATGCTCTGATAATAAAATACTCATTGACGGCAATGCAAGAAGAGATTCTGTAATCTCTGAAAAAAAAAAAATCAGAGACATCATGGTTGAGATGTTGTCATTCTTCAAGAGCAAAAAAACAGATTATTAGCACATGCAAGGAATATGATCACTGTTTCGATGCCCCAGTTAATAAGTTATGCAATTCTTCTCTTGAATAGTCAATAATAAAGGTCGGCTTGGGGAAAAAAATAGAGAGGGTCGGTTATGACTGCCTGATTGGTTGACTTTGTTAGAAGCTCAACTAAGTTTGACTTGCTAAATTCCCTCATTCATGCACATGCGTATCAACACTGGTTCACCTGATGATAACACAAAAGCTATAAATTTCGAGTTCTGAGACTGGAACTCCTCACATCTTCACAGAAATGGCCATTGAAATCTGCTCTTTGTTTTCCTGGTCTTTGTTCTGCTCAACAGCAGTGCTCCTCGCCATTTTCTTGAAACACAGGAAAGACTGTAGCAGGAGTGAAACAAAACTACCACCAGGGGAAATGGGACTTCCTTGGATCGGTGAAACGATAGAGTTCTACAAATCACAACGCAGCAACCGGTTGTTTGAAGAGTTTGTTCAACCACGGATCGCAAAATATGGAAAGGTATTCAAAACAAGGCTAATGGGTTCACCAACAATCATAGTTAACGGTGCTGAAGCTAACCGATTTTTTTGTCCAATGAATTCAAGTTGGTGATAAGCTCATGGCCTACCACATCAGTTCAGCTCATGGGCATGAATTCCATCATGGAAAAGCAAGGGGAGCAACACCGATGCCTACGTGGAATAATCGCCACCACCCTTGGCCCCGCAGGGCTTGAGGCTTTAGTGCCAAAAATGTGCGACTCAGTTCAGTTATACCTAGATAAAAATTGGAATATAAGAGATGAGATCAGTCTTTACCATTCTACCAAAGCCTTGACGTTTACCATAGTTTTGGAGTGCTTGCTGGGGATCAATTTTGAGCCTGGAACACTGAATACTTTTGAGAGAGTTTTGGAAGGAGTTTTTGCTCCACCTGTTTCATTTCCTGGTTCCAAGTTTTCAAGAGCCAAGAAAGCCAGGCAGGAGATTAAAGAAATGTTAATTAAAGTGGTAAGGGAGAAGAGGGAGGAGATGGAAAGTGGGCTGGGGGGTGATGAAGGAATATTACTTTCCCAGTTGGTGAGCGGGATGATTCGAGGGGAGATCAGCGAAGAGGAAGTTATTGATAATGTCGTGTTGCTTGTGTTTGCAGCTCATGATACAACATCTTTTGCCATTGCCATGACTTTCAAAATGTTAGCTGAGCATCCAGACTGCCATTCCCTCCTCCTTCAAGGTACTCTTTTCTTTCAGTATTTTAAAGTTCACTGAGAAAATATTTCCAAAAACAGAGGGGCATCCATCCCATGACAATTTATACGAAAATAAATTCAGTTCAAACTTGAACGTGAATTTAATAAACTCCCATAAGAAGCACCTTCCTCCCATGATTCTACTAAATTCAGTATATATTATTGCTCTTGGCAGAACATGTTGACATAATGAACAAGAGGAGACCCGAAGAGAATCTAACATTGGAAGACACAAAGAAGATGAAATATACATGGCAAGTTGCACGTGAAAGCATGCGGCTTTTCCCTCCTATCTTTGGCTCCTTTAGAAAAGCTATTGCTGATATCGAATATGAAGGATTCACCATTCCTAAAGGGTGGAAGGTGCGCATCTATTCTGAATCCTCCTTTCCTTGATACTGGTACATAAAACAAGCTCATAGATGGACAAAATAACACCCGGCCTCAATCTTCCATACTTTCATAACATAATATATCACAGTTTTAGGACTCAGTTTCAAGGTATGGCTTGATTACAAGCATTGTAGATATTGTAGAAAACATGCAGCAACAGAACAAATAATGCCTTCGTGTATCTTTAACAGATAATTCATCTGAGATCTGATTTCATCTTGTCTTGTCAGGTTCTGTGGACAACATATGGCACCCACTACAATGAGGAGTATTTCAAGGATCCTCTAACTTTCAATCCAAGCAGATTTGACGAGCCAATTGCACCATATGCTTACCTTCCCTTTGGTGGAGGACCAAGGCTTTGTGCAGGGAACCAACTGGCAAAGTTAAATATCCTCATCTTCATCCACTATGTTGTAACTCGTTACAATTGGTCCTTACTCTGCCCTGATGAGCAAATCACCATGGACCCCCTCCCATTCCCTTCCCACGGAATGCCCATCAAAGTTTCTCCCAAGTCTTATTAGAGTAGAACAAACGTTCGGGATTTAGATACATTGTACACAAATGTTTAATTCTTCAAAGAACCATGTCCTACAAACTAGGTTTTACTTGTTAAATCTACTCTCTCATCCAAAATTCATATTCCACAGCATTGTGCATCTTGTGCTGGATCTCACATCTACAATTAAATATATGATCTCTCTGGATGTCTGAGAATATACCCATGCATTTATAGCAAGCGTGGACACAAAACCTTTTCTTCCAACTTGATATAAGTTTGAACAGTAATGAATTTATACATAAGAAGCATTTCAGGCATAATAGATTCTGAAGGCTACCAGCACAACCTACTTCAAGAATGGATTAATCTAATTTAAATCTGCAACCTGACTCCAGAAACGCCAAACCCATCTTACCAAGATTATAAAATATTGGTTACTGAATCAATACCTCAATACCCCTAAACGTACCTAAAATCACCAGACCCGTACTACCTAGATTTACTTGCAATGTGATTTTCATCACAGAGTGACTTAGTGCTAGTATAGAAAAGTTAATTTGTTTCTGCAGTGTGGCAAATCTTACATTGAAGAGAATAAAATAACAAAAAAGAACCCAAACAAGTATAAAGACAAAAGCATCATTGTATGGTTCAGTTTTCAACGTTTTTATTCCTTACACGAGTCCAAATATCATGAAATGTTTGCAAAGAGTTCATTCCTCACATAATTCCCAATCTCATTACTTCTAAAAGGTACATTCCGGCTTGGCTGAATAATAGATTAATATTTCCTTTTCAAATATATCATAGAAAATGTAGTCTGAAAGGTTAGATGCTAGAAGCATAGACATTTATCCAAAGCATCCATAAGAACTGCTAGAATTTTTTATGATGTCATCAATCCATATGTGAATAGGAAAGCCTCTGTATTCAAAAGACAGCATTACCTTATCATCACTGTCCTACAGGCTTTAACCTAATCATTGCAGTGAAAGGAACATGCGATTCTCTCCCAGAATACCCCCCAACAACCCAAAAAAAAAACACGTAGAATCATGTTTCTTTAACCGCATTGATTATGATCTATCACAAATTACACAATTTATGGAGGATATCTGTATGCATACATGTCCCCTCCCTCCCACACATGTATGTATACAATTACATGTCATCAGACTCACCATGAAAATTTAGAATACAAGAAAATGGGTGTAAACATGTCCTCTTACTGAAATAGGGAAGATAAACAATTCACAATGCAAGGAAAAAATGTCAGCTTATGTAACAACCTATTGTATATATGTGAAGACATTAATCATCCCAAGATAAGTGGCCCTCCTACAGTAGAAAAACCTATGCCCTGTAAATTGCTTGATTGTGATTCATGATCAATCCAAGATGAAAATCGTCAACCTAATGGGCCTTCGTCAATAAAAAGAATTGGCTTTCCATCCCGAGTATTGCTTTGGAAATATCTCTCAGATTGTAATTGACATAAAAAGTTATTGGACACAAATTAATCAATTAAATAAACAAAATTTGATGACATGAAATAACCTGAAATTGTTGTTAGTTACACAAGTATGATTTTGCACCAAAGTCTTTCCTACAAAGGTGATGGATCTTTTACGCATTGCTTGGCATCTGGCAGTAGATCATGACTGATTGGCTTCAATCCTTTTTTAAACCAATAGTTCATAAGAATCATTTCTAGTTTCCGCACCTGTGAACATTTATTTCATTTTATCAGTCAAGTATTCAGCCGATGCAAGAACAAACTACACCTTTATCCTATTATTCTCTGATATTCCAACAATGCCAAACCAAAAGTAACAGCAATGGGAAGTAAATAGGAGACAACTGCCCAACTGCATACCAGCTAAACATTTTGGAAACACAAGATTATTAGGGATGCAATATCCTCCAATAAATAAAAACAGAAGGTTATTGTTGAAAGGATGCTACATCCTCCAATAGATAAAAAACAAAAGGTTGTTATTGACATCATATTTACAACATTTATACAGCCTTTATTTCACATTGAAACCATTAACGCGATCTTTCAGCCATGAAGCAGAAAATGGCATATATCTGTTTAAAATGCAACTCCCCATTCTTTTCTTATTTTTCAAGGATGCCATAAAATCAAATTCAGTGTCTCAAAGAGAAGATAACTAACCTGCCTAACAACGAATGGTTCCTCCGTGAGACTCAGTGGATTCGTTAATATAGTCAAAAAGTCATTTCGGTTTCCATAAACAATGTCTGTGAAGGGCCGATCACCCACCTGTGACAGACACAAGCATACCATTCACATACAATAAACATAAAGAAACCAGACCAACAACTCAAAGCAGCTCATGTAGTTTGCATATACCATAATAAGTTGTGAGGATTTACAGCCAAAGTGCTTTTCAATTTCTTCAGCTGTTCCAGCTGGTTTCTTTACCCCTGGAGTGCAATATGTGAATTATTAATTTTCCAAATGGTGCTACATACAGAATATTAATTAAGCAAATTATGCATCGACCGTCACAAAAAAATAAAATAAAAAATGTCAGCTTCCAAATTGGATAACTATAACAGGCAATAATAAAGACAAAATTTTCGAATAAAATTAAAGCTCAAATTAGCAGAGAAGAAGCTTACTGTGCCTTATTACTTTAATTCCAATTGCCTTCTCCAGTGCCCTGGCTTTTGAACCATTATGATCATACTCGTAGAGACCTAACTCATTAAACCAATAGCACATAAACACAGTTTAGTAGCCTATTATCAAAAATAAAATCACAAACAACCAAAACAAGTTCAAATTACATAAGGGTCGCCAAAATTACCAGCAGAGTTACTAAACACAGCAATATCATTCCCAAAAACAGATTTACACCTCTCAATCGACGAACCAAGAGGATCCCAAAGTGTCAAAGAGTAAGGCACAGTGATGGTGTTATCCTTATCAAACACCACACCTTTAAAGCCTCTCCCTTGCAACTCTCCCCAATCAACGTGCCTTATGTCAGGCACTACAACGTGAGGCAGAGCCAAATGCCGGTCCTTTACAAATACAGAGACCGAAGAAACAATGCCTTCTACGTTAATTCTTTGGCCTAATGCAGCTCTCAAATCTGTCCACCACATGTTCGATAAAAGTCCTATATGATTCCCAGTTTGGGCGTCTCGAATTTCTTCAATTTCTCGGTTTTTGGTTTCTGGGTTTTGGTTCGTGTCTAACGAACAGTGAAATTGGTCAAAAAATGACAGGCTCTGATCTGGATCAGGGTAGCTTTTATTATCGTTGGTTTGGGAATTTTTTTGCTCTTTGTTGTTGCTTTTACAATTGCTTGTAGGGTGGAGAGTGAGGGAAGAGATGCTTTTGGAGTGGGTTTGGTGATGTGAAGAGTAAAAGCAGGTGGATTTTACGATTCTGAGATGGGAACGATGGAGATGGAAGTGAAGTAAGGTTGGTACAGGACAGTTGGGTGAGGGAGTAACAGTGGTGGTGTACTGCATTTCCAATCTAATGGTTGGTTTTTTGTGTTTTAATATTCATTTTTTCAAGCGATGGGAAGTAAAGACCGCTTTTTTAATTTCACTGGCCAGCCAGGTTGTGGCTGTGGAGATTGTGAATTGGTGATTGTGGGTTAGTTCATGAAAATGGCCAGACTAAGGGGCATGGGTAGCAGTTAACTCTAGTTCTGTTTTTTCTGGACACATTTTGGACTATGTGCCCATTATAATTTGGGCTTTGAGCCTTAGTTGATTATTTCTAATTTTCTTAATTAAGAAATAAATAAAAATAGATCACAGGCCAGGATCTAGGGTGTTTGACTTCTCACACGTTTGACTTTATTCTAGGCTGTTGTAATATGTACTTATTAGGGGGATAACGATCAGTATTATTATTCAAATAGTAATATGGAAAACATTAAACAGAAACTAGTCGATAAAAAAAATGTCAAAGTGGTGTTTTACCGTTTTAAGACATAATAAAATTTAATTTAAAGATATATCCTATGTTTCCATACAAACTCGTGACTTTATATATACTTACGAATTATAGTAATATAACATTTGATATTTTCTACCTTTATTTTAATTTGTGTTCATATTGTAAAAAATCTGAAATTAGATCCTTTTATATTAAAAAAAAAAAGAAAAAAAGAAAAAGCATACAGATTATGTTTGTGGAAACTAAGCCATTGATTTGATATAAGTGGTTACGATTTTCAAAATAAAATAAAATAAAATAACTTCCGATTAAAGAAAAACTTATAAGTTATAATTACCCTCTAATTTGTAGAAATGAAATCTTAATAATGGAAACTGATTTTTTTTTTTTGAATTTTTGTAGTTTTTCCAAAATCCATTATTTTAAAGTTTTCAACCTTTTAGATTGTAAGAATCAAAGCCTTATAACTTTGACACATTCAAGATGAGTATGCCAGAAAATAATTGAAAAAAGAAAAGAAAAAAAACAGCAAGCAAGAAGGAAATTGAAGCTTGGAATTTCTAGATGCGGAGTGATAATTAATAATCTAGCAGTACCGGATAAACTCACGTGAGTCAAGTGAAACCTGTTGATCCAAGACACGTCCAAAACCGGAAACTCCACTTGCATACGCTAAACGCGTATTGTCTTTTCTGTCTCCAGTTCGAAAAATGCTTTGAGCTTTGCCAGCTCTTCGTCATGAATTACTTATGCAGCTGACCTACGTTTTGTATGACCAACTCGGTTTTGGCTCAATTAGTCCAATAAGGCCTATGTTCTATGCAAGCGCCTCTCAAAACCAAACCATTCCACTTTCACAACGACCCACCTTTTTCCAGTTTCCTGGGCTACTTCCTCCATTAACTTTGCTAGCCTGTCGCCAGTGCTAGAAGATTGTGAATAATGCCAGCTATAACTAATTTTTAATCAACTAGGATAGGTTGCTACACATGAAAGCAACTATATAAAGGAATCAAGCTCAAAAGTTCCAACATCACAAAACACGTTTTGTTCTCTCAAAATCTGTAGCTAGCTAGCTAGCAGCTACCATATACATCTCCTTGATTTTACTTAGGAAAAAGAAAAGATGTCATTCTCTTCTTCCAATAAACTTTCTTCAATGCCTTTGTTTGCTCTGTTTCTTGCTTGTCTAATAGGAGTTTCCAAGGGTGGGAATTTCTTCCAAGATTTTGACATCACTTGGGGCGATCAGCGAGCTAAGATACTAAACGGTGGCCAACTTCTCACACTCTCTCTCGACAAGGATTCTGGTTCCGGCTTCCGATCCAAGAATCAGTACTTATTTGGCCGAATCGACATGCAAATCAAGCTGGTACCAGGCAACTCGGCTGGCACTGTCACCACATACTATGTAAGCCTCGATCCTTTTCCTCTAATTGAACTTCTGCTATAACCCATAAATTTGAGGTTTCTCATATTTTTCTTACTTAATGCAGCTATCTTCTGATCAAGGGACGACCCACGATGAGATTGACTTCGAGTTTCTAGGCAATGCAACTGGAGAACCATATGTTCTCCATACCAATGTGTTCTCGCAAGGGAAAGGCGACAGAGAACAACAATTCTATCTCTGGTTTGATCCCACAAAGACTTTCCACACCTACTCTATTGTGTGGAACAAACAACGAATAATGTAAGTAAACATATGCTCACCTTCAAGGCTTCAATACTCCTTTCTCGTCACAAATATTACTGAATTTTCGAATGCTAATTTGCAATTTGTTATGCTTTAATTGCAGTTTCTTGGTGGACAACATCCCTATAAGAGTATTCCACAACTCGGAATCAATTGGTGTGTCTTTCCCGACGAAGCAACCCATGAGGATTTATTCGAGTCTCTGGAATGCTGATGACTGGGCAACAAGAGGGGGACTTGTGAAGACTGACTGGACACAAGCTCCTTTCACTGCTTCTTACAGAAATTTCAAAGCCAATGCTTGTGTCTGGTCACCTGGATCGCCTTGTACCTCCACCTCCCCTAATTCCGTGCAGGACAGTAGCTGGCAAGTTCAAGAACTTGATGCCCCAGGCCGGAACAGACTTCGATGGGTGCAACAAAAGTACATGATCTACAACTACTGCACTGACTTGAAACGATTCCCACAGGGTCTCCCACCAGAATGCAAGCGATCAAGATTCCATTGAAGAAACTAGAGACATTAAGGAGTCTGTCACAGATTATGAAAATTCGTTATTCTTTCTGCAAATATATATGAATGTAATGTGAAATAACTCAATTTTGATTCTTTATTCTTTCTACAAATAAAATGTAACATGAAATGAATCAATTTTTATTTTTTATCCTCTACTTACTTCCTTTACAATTACTGCAACTCATCCTCCAGATTTTCAAATTTGCAACTTCTCTCTCATTGCATCATATACTCCTATATGCTATAATCCCATTTCCCATCTGATGTTTTAAGCAAAAAGCAACTGGTGAAATCGCTGTTGGTAGAAACCGTTGCTAAGCAGAAAATCAACTTATACATGTTTGGTTAAAATTACCAAAGGGGATGTCATTTTCTTTTTTGTTAGCCTTCCTCTATCTGAACTTGCCCTGCAATTTATTTTCCAGTTCTGGAAGAAATTCATTTTCTCCATCAGGTTAAAATATCCTTGTTATTTGAAAATTTTCTTGGCTTTCAGGTCCTCTCTAGTTCAAGGATGGACTGATTTAAACCAGTATATTGTTCTTTTCGCGCATGGGCGGACCCAAGGCGCGGGCAATGTGGGCCCTTGCCTAAACTGCTACAAAAAAGTTCTGATGACAGTATAGGTTACTCAGTGGTATTGCCCTTACCGGGTCATGTAGAATCTGTAATTGCCTCCTCGTGTTTTTAACATGCTATATTTGGGTCTTTCGTTTCTATTTTTATTTTTATTTTTAAGATATCACTAAAACTAGTTGGCTCACTTTGTTTTTTTTTGTATTCTACTAACTTTGTTTAGCTCAATTTATTAAAAAAAAGAGAGAGAGAGACTTTTTAGCTCACATAAAAGAATTTAATGCAACGAAGTTTGTTTTCAAAACCATTCCAATGGACAATGCTTTAACCAAATATAATATTTGATGAATCTTGCACTTAATTGAAATCACCACCACTTTCTCTTCGTTCTTTTTTATCCGTCAAATTTCGGCTTTGTTTTAGTATCTCTTCAAACATGTAACACTCTAATTGATTAGGGTTAATAGGTTATATATATATATATATAATTCAGTAATAAAAATGTTTTGGACTTCAAAATGATTATATATATTTTGAAATACTAACAATTTAATTTATTGTTAAACATTATTCTCTCTCCCCCTCTTTATCTATCTATTTTCTTTTCTTTTTTTTAATTAACATTTAAATTCTTCTCTTTTGTTAGCTAGTTAGAATTTAAAACTAGAATTGATTGGTTTTTTTTTTTTTTGGACCCCTTTATAAGAAAGAAAAATGTAACCCTTTCTTATAAGTCTACTAATTTTAATTTTGTTTCAATTTGTATAAATTTCTAGTACTTGATAATCAACTTAAACTTATACTTTTAACTGAAATGTTGTGAATCAAAAGCAAAAAAGAATGGTTGATCTTGCTCAAAAGTTTGTTGAGACAAAAAGAAGTGGCATGTCCTTTATATATTTACTTGTAAAATTAGTGTTAATTTTACTAATTACCAACATCCGTGGAAAAGGGCTTATTGTCAATGAAAATGGTTAAAAGATGATGTAGGGTATTTAATAGGAGATATTCCAAAGTGTTCACGATGAGAAGATGCTAATGTATTTTTAAAATATAAAATCTTGTAGGTAGTAATTATAAATCATAATTAAAAATTATTTTTAAAATATAATCAAGCGTTCAATGAAAATGGTTATAATAAGATTGATTGTAAAGAAATATGTCAACGAGAGAAAGGAAAAATATTTTGGGAACAATCTTTTAATAATATATGTATGTTTTTGAAATTTATATAAGAAATATATTTTACGTATTTCTCGATTAATAAAGTCATAATTCACTTTGCTCTAATTAAAATTGGATCTTGAATTCGCCTCCCCTTAGGTGTGATCTTCCTTATTTTCACCCAGTTTGGAATTAGAAAAGTTCAAGATAGATGGTTTACGCTATTATTTTATTTCTGTATTTATTTAATCCTTAAATACCTCATTTTGCACAGCTTATCATGGATCCTTCATTTCAATATAGAGATCACAAATATCAATGATTTTTTGGTGTGGTATTTATCTAGTTAGATAAAATAAGCCTAAAAGTGCTATTGTTTTAAAATGATAAATTACAATAATATATTTTTTATTTAATAAGATCCAGTTGATCTTGAGCTATGCAGATGAAGTAGTTTCCTTCCTTACTTAATTATTATCGAAAAAATATATGGTTTTAAATCTTGTTTATTAAAAAAAAAGCTATTGGATACACAATTAATAAACTAAATTTGCTTGAAATACTATTATTAAAGTAGTGTAAATTACATCTTTTATGTTTATAATGCACTTAAAAAAAAAATCTCAGTTCAAAAAATTAAGCTATTAAATCAGGATAATTTAATATTATTCTTTAATACAACTCAAAAGAACCATTTCAATCAAAACAACTTAAACTATTAAGTGAGTCTTTATAAATAGTTTTATATTACTATGTAATATATAATAGTAGATTTTTGTATATCTATTTGTCCTCTCTTTTTATATCAATGTTTCTCAAATTAATAAATCTTCTTCTATCATTAAATTTTGATCTCAAACACAATTCATTAATGCCATACAAAGACGAGAAAATTATAAATTAATCCCTCTTGCTTTGAAAAGTAAATTAATTAGTCCTTTTGATTTTAAAAAAACTAATTATTTTGTTATTTTTCAATATTTTTTTAAGAAATAAAAAATAAGTAAAAATATGGAAAGGTTGATGAAAAAAAAGAAAAATACATTTTATAAAATAAACAATATTAAATTAGCTGTGTTCAACACTAATTAAAATGATTAAATAATTAATTTTTAAAACTAAAAGGACTAATTAATTTATTCATCAAAACAAGAGGGACTAATTTATAATTTACTCCTACAAAGACATCATTCCCTTGAAAACGCCAAACGCCCACCTAGTTTGTTCATATGGGGCACTGGTCTCATCTTAACATATTTTGAAAATTTTGTACGTATCGAAAAAAGCACTATTACTTGGTCTTTGCAGTGTTCCTTCAAAACTTCTAATCGTATCCAACCGAACTGTTTGATTGAGTGGCCACGGCAGGTCCACAATGGGAAGCCACTTTCATATTACCACATAATTGCCCATAGATAGATAAACCACCCAACGCGTATTGTCTCGTCTGTCTCCAGTTATACAGAGCTAGCAACCAGGCTCTATCTGTGTGTAGTTGTGAACTGACCATCATTTAGTCATAAAGCTGAGGTTTAATTCATTTATTATATGGTCAACTTGAATGGTTTTGGTTGCAATTTGCCAATTAGTCCCAAACAACCTATCTCCCGAGGCAAATGCTTCACTAACCAATTCCTCCACCCTGAAAAAAAAAAAAAAACACAATATCATAGTTTCTTGGCTTCTTCCTCTGCCTCTCATTAATTTGCAAGCCTGTTGTCAGTCCTAAAAGAATCCAAATATGCCAGCTCTCTCTGGCGAGTTGTTATATCTACCAGGAAAGGGTACAACCTCAAAAGGTCCTATATAAAGGAACCGAGCTGCACTTCTAACATCACAGTACAAAAGCGCTAGCTTTCTCCTCATCCTTAATACAAAAAACCGCATCTCCCTACCTTAGAAAGGAAAGATGTCATTCTCTTGTCCTAGTAAGCTTTCCTCAATGCTTCTGTTTTCTTTGTTGCTTGCTTGTCTACTGGGAGTATCAAAGGGTGGCAATTTCTTCCAAGATTTTGACGTCACCTGGGGTGATCAGCGTGCTAAGATACTAAACGGTGGCCAACTTCTTACACTATCTCTCGACAAGGATTCTGGTTCTGGCTTCCGATCCAAGAATCAGTACTTATTTGGCCGAATCGACATGCAAATCAAGCTGGTACCAGGCAACTCGGCTGGCACTGTCACCACATACTATGTAAGCCTCGATCCTTTTCCTCCAATTGAAGTTCTGCTGTAGCTCGTAAATTTGAGGTATCTCATATCTTCTTTACTTATGCAGCTATCTTCTGAAGGGACGACCCACGATGAGATTGACTTCGAGTTTCTAGGCAATGCAACTGGAGAACCATATGTTCTTCATACCAATGTGTTCTCGCAAGGGAAAGGCGACAAAGAACAACAATTCTATCTCTGGTTTGATCCCACAAAGACTTTCCACACCTACTCTATTGTGTGGAACCAACAACGCATAATGTAAGTTAAACATATGCTCCCCTTCAGTACTTCTGTCCCATCACCATTACAGAATTTTCGAATACTAATTTGCAATTTGTTATGCTTTAATTGCAGTTTCTTGGTGGACAACATCCCTATAAGAGTATTCCACAACTCCGAAGCAATTGGTGTGCCATTCCCGAGGAAGCAACCCATGAGGATTTATTCGAGTCTATGGAATGCTGATGACTGGGCAACAAGAGGGGGACTTGTGAAGACTGACTGGACACAAGCTCCTTTCACTGCTTCTTTCAGAAATTTCAATGCCAATGCTTGTGTGTGGTCACCTGGATTGCCTTGTACCTCCACCTCCCCTAATTCCGTGCAGGACAGGAGCTGGCAAGTTCAAGAACTTGATGCCCCAGGCAGGAACAGACTTCGATGGGTGCAACAAAAGTACATGATCTACAACTACTGCGCTGACTTGAAACGGTTCCCTCAGGGTCTCCCTCCTGAATGCAAACGATCACGGTTCCTTTGAAGAAACTACGCATTAAGCATCCAATGGTTCTTTGTTTGAGCAATTTTGTCTTAAATAACTAGAACATGAAATTCTTTACTATTCTTTCTGGAAATACAAATAATGTAACGTGAAATAATTAAATTTCTTAATTCTTCCTAATTAACTTTCTGATCTGCTCCCTTTACAAACTTCACAACCTATCTGTTCCCCTGCCAATAAAAATAAAACTTTCGAACAACACATCCTCCAATCAGCATTTTAATGAGATTTTTAGCGTACATTAGACATCATCATCTTATTAACGTTGGTGAGTACAAGAAACAGACTACAATAAAAACTAAAGGCACTGAAACTCCAGTCCCCCTGCCAACCCTCTACATTTCCAGGAATAACCAGTAGTCACATATGAATAGTACCATATACTTGCTTTACAGCATACACTGCGACGTTTGTTCCCTATATAATGGTATACATCGCGCTTGCTCTAGATAAATTGATCTATTTCCCATCAGAAAGAAATTTTATTCCTCAAACACTGGCCAATCTACAGCAAAGACTTCCCTCGCAACCCTCTACTTCCTTGACTTGCAATTACAGCAACATGGATCCTAAACCAACGACCCAGTTTGAATTAAACCTTCCCAGACAAAAGAGCACCGCATCATCGTTCTCATATGCAGACTAAAGAAAATATGTCTTACTTTTAATACCAAGGTATCTCCAACGCTAATCTTAGGCTGTTAGACATGTTAGAACATTGTTTTAAGTCTTAATTAATTGCAACTTTTGAAGCACATCCCTCTTGTGAAAGGAATAGGTATAATTTACGCAATCTGGAAATAGACACCTTTATTAATCAAACCTCCACACGCCTTTCTGGTAATCTTCCTAGTTAGTACATCATCAAAACGGTATAAAAAGGGAAAAGGAAGAAGAAGAAAATTTCAGATCAGCCAAAAGTAGCATCCAAGAACTCAAGAGTAAATTATAAATTAGTCTTTCTAGTTTTACAAAATAATAATAATAAATAAATTTAAATAATTAGTTTTTTAATCGATATTGATCATTGATAATTTAATATTATTTTATTTTAAAAAAAATATATAGTTTTTTTCCAGTCGATCTTTCTAAATTTTTTATTTTTTTTCTATTTCTTAAAAAATAATAAATTGAAAGGAAAAAAAGATTAAGTAACGAGTAAATTTTAGAAAATAAGACCTAATTATTTAGATTTTAAAACTAGAATAACTATTTAATTTATTTTAAAAGGATAGAGTGACTAATTTATAATTTATTCAAGAATTGGGCTTTTTTAGGGGGGCTTAGAAATGTTTTCTTAAATCTTGCTCTCACTTTCAATTCTTACTCAGAACGGTCCTAGTATAAATACCAATCCCATGTAAGCCCGGCCTACATGATCCAGTCAACTACTTTGAAACTCTCTCTGTGATGTTTTGGGCATTGGCCCGGTTCAATAACAAAGACGAAAGAATACGTAAAATGGAAGCAAACAATCAGGCAAGAAGAGTGAAAAAATAAAAACGGTCCAAGTTGGGCTTTTTAGCATCCGACAATACGACAGCGAGGCGTGTCTAAATCCGCTCTGAATTTGGCTCGGCAGCTCCAAAGGTGCTACTTAAAAGAAGCCACCCGCCTTTGCAATTTCCAAAAGTTGCCAGATGTCAACCGTTTTAACTTTCGTCTTCAATTAACACTATCTACCATTCTATGATCTAAGTTCAAATTCCTACTACATAAACCAACAACCGGTCAGAGAGTCTTGAGTCTAAAGACAGCAATAGTGATTGTACAAATTTGTCATCTCCCATCCTCTTCCATCTACCATTCCACTTCAAGGCACTCATCTCTCCTTTTCTATCGTCGCAGGTCTTTTCTTCTGTGTGGTCTAAATTGTTTCTTTGTTGTTTTCTTTCACTGATATTTTTAGAATTCACATTATTTTTTTACTTGTTTCCATCAGTTCTTGTTTTCTTTCTTATTTTGATGAAATTGTGGAGGAATTTTGATCTGGAATCCCATTGAAATAAACAATTTATTGTCTGTACTGAAATCCTTTAATATTGTGTTCAATGTACATGTCTTTCTGACAGGAGGAAAAGAAAGACTCGCCTTCTTTTTTCCTGTTGAATTAGTAGTTTTTAACCAAAATGGAGGCAGCTTCAAATGGGAAAATCGAAGAGACCAAGATTGTGGAACGACAGGAAGTTGTTGAGGAATTTGGGGTGGTCGATTCAGGGGCTAAAATTGTGGGAGAAGTTGTTATTGACAGTACTTCTGAGTCAGTGAAAGAAACTCTTGACGGGAATAATTCGAGTTTGGGGGGCGGCAGTAGTTCAAAGGAAGAGGCAGAAGCTGAAGAGAAAAATGCCCAAGTGGAGGATTCAGGGATATTGGAAGTGGTGGAGAAAGAGGTGGTTAATTCAGTTGTTGGATCAACAGAGTTTGTTGTATCTGTGGAGGAAAAATTGACTGAAACTATTGACGCATCAGTGGAGAAATTTGAGAAAACTGATGTGGTTGGAGTAGAAGTAGAAGAAACCGAAGAGAAGGTTTCCGTGTCTTTGAATGAGACTGATGTGATTCCTCCAGTTGTCACAGATCAGACTGATGCGGAAGGACCTGAAGTGGTATTGAATGCAACAGATGGATCATCTCCTGCTGTAACAGATAAGGTGTCCAAGGGAATTGAGGAGAAAGTGATGCAATCTTCTGATGAAAACAATGTGGCTCCTCCAGCTTTGTCAGAAGCGGTGTCGAAGGGAATCGAGGAAGAGAAGCTGGCAGTTTTGGAGCAAATTACGGGGGAATCATCTGGTAATGTTGACAAGGAAACTGTGGAAAGTGTCAAATCTACTACTGTAGTTGGAAGCAGCGATGCTTTTCCTGAAAGCACAGGAAATCCGGTCAGTAAATTTATTGGGATTCAATGGTGAGATTTTGCCTGATCGTTTTGCCCTTTGGTATTTTTCAATGATTGATACGTTTTTTGAATTTCTTCACAGCCTATTATATCCCTTCAACAGCGTAACCTGCGTCCATCTTGGAGGAGCTGCTGTGGCCTTTTTGAAGCTCTGCGGCGCTCCAATAGATAAATTAAGGTGGGCAAAAGTAGCAAACTCCTTGAGCAATAAACTCCTTTCGTTGGTTTTCAGCTTTAGTTTATAGAAAAGTTGGTCATTCATTTCTTTTGTGTCTAGTATGGGTTTGATTATATTGATTGTGGAGTATGCATGGTTTCTAGTATTTATCTTGTGATTTTAGACAAGTGACTAAAACCTTTGATGCCTGCAATTCATTCAGAAGCTTTATTCCGAATACCTGGGATCTTTTAAATTTTCATATTTCCCTATGTTATAAGCTTGTGAATTGATACACTTATTTTTTTATAAAAGCTGAAAATCTGGCAGAGATTTCCAACCTAGAAGCTTTAGAATATTGGTAAATGTAACTCATGACTCAACTATATTATTAAATGTGTACTTCGACACACCAAGACAAACTTGTGCGATAATCAATAATATATTGGTCATTGCTTTATGCTTTTACTGAACTTATGATCTTGAATTAAATTGATCACCTGAAGTGCAGTAAAGACAATATCAGCTTATTCAAACGTAGAGATTATGGTTTCTTTGAGTTTGAAAAATTGACCCTAAATGGAACCAAATGTAGAGGGAAAAAATTGTCCATGAGGTCAACAGCAAATAGTTTGGGGTTGAAGTTGAATTGAAGTCGCAGAAGGTAGAGCCTTAGAGGGCAGGGATTGATGCGAGATGGAATCTGGCATTTGCTATTTCAGGAAAATTCACAGGCTCTGTTAATTTTATGCTGATACAGACTGAAGTTGCAATCTTGCAGTTTGTTTCTCCTTGCTGCTGCTTTCTCTGGTAAAATATTCCTGAGTTGATTCAGAATTGTTTCCTGCGACAAAAGAATCACTCTAGCAAAGGTTTTCTTTGGCATTATTTTTTTCCTTTTCAGAGTTATTCCGGAACATTAATTTCCTGTTGGTCATATATGTCTCTGATTGGTGTACAAATTCTGTTACTGCTAGATTTAGGACGCTCTTGGTTGGACTGCATTGATCAGCAGATTGTGGAAAATCTTTGCTGTCTGCTTTGGGCTTTTACCTCTTTGTGTTAACATGTTTGGATTTTCTGGAACTGTATTCTCGAAATAAAACATCAAAGGGGGACAATATGAACGTATTTGTCCGCAAAAGAATTTCAGAGCCCATGGCAGGAAGTGATGACTAGGTTCTTTTGTTCGTATCGTTTTAGTTACCTTGTGATCCTTTTAGCACAGAAATGAATTTCATGGCCCATGGCAGGAAAAAAGATGTTTAGAATTTGGTTTGATTGTCCGGGAACTTTTGTATCAGTAGAAGTTGGCTAGATTTGGGCTATCAGTCTGCCTGGACTTTGGATCATTGTGTGAAGTATTGTTTGTTTGAATTGTTTAGTCTATTAGCTTTTGGATGTTTGGATGGCTTGATTAGAGTCTAGCCAGACCCTGTCCTGTCAGGAGTCAGGTCCTGCCTGATTTTTGCTGTTTACTTTTGTAAATTAACTTGGTTTGTTTCAACCTGAGTAATAGAGCCTGTTCGAATTTATGATCTCGATGAAGTTAATCTTCAGCTGTTAATATAAAAGAGCTGCTTTGTTATCGATAATTAGTAGTTTAGTACAAAGACACTTTCATTTTCCAAAATTTATAACCAACAGTTTGTAGAACCAAAAAATTAAATGGAAAGTATCTATAAATTACTGCAACATCTTTCATGAAGTTCGCATTTGTAAGTGATTGAATGCTTGTCTATCAACTACTCATGCTTAACGTTATTTTTTTCCTCCTCTGTTACAGATAAAGAACATCGTCATAAAGTGCTGTCTAGAAAAAGCAACAAAAAATTGGGATTTGTGTGGTGTGCTCGTCGTTGTGTCGTCTTTTTATCACATTTCTTGTTTTTTTTTTTTTAAAGGTATTCTGATTTGAATTAGAGTGATTTGTATTTAAGTTTGATGGCAAAAATTAATACTTTCGAGTGTACATTTTGATCAATGGGAAGAGGTACAATGAAGAAGATTTTATTCTTACTGTCTTTACATTAAAACACTTTGAAGGAAGCTTCCCTCAACTCGCAAAGCGTAAACACCATAAGGTTTCCGTATCAATTTAAAATTTAAAATTATTATTTAACAAATCATCTCAAGTTAAAACCTTTAATTAGAAAAGAAAACAAAAAAAATAAAAATTGTAAGATTTAAACTCATGATCGTTTGGTTATCAAAACTTTAATACTACATTAAAAAATCATTTCAATTCAAAATTTTAAATTATTATATCAAACCACATAAATAATTTTATATTATTCTTTAACAGATTTCAAAAATCTCTTGATTCATCCAACACATTTATTTTGTAAATTTAAACAAAGAAATCAAGGTTTTTTTTTTCTTTTATAACTTGAGCTACTTTTCTCTTAGACAAATAAATCATGGAAAAGGCATCACTTTAGACATCCAGATATGACTATTACACACAGTAAAATTATTTAATAAAAAAATAGATCACAAATAAAAACTTCTTACAATCTAGGAAATACGAATACATAAACTTGTTTTCTTCATTTTTATTTTTACGTACTTGAAAAAGACAGCCGTATCTGACATTAGGATTAGAAAACGGGAGTGATATAGTTATCGGAGTAAATTATAAACTAGTCCTTTTTGTTTCGAAAAACAAATTAATTAGTCCTTTTAGTTTTAAAAACTATTTATTTATTTTTTACTATTTTTCAATTTATTTTTATTTTTTTAATAAATAGAAAAAAATAAAAAATATGTAAGAAAAATTGACCAAAAAAAGAAGATATTTTATAAAATGAAAAATTAAATTAATTATGATTAACACTAATTAAAAAATAATTAATTTAAAAATTAATGGAATTAATTAATTCGTTTCTCAAAGTAGAGGAACTAATTTATAATTAACTCCTAATTATCGGGTAGCCCAATAACTAACCCCCTATCGAGTTACGAAATTAATTAAAAATTCAATGCGTTTCTTTCTTGCCACAACCAACGAAAAAATGGAAACCAAAAGTACACGAGTTGCAGTTCACGAGAAGAAAAAATCACAATTGGATGAATAGAGAGTGATTAAACAGCTTTATCTAAACTCAAAAATATTTTTTAAAAATTCCTTCTTCTATTTCTCTCATTTCTCTTCTATACAGACAAATATTAGTAATAGTAATTACTTGTTATGAAATAATGAATGTCTATCATTATGTTCATCCACTTTTTATATCCTCACTACTCATGATTCTTAATATGATTCAATTCATCATTCAATATGAGAAATTGAAAGGATTATGCAATTGATTATTCATAGTCCCTTCCAATTCTCTCCTTAATTTTAAAGCCTACAAATAGGCTTGATTGTTCATTAGTTGATGTACAAGTTTCCTAGAGAGAATAAGAAAAACTTTGAAGTTCTTATCACTTATATTCATATTATAGTGATTTCATTTTCTTATCATCCTTTTTTTCAATTCTCCTATTATTTTTATTTATTTTATAACACGTTATCGCACGAAGTTCTAACCAATCGATATAATAGGCCATGAGGTATGTATTTACCAAAACACTTAATCAATTGTTTCAACCATTGGATTTCTTTTGCACAAGTGCTCTACCAATTGGATCCAAATTATTATTTAGATCATTAAGAGGTATGTATCTAATTTATTATGTATTTTAAATTTAATGATACATAGAATATATATTTGAAAATTTTTAATAATTTAATATATAGAATGTAATAATTTAATATATATTATTTGAAAAGTTCAAATTTTATTATTATATTTATTTTTATTATTATATTTTATCTTTATTTCCTAACATCATTATTATACTTTGTATTATACAATTTTAATTATATCTTATCAACCATCACAAAACTTGATTTTGTGGCCCTTGACATTTTGGGCAAGAATTATTGATCATGAGTGCTTGATGTTAAGTTAATATCATCTACTTTTCATGCCTCGAATATGCTCCTGCAATAGCATATCAAGATCATCTACTTTTTATGCCTCGAATATGCTTATGCGAGTAGCATATCAAGAAAAAGAGTTTAAGAAATATTATGAATCGATTTCATATTTGCTCATGGCTAAATAAAATGAAAAGCTATTGATGAAAAAGAATAAATCTCATCCAATTGGATCTATTCCATTCCCCGAAGTGAATGTGACAATTTATAATAATTTTATACATGGATGAAGATGTAGTCATAGCCATGGATGTTGTCAAAATAATTATCATTATAATTGTGATGACTATAATATTACATCTTACCATCGAAGTGGATAACTATGAAAAAGAAAAAGAAAAAAATAAAAATAGATAAAGTCAACATTCCGAAGATGAATGTTATAAATATGGTATGAATGGACATTAGTCGTGTACCTACCGTACACCAAAGCACCTCATCAAGCCTTGTCAAAGCTCATTGAAAAAAATATATAGAGAGAGGCTAATTTTATATATCAAAGTAATAGTAATTGAAATTAATTATTTGTTAGTTTTTCTATTTATAAATAAAATATTTTATATTTCTTATAATTTATGTTGTATATTGATGGTTACAAATTTATTTTACTATTTATTTATTTGTTTGTGTTTATGAGGAATATATTGATTTATTTATTTTCTATTGATTTATTTGATTATCTATTTTATGTTAATATTATATATGATAATATCAATCTAATGGAAAGCTCTAGAAGAGCGACTATATTATTATCTAAAGAGATAGATTTTGAAAGCTCTAGAAGAGTGATTATATCATGACTTGAAGAGATAAATTTTTGAAACTCTAGAAGAGTGAATAAATTATTACTTGAAGAGAAAATGTTTAAAGGCTCTAGAAGAGTCGATATATTATTACTTGAAGTGACTAATTTAAAGGCTCTAGAAGAGCAAATATGTTATTATCCGAAAGGATAAATTTATTATGAATGATGTACTATTCTCTTCAAAGTCTTAAGTTTCAAAAATACTCATCCGATTTGATACCATAT